TCAAAATAAATGGAAATTAGAGACCGATAGATTGCCAAAAACATCAAGATTTTGAATTCCTGGAGTTGTGGGAATCCCCGGTAAAGCCTCCAGAAAAAAGCCACGTGGCCCGGCTGCCGCACAGGCAAGCAGAGGCAAATGCGCCCAAGCCCCCCGGTAAAGCCTCCAGAAAAAAGCCACGTGGCCCGGCTGCCGCACAGGCAAGCAGAGGCAAATGCGCCCAAGCCCGTAGCCGTTTATGGAGGATCTTCGCCAAATGCCAAATCAAGTCCAACGCCCGATTCACCCGTCTATTAGGAGGCCCTCTCGGGGACCCCCCCTCCTCGGCAGGCTGGCCGTATCTGGAGGGGCCGTAGGGACCCCCGGGCTCAGGATAGGGAAGGGATGAACAAAAGCAAGAGACGCGAGAACCAAGATAACAAATCAAGAGCTAGAATATAAAATAAGAATGAAAAAATATTGACTAAAATAGCCTAGGAGGGGGGGTCTGGCAGGGGGTGCTTCGGGGGGGTTGGTCCGAGTTGCCCGATTCACCCATCTATTGGGAGCCCCTCCCCGGGGTTGGTTCCCGGAAGGGCCTCGTACTAGATGGGTGAATCGGGCAACTCGGACCAACCCCCGGCCTCCTAGGCAGGCTGGCTGTGTCTGGAGGGGCTGTAGGGACCCCCGCACTGAGGATAGGGAAGGGAGCCCGTGCCGGTGTGTGTCAACTTTGAGCTGGTGTGCCTTTTGTGCATTCCATGATGCAAAGATATTCTCCGCATTCGTTGAAGCTTTCTGCGAAGCGCTACCTTCCGTGTCACAATGGCAAACACAGAATCACTATGCAGAGATTGCAGCAGGTCAGCCAGGCTAGTTTCGGCCTGAGCTTCTAGATGTTGGCAGTGGTCTTCGCTGGACATCCCTTGGCCAAAGCAGTTCGCAGCTGTCAACGTTTGTGGATTGCCACATTGCCACATTGCCCACATCAGGAACCACGAGTGCAGAGGTGTTCTAAGCTTGTGTCGTGAAGGACTGGAACACATCCGCACGTGGCCTGCGCGGTACAACCACAAGACTTGGGACTGTCTGCTGATTGGGTCAATGCAAAACCTGTCAACTGTCACCCTCTGCTGAAGCCGACTGCGGCAACTTTCATCGATGTGGCGAACTTGCGGAGGCCGCTTGTTGGCGAACGGTGTACACGACTAAGCTGCTAAACCGAACAGCCTTTTTGCTGGTCTTTCAGCCACCTCCTCATCGGACCTTTCTCGGTGCGGCAGCACAAGCCACACGGACATGTACACACACACACACACAAAATACACACACACACACAAAACAAACACACACACACACACACACACAAAATACACACACACACACACACACACACACACACAAAAATACACACACACACACACACACACAAAATACACACACACACACACAAAAATACACACACACACACACACACACACACACACACACACACACACACACACACACACACACACACACACACACACACACACACACACACACACACACACACACACACACACACACACACACACACACACACACACACACACACACACACACACACACACACACACACACACACACACACACACACACACACACACACACACACACACACAAACAAACACACACACACACACACACACACACACACACACACACACCACACCCACACACACACCACACCCACCCCACACACACACACACACACACACACACACACACACACACACACACACACACACACACCCCCACACCCACACCCACACCCACCCACACCCCACCCCCACACCACCCCACACACCCACACCCACCCCACCCACCCCCCACCCAACCCCACACCCACCCCACCCACCCCCACCCCAACCCCCCCACCCAACCCCCCACACCCCCCACACCACCACCCACCCACCCACCCACACCCCAAACCCACCACACCCACCCACACCCCCCACCCACCCACCACACCCACCCACACCCACCCACACCCACCCACACCCACCCACCCACACCCACACCCACCCACACACACACACACACACACACACATATCTTCTTTACAGTCTCTTCGAGGCGCCGGCTCTACAACCTCCAGCGCCGTGGCGTTGATCGACGCCTTGCTCTGATCAGCTGTGCAGCGACGCTTCTGCAAGCCGTGCGGCAAAGACACTTGGGCTCCAGCCAGCTGCTGCTCTGCCGCAGCAAGTAGCCTTGGCAGCTCGTTTCATGCCAACCGATCAAGGGCCAAGGCATGCACAATGCAGACAAAGCGACCCGAGTTGCTTTTCGGGTTCCTTCCATGAGAACAATGGCATCTGCTTCCAGCACGCATGCAGCATGCAGTCGCTAGAAGCCGCTAGACAGGCTCCAAGTGGCATTAATCATTGATTGCTGTAGTAGGTGGCCTGCCGTAGCTCGGCTTTAGACTTCATTCGCAGACATGGTAGGCCATGCATTTGTCGAAAGATCTCCTCGCATTTCCAGAATTCTCCCCATCAAGCCCTGCAGCAAGCCATTCATGGTGGTACAGTGAGTGCTGTCCTCGTCTGAATCAAGAGACACCTGAAACCACAATTCTTTCACTTTCGCTTGCGACTACTGCTCTGCCACTGTCTCATCCGACTCTCAAGGCTGGTAGTGTTGAGTTTTTAGAGCCCGTTCCCATCTTTACGATTCCGCTGACAAAAGGAACTGCACAGTTCGGCACGCAGCTCCAAGGATGCCGCAAGATCGTGGCATCCCTGCCATCACCCACATCAAGAGATGCACCAGATGAAGATATGTGCGCCACTTGTGCGCCTCTGGAACAACAGCATCAGGAGGAATGTGGATACTTCGCACCTCCGGCCAAGGCTTGACTCCCAGACCCCACGCGGAGATGCGCCGGCCTTCTTGCAAAGCCTGAACATAAAGGACTGGTCCAAACGCTCGCCTCATTGCGTGTTCTGCAAGATTAGACCAGAAAGCAAGATCTGTGCCCGCCACTTCTGCAAAGGATCTGACACTGCACGGGAGGAGTCTTGTCGAAACCTGTGAGAACAGCATCATGCACTTCACATACTTCTGTGGCCAAGGCGGCTAAGGCTCTGACACCGAAGCAACCCTCCAAGACGTCGAACCTGGCCGCATTTGCCGCGCCAAGCACAACGTTAAATGCATGTAGCATGAGCACGAAATCGCACGAAGCATGGAGACGTAGCAAAGCCATGTATCTTTCCAGATTCAATCTTCAAACTGTTTGCTGACTCGCGTGAGCAGTGATGGGGTGGCACGTAAGATCAACAGATGTTACTTGATTTGCACACCGAGAACAAGACACAGGGCAACTTCATGCTTCATGCAGCCCCGCACCCATTCATCGTGGTCGACTTCTGCCTCCAGTGGCAGACGGCCGGGCTGTCTCTCTTCAGGCCGAAAAAGAAATAACATCCGTTAAAAAAAATCTCACACTCGCGAACCACTGAATCGATTGCACCCAGCCGCCCGATTGGTTGCAATCAGTACATTTTTCGCGCAAGTCAGTGCACCAAAGAGGAAACACACACGCCCCCCTCCTCGGGCGCGCTGAAATTGTCGTACTGACATCATGAAAAACATCCAGACACATTTCTTCACACATGTGAAAACAAGTTCGAATTGGTTTCGTGCGGACATGTTGAATTTTCAGCTCGACTGGGACTGCAATGTAATATGGGGGGGCTCGGATGAGCCGGCGATGAGTCCTATGAGTACCGAGCTGACGAACACTTTGGCTTCTACCATGTGACCTGAAAACCGGTGACTACGGCCTTTATCAAACTACTGGCTGGGTCACAGGCTGCGTGCAGTATGTGCAGTGTCTTAAGGTTAGCATAGGTTAGACCGTTGGAAGGCACCCGGCAGCCAATATTCAGACTTTCCATGAGCTTCGAGACCATGCAGCCGGTTAAGTCACATCCTCCCACTAAACTTCTGCAAGGTGCCATGATGAGGGATCCCACTTCAGTCACTAAGCCTCACCCATTTCCAGCCAAAGGCTTGTACATATTCATTGCAAGGTACGTTGATGCCCTCTTCTAAAGCTATGGCACGAAGGAAGCCAACAACATGTCTAAGGCGTGCCTGTTCGGTCTTCAATTTGTGTTCGTGGTACTTGTTCTTGGCATCCTGTACAAGCTTTGGGGACACTTGCCTCCTAGAAGCGGGCATGATGCGAGTATTCCTTCGACAGGGGGATGTTCAACAGCTGCTCGATCTTCTTGTCTCTGTCGAGCGCCTTGCGAAAAGAGATGTCGCTTAATGGCTAGCTCTCCGAAGCAAGGCTTGGACATCGATATTGCAAACAGCCATGCAGGAGATACTACAAGTATCTACCCTAGGAAAGCAGAGCTGATACGAGAGCCTCCCACGCGGCCAGTGCCTACCAAGAAGCAGCGCGTGATCATCCAGGCTTTGCAATTCCGACTCAAACGCTTAGGGCTTAAGCCTAGGTCGACAGCGCCTCGTCATCCTTTGGCTCTCCTTCTGGTTCTGGTTCTCCTCCCCGTGCACAAAGCAAGCTGAGTCAGACTGAAGGAATCAACTGAGACTACATAGTGACTACGTGCATCCAGCCGCAGGGGGTTGTGCGAGCACACTCCCCGTACAAGCAAAAACTTCCGGGCGTCTGGCCCATGGCAGTAGCAACATAGCCAGGTGTTCTTGTGACGTTTGGTTCTCTGTTTGTTTGTTTGTTTGTTTGCATCTGTCTTGACGGCGGGGATGTCTGCTGGGGGTCGCCAAGTACTGAGGGGGGCTGTCTGGCAACTCAACATGTTTGCGCAGTTTGAGCCAGAGTTGTCTTTGTTTCTGAACCAGCATGACCTCGGTCTGTATGCCGAAGACTGCCTCTGGTGCTCATGTGGCAAAGGCTTGTGAGCATGCGTTTCCACAGCATCCTGAGACAAGGACACATACATGCAGTGGTTGGTCCCGGCTATTTATCAAGACTCCTAAAAGAGGCTGCGGCAGGGGCGTTGCAACAAAGCGTGTTGGCCGCCAGGTGACAACTGGTGGGAGCTTGGATCTCACGACAATCTCATCAGCGGTGGGAGGCCAAGATGGGACATGATGCGCATGAGTACAGCGACACGCTTATGTGTGTTTCTGCTACTTTCCCTCCAAACCAGAACATGCCGTGAGCCACGTGTGAGAGAGAAACATGTTTTCGATCAGTCGGGTGAGATGCGAGTTGTGCCTCTTTCTGCTCGGTGCTTTGCATCAAGCATGGAGCACAATGAAACCTTCTGCGCTGGCTTTCCGGTTTGGCATATACATGTGAGTGAGATACTGTGTATATATATATGAATTTATTGCCAGATGGAGTCGCCAGGCACGAGCATCGAGCTACTCTGGAAACATGCAGATGTGACGAAATGTCATCTAGTGTTGTGGGTGCTCAACACATGCTAACAATTAGCTTTGCCACCTTTTTGCACAACGTTAACACGGGGTGCTTCGCTTTGCTTTTGTGCAGACCGAGGGATGTGCCGGGGATGCGCTGGGCAATCTGCAGCTTCTGGCCTCAAGCACTGCAAGCTTCTGAATCGGCACAAAGATTCCCCTCAAAACGAGTGGCTTTTGGTATGATCAGCCAGGCACCTTTAAGCGCTGTTGATGCGGATCTCCCTGGACAAGGACCTTGTTGGTGTGCAATCCCAATGCACCGCTGCTACCTCTCGAGTTGGTGAGTGTTGCTCCCCACGGATGCGGCCCAGTAAGCACATGGCGCATCATCGTTGTTGTAGTCCCTCAGCACCTTTGAGACACCGCCCCGGGCAGCAATTGTGCCAAAATTGCTTCTTTCAGCAGACTTAAGTGGAGCCTCCAACAGCACGAGTATTGCACCCTCCTCCGTGAGCTGGTCCTTCAGACGTAAGAGTGCCGAATAACTAGGCACCAGAAAAGGGCAGCCTATGCAATGTGCAAAGTCTGTGTTGCTGAAAGGGCTTCTGAAAGTAGAGCTTGAACGATATACAGGCTATCTTTGCCTGCGACTGGCACTAGCTCACTAGCTCAAGCCATTGCAATGCACTGGAAAACCTGGTACCAACGATGCATGACTTGGAGTCCTCCCAGTCTGAGAGGAACATGTCCACATATAACGTGTCTGTCGACGGAGCTCGCCTCAGTCTCCAGCACTGTGCAAGATGCGACGCAATTTCAGACACACAAGCAAAAACTCGTGAAGAAGACTCCGTATTTTGGTGCTTGGCTTGCTCTCCACTTTTTGTCACGGTGCTTTCCAGCGTCAGGTGGGATTGTGGATCCCCACCTTGCTTTAGGGGTTGGAGTTTTTTGCCGTTGCGGGCTCAGTCTTTCAGTCATCATTACCCTTTCGCAGAGCCGCAGAGCTTGTGAGTCTGCATCCCATGGCTTTGTCTGTTTGAGTAGCCAAAATTGAAGGGCCCATGTCCAGCAGCCCCGTCTTGTCCTGGCTCCCGTTTCGTTTCGGGCCGAACAGCCTGACCCACGACGCCCCACGACCAGCCGAGCCCGACATGTTTCAGGCAATTCATGTTTCTAAATGCCATTGGGAACACTGCAACCCATTGGAACCAATTGGAATACTGTGACCGAAGCAGACTGCGGCTTGAAGCTTCGCTGAACCTCATCTGAGAATGCGACTCTTTCGCGCCGTCCGAGTCTTTGCCAACCCAACACTGGTAGCGGACGTGGGCCTCTGGGGTCTTCTTCTGCAGACTTTATCTCTTGCACGTGTGACAGCATATGCTAAAGTCTAACATTAGCCATGACGGAGTAGCCAGTGGTGGTTGCTGGATTGAATCCCGAAATGGAATGGAATGAGACAGAGAGCCACCAAGCTGTGTGCCTGAGGTGGAACGTAGAGGCGCAGTACCGCCTCCAGCTATCAATGCAGCACGATGCGGGAGCAGTTACAGATCCAGAGCATTCCAGAGCCACAAGCATTTGCAGCCACACGATTTGAGGCAGCTCGCGCCTTGCCCTCTGGCGAGTTGTTGTTCCCTTCAGGGTAGAACTCCATAAAGCCCTCCTGAATGCCTGAGAACAGAGAAGAGTAACGCAGAGAAGAACGCAGAGGAAGGTGCGTGAGGGGACTCATGTATGGCACTCTTGTCCGACTTTTATCCCTCGCGAGAACGCTGACAGATGCTGACAGACAGAGGCTCACAACACTGTATGCACTCGGCCGCTGGTCACTCTCAACTGGCCTTTGATGCCGAAGGCGGAAGACTTCAAAGCCAGAGGCTTTCTGAGCTCCTTCGTTACTTCTTTTTGTCGAAACACTTCACGAAGCATGCTCAGAAAAAGAAGCAGAGTTGATTCAGAATTGATTCAGCTGATCCAGACTCTGCCTTCGACTTGTGCATGGCCCTCTCTATTCTCCATTCAACCTGAGGGGCATTGCTTCAACCGAAATACGGCTGCCCCTGCCAACGGCAGATCGTCTTCCCAGCCTTTGTCGGCTCAAGTGCGCGGAAGAGTCTCTCAACCTGCAAAGTTCTTCCAAGATGCGACATGCAGCATGCTCCTGCCCGCAAGCTGAAAGCGATTGCCACGATTGCGATTTAGTAGAACGTGTATCTCGTTGCCTGGACATTGGTGTCCTTCGCCCAGCTATCCATGTCACCAGTGTATTCCTGCGCGTCCAAGCCATGTTTGTGCTCCACTCTCCTATGCTGATCACCTTTCGCGTTCAGTTAACTAGAAACAGGAAACTGTGAAAGCTTTGCCATACACACTCAAACTGAATGGCCCACGTCGCCTGCCTGATGGTCCTTGAGCAGCGCGTCCAGTTCTGCCCTCATCGACGTGCGGTTGAGCTCCAGCTGAGCAGGGCGCTCCAGGTGCAGCTGTGGATAGTCGGCTAAGGGTAGCTTCTGTTGAGGGCAGTTGGGTTAAAAGGAAAACCAGGGTCGCTGCCGAATTGAGGGCTTCACCCTGCTGATCAGACCTTCAGTGGGGAAAGCAGTCCACGGAGTCCAAACCGACTAAATGAGTCCAAAGTAAGCTCGGTGAATATAAAGTTGGGCCGCAGGCGAGTGCTGCAAAATGCTGATGTATTTAGCCATCTTCTCACGGAAACTGACCTGACACCCGTGAATCAGCGAATCGCTTTGCCAGAAGTAACGTCGTCTCAAAGGGAAGGGCAGCATCGTCTCGAAGAGCATGTAGCATCTTCGTTGTAGCTGCCAAGCCTTCCTGTCACCATTGCTTATGTGCGACACCGCGCATGCTTGTAGCACCCGCAAGAGCCCTGCTTCCAACGTCTTGAGGCCTGAGACTCCAGGGCTGCTGATCGAGTTACAGACCCGCTTTCTGCGAGGCACTTCTCTGTCCAGTCGCGCTGTTCCTCGCAGTCCAGCCAAGTCAAAATGAGCCCAGCTGCTGCAACAAAGGTCTGACAGTAGTGGTAGATATTGATAGATCTTTGACCCTGAATCTTGAATGAGCTTCTTCGAGTTCGCGGAAAACATCATTTCGCGGAACTTTGGCGGACCCATTGCTGTACCGGTTTGCCGGTATCAGCCCAACTGATGTCAGGCCCTGAATCCCTGAACTTTCAAGGCTAGCCAGACGAATCCCAAACACAACACCCTAAAAGGTTAGTGTTAAGGGCTTAAAGCCCAAAAACGTACAGAGTGATGAGATACCTCGCAATTCCTGGAATGCGACAACACTTCGGTGCAATATGTAAGAGATATGAGTCGCAGAACAAAGGGCCGTCGATGCCAGGCCCTGTAGATCTTCATAGACCCTTGAGCCGGTAGGTCCGGAACTTGGGAACGTCCAAGATGACTTACCCGCGACTTTGCGACAACCCTGCCCTGAGGACTTCGTACTTGCTTGCTTTGGAGGTCGGTCGAGACGGATGAATGCGGCTTTGGAATCTAAGTTGCAAAAAGCCACGGATTCGGATTGGCAGTTTCGCAGGAAACCTAAAGCCCGGAAGTTGCTCGCATCGTAGGACAGAACCTGGGTTACGCAAGAACTTCCACGAAAGAGACTTTACTTTCCTATTGCGGATCTTTCGCGGAGGAATCAACGCTCAATATTGATGGTATCGTGATGCTTGTCCTTCAGCTTAGATTGGAAGAAGTTGATTTCTTGCTTGGCCACATCGTACTTCATGTGCAAGTCGCCCAAGTCCTGGGGCAACAGCAAGCGGCAAGTTACAACGTGCTCGGGCGCTGCCTTTCCCCGCAAGCTGCTGCTCAGCGGATTGAGCAGCTGACTGCGTCTAAACGTGCTGCTTCTTCTTCGTAGTCTGTCCTGACCTTTCAATTAACATTGCTCGGCTGATCATGCGTGAAACGTGATCAGCAGCTCGTGCTAAGCCGGCGGCTCGCTCTATCGCCGAATGCAAGTCCGAACGAACTTTGATGACACTCTCGGACAGGTCTTGGTTGAGCTGACCCAGCCTGCGCAAAAAGTCCAATGGTCATGAGACTCATGAAGCATGAAGAAATATGAAGAAGCATATTCTGCCTCGCCCGCTCTTCTTGTACCATCGCATCCATTCGCTCAGCAATACCTTGCGTGCCACGTTGTGCCACATCTCCTGGGCTCCTGCGACTTGAGATGCTGCCAACGGTCTTGGTGCCCGGCTTTGAAAAGTGGCCTCGCTTTTGGCTGTTAGCTCGTCCACGCGCGTGTGGATCTTCTCATCCTAGTCCAAGCTGTGCTCTACGCAATGCCAGGATGCGGAAATGCCTGCATTCTGTGTACCGCATGCTGCAAAACGGGATTCCTGCCTTGTGCTCGACGGTGTGCTCTAGCTGGTCGAAGTGTTTGTCAGTTCTTTCGGATAGTTCAGACACCTGCTTGAAATTGACTCAGCAGCGCTCGGCCCTCATAAACACCACTGAGCCTGAGTTTGGAAGGTGGTGGACAGTGATTGGCGAGTGTCCTGTGCAGTTCTTGAGTGATGCTACTCCAAGACTGCAACGAAGAGTCCGGATCCACACCTGTAGAAACGAATCTGCCCTCTCAGTCACGTACTGTGGCGAAATCTTGTTTGACGCACGGACATCACTGAACAACCAACAACCTCTGCGCTGTGCAAGCAGAGGAAAGCACAATCGCTGGACCTCTAGCAAGCTTTCGCTGCTTGCTGGCCGCTAAAGATTGAGATAAAGCTCTTTGGCTCTGTACTTTATTGAGGCCCCTGTAGAGCACGCAGCCCTATGGAGTGTACTTCTATTGCTGTACAACTTTCACGCGGATAACTTGTCAGAAGCTATTGAATTTCAAAAAACAATCGAACTTCATCAAAGTGGCTTTTGCTCGCCACCCCGGCTTCCAGCAGCCGTGCAGCTGCCGCGCGGCTGTGAATTAACGTAACGGAGTGCTTTTCCACATCGCGCTGTGAACAAGTAACCCTACGGTATTAGCATGTTTCTCATTCGAGCAGCGTCTTGGTCTTGATCGCTGTGGCACTGTACTGTGAGGTGCGGTCAAGCAGAGTCAGACCATGACTCAGCTTCTGAAGCGCTACTGTCCGAATTCTCGGAAGTCTCTTCATTGAGCTTGTTGAAGAAAGAACACATTGAGCAACATCTATGTGATGAACTTCTTAGGTCATCTTCAGCCACTCTACCTCCCAAAGGACCCGTGCATCGTCGCAGAATTCTGCCAACTTGTCGCGAGCGTTCTTGTCCGTCGACCCAGCGTCCGAACAAGCCAGTTTCTGTACTGAAAACCAGATGCTGCAATCCTCTGCTCAGCAAATCTGAATACTTTTGGGAAGGCATGCTTAAATATGATTAAGGTATGTCTTTCCAGGATAGATGTAGGAAATGGTTGTAGAAAATGCCCAAATAGTATAAGTGAAGGCGATAAGAACCCCGTCTAAATGAACAAGGCTTTTGTTCGCACGGCTCTTTTTTTCCTTTTATTATACTTTCATTGCGCCCCGCCAATATAACGCATTACGGGCAAAAAAAAATGATTGCAAAGACCCAATCATCATTTTATCTTTACTGGGTGCGAGCGACAAGAGAAATTGAGAACGGGAAAAAACCCATGAAATAATACTTTGTAACGAATCAACGTAGTGTATGATTTCACTCTACGAGGCGTCAGACTACTCCTGCCGATGTTTCAGCACATCAGCTTTGCATATGGCAGGGTGTTGCAGGAATGTGGGTGAGCTTCGTTTGGAATGCTACAAGTGTGGCTTAATTGCAGCACATCTTATGGTTTTGGCCCACCTTTTTGGCAGGGCATTGCACGATCCGTTTAAGAATTGTTTGTACCCTCCCGGCTGTTTTGCGTACCAAGTGACTTAGGTTGAAGGCATCCACGTCTGAAATTTTCTTGAGAATCATGTCTTTGTCCGGCTGGGATGAAGCGGAGCAATCCCTGACATCCAACAGCGCCAATTTGTCGTAGTTGAGGTCAACAGCTTGTTGAGATGAAACTTGTATCCTTGCAGGTATACGAAGTACGTTGGCCTCCACAATCTCAGCAACACACCATGCTCGATACAAAACTTCAAATTCGGCATCCACCACAATGAGCTGCCCAAAGCATCTCACCTCGACTGGGGCATAGCGCATGTGCCGTTCTGTGCCCACCTCTACCCTTTCCCCTGTGGCTGTCCTAAACCCTGACGCACGCAGCCCCAAAAGCCAACAACCTAAGTCCTGAGCCCTAACCCACCCTGGTCCCGAAGCCCTTAAGCTACATCTAAGACCTAAACACTGACCCCCATAGTTGTGGGATGTTGTGGGCGCTTGAGCCTGTGCCGCCTTCACCGCAAGTCCACAATGCCGTCATCCCAAAGCCCGAAAAAAAGCCCTTCGCCCCCGAAAGGACTTGCCGTCTTCCGGCTGGAAAGCTAGCAGGCCCAGCAAGAATGAACAGTTCGTGAATCTAGACCTGCAGATACCTGCAGCCCAGCAGTCCTCCAGCCGCAGGAGCAAAGCGCGATGCCGTGGTGCTGGCGGCAGCCACAGTTGTGGCCGCGGATCCAGCCCGCACGGCTTAAAGCTTAAAGTGTTTGGGGTCCAGGGTTTTGGTAGTTCCGGCGGGTAGCTAATCCCCTTTCCTTTCCATGCCGCTTCAAGGAATTTCACAAAAAAACTAGCGCGTTCCAACCGATCAGCCTCGAATGAGCCAAGTCGCTTCTTCGGCGAGATACGTCATCATGTCCTCAGCAGGGTTGGATGCCCCGGAAGCCACAACCACGAGATCGTTCTGCAATACGAACAGCTAACAGTCAGTACAGACGGAAGCGTGACAGACGAACTACGATAGCAGAGCGAAGCAGGGGACGGGCAAATTGCTACGGCAATTGCAGCGGAGGAGGGTTGCTGGAGGCGGGGGGGCGGAGAGGGGGGCGAGGGGAATGGGGAGGAGAGAATGGGAGTATGGAGGAGGGAGGGTCGGGGGACAGGGAGGGGAGAGGAGGGGGCAGGGGGGGGAGGGGAGAGGGGGAGGGTTGAACTCACTTCACTCTGCAGCAGGCTAGTGTGTCGCATCACAAACCTGATGTCACAGCATGTAGAAAAGCGTTAGGTTCACGCCATTCATGATTTTATTAACAGGATCCTGCACGGAGGTACGCACTTCCTAACAGCCTGAGCGAAAGATAAATCTTCTTGTGTCCTCGGAAACTTATGAAGCAAGTGTACTGCTGTTCGCTCACTTCATTCGCTTACTTTTTCCGTTCATGCCAGGCCGCATCAAACTTGTTGAGTTCGCATCGTGCATCGGTATGGCTGAACACCTTCTCTGTTCTGCAGTCGCACAGTGGGAAGGCTTCTCCGGTGACGGAGTCGTACCTTTTGGAGTTCCAGGCTTTCCATTCACGTGTACCATCAGGAGGCTCGGGTCCAAAGCCGGAACAAATGCTGGCGTGCTGATTGATGGAGAAAGCCTCAAGCAGGACTTCGTACCAAGAGGGCTTGACATTGCAGACCACTCAGACAAGGCATTCTCACTAACCCGACAACATCCCTGTGATTCTCCTGTTGCTGTCAGTTGAAGCCTCACGTTTGTAGCCTCTGATAGCCCTTGCAAGGTTGTCTGGCAAGACTGTGTGGTTTGTCTGATGAAGCCGCAGCACGCATATCCAGTAGGTGACATCAAGCTTGTCGGCCAGCTGAGCCTCGATCTCACGAACCCCAGGCTTCGTTGCGATCAGCTCAGAAATGTCTGAATACACGTGTCCTCAGTAACTTCGTTGTGCGGATAGGCTCTAGATAGAAGTGGAGACGGCAATGGTGACACGAAGCGATGCTGCGTTACTCAGGTGCAGGCGCCCCAAGGCATCGGCTACGACAGCAGCTACCTCGGCGCAGTGTCATCCTGCCCTCTTGAGAACTCGTCTACATTCCTGACCTGTAGTTCAGCTGTGCAGATGACAAATGCAGACATCAACTATGAGGTTCTGCAGCAAAGTTGAGGCAGGGGGCTAAGTTTGCAAAGGTGTTCGTCCAATTGTGTGTGACCATACACTGAGGCCTTGTGTACTCCCCATCTGCCCAGACCGATGCCAGCGCCAGGCCATCGTGCCCAACTCGAGACTCAGGGATGATGGCTTCCCGCACGACGTCGTTGGTTTGCGACCGTCCTGGGCACTGAAAGAGGTAGTCGAGGCGCGACAATGGATGCACACTCTTGCATGCTTTCGCTTCCTAAAACTCAACTGTTCCACTCTTTCGGCCCGCCCTGCCCTTAGTTACAGCCTGCCCTGGGCCCTGGGCCTGCGTGACAGCATAAGAAAACAGAAGCATTAAATCAGCTTGTGCCACTACTAGTGAATACCAGTGGTGACCAGCGTTTCGCCCGAACTTCGATCAAAAAAAAGCAGCCCAAGGAGCTTGGATCAAACGCAGGCATCACCTCCCCAGTGAGAAGCTGCTCCCAGAAGTGCAGGAGGGCGCCGAGGCGAAATCCACGGCTCGCCAACTGCTTTACCACCTCACCATAGACGGCCTGCGACATGCAAACCGGACGCATTCCAGTCACTCCGTCTGATGATGCATTCATGATGGATTGATGCCGTGATCAGAATAACATGATCTAGTGGTGCTGCGACCTGATCGTCCAGTGTCAGCAACTGTGACATGGAAGTGAGCCCTCGCGTGCTGCTGCGTGATCTTATCCTTGGACGATGGCTCGATCTCTCAATATGGTTCAAAGATCTCTGTCGACCAGTCGGCCGATTTAGATTGTGCGGATGTCCGGCAGCTCGCCGGTCGGATGTACTTCTAAGCTCTGGACTCTTCATCCTCATCTGCAGGAGGTTGATCTTGCCACAGGATACCAGACAGAAAAGCAACCTTGGGCACTGATGATCTACGGGTAGTGGCCATCAGCCCGCAATACTTGCTGTCAAATGCGTTTGCTGCACTAATACGCTCCAGAGTGTGTTGTAAGGTTGTCACGCCCACGGCATTGATGACCTGCGTTGGTCTCATGAGCCCGCAACGTTCGCCATGTTGGCTTTCAACAGCAGTCGCTGCACGGGTGCTCTGGAGACACTGACAGATCCGTACTCTGTTGTAACTAAGGTTGTCACACCATCAAAGCGACGGATCATACCTTAGCTTGGCTAGTGATGCAACTATACTTGTGAGATCTTGTGATGGGATGGAACTGCTCGGACGCAGCCTATGCGCAGCTTCATCAAATGAAGAACTCACGCCTGCAAGCCATGCACGGCGCCATGGCGCTCAGGAGAACCTAATGTACATCTCTTGCAACCGAGCAGCTCAAGTAGAACCAACAGGTCCTCTTGATCTCATCGTACTTGTCTGGGTCTACGAGCTCCACGAACTTGATGATGTTGATAACAAGCCAGGTGCTATAGGTGGTGATGCCCAGTGTTGCACATATCATGAACTCCATACCTCAGTTTGTGCACACAATTGCCCTTTTGTTCTGTATCCAAGTCCGATGATTTCTTCCGAAAACATGATAGAAGCTGAGTCGTCTGCATACAATGCGCGCTGCCCATCGGGCTTGTTGCTTGGGAGGGCCTCTCACTCGTTGAATCTCTCTTCGGAGTCGATGCAGACTGTATGCCAAGGTCCTTCTCGCTGGATGCTACAAGTGAAACAGACTCCACATGGGTTGACAGCGCTAAAGCCGCTAGAACCTGTGTCCTGAGCTAGGAAAGCCCTGACCATGAAGAGCCAAGACCAACAAAAAACAAGGAGGAGACCGCAATGGCCGGCCCCACTCAACATGTGACAAACCAGCCTCCAGCTATGGAGCCAAGTTTTCACAGAGGAAATGATAGAGACTCCAGTTTCGAGAGGGGCTGGAAAACTCGATGTAAGCTCTGTGTGTGTGTGTGTCTCGACGATGCTTTCACATGTGTGTGTCGACGATGCTTCCACAGCTGGTGTCCAGCGTCCTGCATACATCGATTGTGTATACCAGCCAGATCGTGATGAACACTGTTCGGATAATCAACGCAGCCACCAGCCCAAGGTCACTCTGAAGACCACGCTGCATTGCCGTGCAAACAGCGTTCGCAACAAAAGCACCGCACATGACGAACATCCAAGCACTGGAGTCGCAGATTCTCGGTGCACCTGCTGTCTTCATTTGCCGCATTCCTCAGCATAGAACTTGATAAATCTGTATTGCGTAGGTCTGTCGTTTAAAAGCCTGTATAAGATACTGTGCTGAATCCATCAGCCAAGTCGCGAGTTTGGAATATGCACACAATCCAGCCGAGAACCACACTCTCTAAACTGACTGCGAACGCAAGGGCAAAGTCGCAAAACGTCTTGAAGCCATATGCCTTGCCAGCCTCATAGAAGGGGTACACCATCGTCGTGAGCCAAAGCCCAAATGCGCACCATTTGGCGTCGTGAGCGTAAGTGGAGGGGGGATGCTTCTTCAGAATGCAAAGAATGTAGACAGTGGCAATGAGTACCACAGCAGGCAATGTCACCCAGCGCTTTGCTATGGGTCGTTGCAGTGTCCCCCAAGCTGGCAGCAGTGTCCACGGATATGTTGCAGCATATGCCTGAGTTGTCACTCCGAGTGGCTGAGTGTGGACTGTCGTTCATGTTTGTCTCCTGGCAGCCGGGATGAGGCCTCATGACTCGATGTTGCTAACAACGCATACTGCTGCCGAGCTGCCGTTAGTACAGCAACAAGGCTGCAAATTCCCATCTTACATCTCCAGGGAACTTGTCTTACCACCCCAGAATCAGGAAAATGAATCACTGCAAGGAGGAGCCCAGTGCATATTCCCAAGCCTGACGGCGCTAGTTGGCCAGCCCAACCTGGCGTGCGAATTCGAATCTATACTCGATACAGTAGCCTCGACCCCAAATGTAAAGAAGCTTCCCAAAGGCCCCCAAAGGCTGCAAAAGACCAAAACTGCAGTGAATTGCGACCCTGCAGCGGCATTAGGGTAATACGTCATAAAGTTCAGGGTCTCGCGGGATCTCGTGGGCTGCTGAAGCCCCAGACCCACATGGCCAAAAATATATGGAGGCGAACTGGGACACAGACGGCTACGGCTCCGAAGAATACCAACACCCCCAAAAAATCGGGCATTGCTTCTGGAGATGATGGAAAATGCAAGGTTTTTGTTGTCGATATCTACTTAAGCTTGGACAACCGACACAAAAGGTCCTGCATCACTGGTATGCCGTCCGACTTGCGCTCCCTAGCTGCTGCAATACGCCATCAATCCGCGCACAGGACAGCAAGGTGGAATCGCAAATGAAAGCTCCAACTGCTAGAGGGACAATCCGCGCGACTAGCAAAAGAGCGGCTTCTCTCGGACGAGCGGCCATCGGAATGCAATGCGCTGGCACTTAAACCGACAAGGATGAGAAGGATGAAGCCAGTAGTCAGGCGCCTTGGCGAGCTGAAGAGTGGCGATAGCCAGCAGCACAAGCAAGCACTGTCCAAAATGCGCCACCCTGTCAGGCACACTGCTGCTATACATCTGCTGCCCGCCTCTTCAGTGCGCGCATATGGCCAATGGGCTGGAGGCCTGTTTCCATGTGAATAAGCTTGAGCCAGTGGCCATTCGGGCAAAAGTATTTCGCACTGCCGTCCCGCGTTGTGTGTCACGATGCGCCGCGCGAGAAATGTCAAGAGAACCATCCCATGACCCTTGCCGAAGACAGAGCCACATGCGTCCTCCAAGGCATCCCTCGCCTCTTTGAACTTGTCCTGGTGAGAGAGTGATGTGTGATGAGACAGCATATGACAGCCCTCTCGATCCTGCTGGAACCTGTATTTATCTAGAAGCCGCAGTCGGCTAAAGTTTGTTGGTCCTGAGTGTCGCTGTCGAGCCTGACCAACTCCGCATCCAAGCGGCTGGTGGTCTCTTGTAGGGTCCTGACAAGTCATGCTTTTGCTTGCAGGCACAAGCATGATCTCCTGGCCCTTGCCACGGGCTGTCATGAAAGCCACGTGGGTGGCGCTTTGATGACATCGTGACTTTTTGCATATCATGTATGCCCGAGCCTGTCCAACATGTCGTCCCGTGCTACTCGTTCCGACTGCTCCTGCCACAAAGGCCATTAGCACTTGACCGAACTCGGCTCTTTCTGTACTGGCATTACGGCCCCGACTATCATGTGCTGTTGACTTCTGCTCGCTGTTTGACATGAATCAGCAGAGCACGCGAATCAACAAGATGCAGCCTTCGTCAGTCTCTGAGTGGTCAGTTCACACTCCTTGGTCACTCTGCGGATCGATGCCGGATCTGGAAGCTTGCGCGCAGCGCTTCTTGGACATGGCCCCTGGCATTTCCGAAGCGCGTGTTCAGGTCGGCCAGTTCCTGACACTTGCACTTTCTTGCATCTTCTTTCCGTGTGAGTTTTATGTGCAAAGAGAGGGTAGAGGCCGGGTAGGCCTCTTTCATCTGCTCCTTCAAGGATTCCACGTCCTGCGTGTCTTCCGCTGATCTTGTGGAATTGGTTCATTTACCAAGTAGCAATGACAGAGCGGCCTCTAGTCGATGTCGAATCAAGGGCTTCAACGGCATGTGATCACAAGGTCCTTTGTGATCCTTTCGGCCATTGCGTTGCCCTCTGATTGCCACAGGTTCACGCTCACCTAAGCGTTCATGCGGCTTAGGCTTACCATGGCTTACCTCATCTTGAGATCCCGAGCTGCTCCGAACTGCTCACAATTCGAACGAGGGTGTGCCAGGCCTTGGCCTCCTCCAATCTCTGCAGCTCATCCAGGTGAGATTCGAGCTGTATCCTGTGATCCTCCTTTGTCGCTTGCGCCTGGCAGCAGCTCTCTCACAGTGTTGATCTATATTGATCTTCAAGATCACAGCTTCTGTAGTGATAGCTTCCGCTATTAGCATCAATCGTCAGTCCTCCGTGTCCAGGCGGTAGTCCTCCTCCTGTAGCTTGTCGAGGCTGGCATTGACCTCATCAAACCTGGAAGATCATGTGCTGGCAGTTGCTAGCCAACATTTCCAGGACTTCTTTCCAACTGCTCACGTGCTTTGACAAACATTGACAAAGGTTGACCAGATGCTGGCACAAGGTTGGACTTCGGGGTTCGGGCTGCTCATCCACCCGAAGACCAAAGGCATCGAGTTGGTCCAGGATCTCCTGCGCGTGTCGTGTAATTCTTCGGCTTGCTATAGCCCACAGGAGCCAACATCTCCCAAGGGATGCAGACGACTCGTTCTGACTCCCCGATGAACGCACATCGTCATGGCGAAAAGACCCCATGCCTAAATGGGACAAGCCCAAGTTAAATCTTTCACAATTCTTCAGAGTGCCAAGAGCAATGTCCTTGTGGTGCTTTGCATCCAGCTGCTTCACGGAGTTGCTGTGTTGCCTGGCCAGTTGCTAGGGACTGCTACAGTTCTTCCAATGACTATCATAGGTCCCTCTTGCCTGACTTCGTCAAGGTCGCGAAGGATGGCTGCGTCGTCATCCTTCAGACCCTCAGCATTCCGAGTGTGACTCTTGCGACCGGAAGCTGTGACCTGTTGTGACTCACATTTGTCGCTCTCTCATCTCTCTCCTTCCGAGCACTCGCATACGAGCACGACCTACGGACAGAAAAACGACAGGGTGTCTCGTCCTACTCACAAGCCCCCTTATCCTTGCACGCTCTTCTTTCGTTTTCTTTGTCTCTCGCTCTTTCTTTCTTTCTTTCCTTCCTTCCATCCTTCTTTCTTTCTTTCTTTCTGGGGGCATGGGGGCAAGCCCCCGGGCGTCACGCCTGCCCCTGTATTCGGGACCGCTCCAAATGACACTGGTGCTGGGCCTGTGAAGGCGAGACGCGTTTTCCCCCTTACCCCTATACCCCCATATACCCTAAGCATCTCTCGTTCTCTATTTTTTTCTTTGGGGCTAGGGGCAAACCGCACGCCAAGCCGCGCCCCACTCCTGCTCCTCAGAGACCCCTAGCACCCGCGCTTCGGCCGCTCTTCGGCCGCGCCACAGCAGCCCACCTACGAGGTCCATTTTTAACCCCCAACCCTGTTCCCCCACGGCGTCCCTCATCCTTGGTAAGCTTCCTGAAGTCAACCTCCCACGCCCCATTTTCTTCTTGCGAAGGTGCCCCCCCTGAGGGGAAGACACCGGCCCCGACGGCCCGGGGGCAGAGCCCCCCAGCTGATGCCTGCCCCGGTATTCGGGAGTCCTCGCCCCCTTCTCTCTCTCTCTCTCTCTCTCTCTCTCTCTCTCTCTCTCTCTCTCTCTTCCTCCTCTTCTTCTTCTACCCAGCGTAGGGGCCCCTCAAAGGCGCCCCGGCCGCGCTGGCCCGCTGCTTGCTTGCTTGCAGCGCGCTTAACCCCTCGCTGCTTGCTCTCTCTCTCTCTCTCTCTCTCTCTCTCTCTCTCTCTCTCTCTCTCTCTTTCTCTCTCTCTCTCTCTCTCTCCTGCACGCATGGCCCCCCCCGAAAGGAAGGCCGCCCCGAGGGGCGCGTGAAGTCCAAGGGTCAGTTTGTTCGGAAGGCCCTCTTTCTCTCTCTCTCTCTCTCTCTCTCTCTCTCTCTCTCTCTCTCTCTCCTGCGCGCTTAGCCCCCCCCGAAGGGAAGGCTGCCCCTAAGGGTGCGCGAAGTCCACGGGTCCGTTGGTTAGGAAGGGCCACGGTTTTCACGGCCCCTCTGAAATCACGAGGCGTGTGGTTTCCCCCAGGAATTCAGCAATACGAACGGAATGCCCCCATGCCAATTATCCCCATCTAGTTTTGGCCCTCGGGTTCCCCCACTCTGTTCAGCCTCGAAGTTTGCTACTTGTTGTTTCTACTGGTACTCGCCAGGCCCAGGGTTGCGGCTTTCCTCCCCTTTGCGGATGCTAATACGGGATGTGGGATGTCTACAAACACAACACACTTGAGGTCCCCCGCACTGTGCCCCCACTCTGGCCGGCGTGGTTGGGTCTATTCTAATCACTGCTTGCCCCCTCATGTGTTCTTCGGCGTCTCGAGTCGTGATCGGGTAGTTGGGAACCGCGGCGTTGTAGTCTCCCACGTGTGATCATCTGCCCCTCCTCCGACGTTTCGCTTCTCGGTGAGGTGAATTCCTCTGTGGGTTCGCCTTGCCCTCCGGGACTGGTGTGGTGGTGGTGTGACGGTATGTGTGGTGGGTGTTGTGCATTGTTGGTGGTGGTGGTGTGCGGTTTGTGCGGTGGGGGGTGCCAGGGGAGGGTGTCGGGTGTGGGTGTTTCGTCCGGGGTGGCTCCCCCTGCTTGTGTGTCAACGAGGTAGATGGGTTCTCCCCATCTGTTGGACAGCCACTCGTCCAGTGCTTTCATGGCTTGGGTGGCCATCACTGCCTCTTGCTGGACCAGGAATGGGACCAGCTGTGCGAGTATTTGACGTGCTTGAACGATGTGTTCGTCGTGGGTTGGTGGCGGTGGTTGTTGTGGTCTGTTCGCATTGTCTTCTACCGCTCCTCTGTTGAGTTCCAGGACATCCGCTGGGTGGGTGGCTTGCGTGTGTATTGGTGTTGTGTGGGTGGCGGGTGCGTGTGGTGATGTGGGGTCCCCATGGGGGGGTGCCTGGGCTTGGATTGGTGGTTGGGACCACTGGGGTGCTTCGATGACGGCTTGGTGTGCGTCTCGTGCTTGCTGTGTGTGTGTGTGTGTGTGTGTGTGTGTGTGTGTGTGTGTGTGTGTGTGTGTGTGTGTGTGTGTGTGTGTGTGTGTGTGTGTGTGTGTGTGTGTGTGTGTGTGGTGTGTGTGTGTGTGTGTGTGTGTGGTGTGTGTGTGTGTGGTGTGTGTGTGTGTGTGTGTGTGTGTGTGTGTGTGTGTGTGTGTGTGTGTGTGTGTGTGTGTGTGTGTGTGTGTGTGTGTGTGTGTGTGTGTGTGTGTGTGTGTGTGTGTGTGTGTGTGTGTGTGTGTGTGTGTGTGGTGTGTGTGTGTGTGTGTGTGTGTGTGTGTGTGTGTGTGTGTGTGTGTGTGTGTGTGTGTGTGTGTGTGTGTGTGTGTGTGTGTGTGTGTGTGTGTGTGTGTGTGTGTGTGTGTGTGTGTGTGTGTGTGTGTGTGTGTGTGTGTGTGTGTGTGTGTGTGTGTGTGTGTGTGTGTGTGTGTGTGTGTGTGTGTGTGTGTGTGTGTGTGTGTGTGTGTGTGTGTGTGTGTGTGTGTAGTATTTCCCTGACTTGTGTCTGCAGCCGTTGTTGTTCTTGCCTGGGGTGTGGGTCAGGGGGGCCCCCAGGGGCGTTGTTGAGCTGCTGCAGGAGTTGTGCCGCCACCTCTCCCCCCCCCCATGTTTGCCAGTCATCCACTCTGGCAACCTGTTCCATCCGGTGGATGCCCCTGCGGATGAGTTCTGCCGTTGTGGCCAGGGTGTGTGTGAGCTGCCGGTTGTCTGTTGGCTGGTCTCCCTCCAGGATCTGCTGGAGCTGTCTGGCTGCTTCGTCAAGTTCTATGGCTCTGGTTGTGTGGTGTTGGTGTGGTGTCTCTGCTCCAGGCCTCTGTGGCGGGTGTCTGGTGTGGGCTTGTGTGGGCCGTGGTTGTTGGGTTGGTGTCGTGGCGCTCCGCCCTGTTGGTGCATTGGTGTTGCCCGCGAGGTTGCCCCCTGCAGTTTGTAGGCTTTCTCTCTCTCTCTCTCTCTCTTTCTCTTTGTTCTTTTTCCTCTCGAGTCTGTCTCCTTCTTCTTCTGCATGCTTTAGGGCTCCCCCCCCTTCTCTTTCTCTCTGTTATTCTCCCGTCCTAGTGACGACTCCATGCCAGCACATGAGCGGCGGACTGTTATCTTCTGGTTCACATCCTGAAGTGCTTTGTCCTTAGCCAACAACCAGCCGGACATCCAACTTTAATCCGACGGTCTTTGAAAGTGCATGCTGCCAGCTGCTGCCACCACCCGGAGCCGTAGAGACCAAGGTCCCGACCAGCACTTCGTTCATCTCACGGCGTGCTATGCCGACCGTCTGCGAGGCGTTCAGAAATGGACAGAACATTTTCAGCAAATTCCTGCTCTGCTATGGAACTGCTTTGGACTTCTCGTCGGCGACATACAGAGGGAGCTGCGTAAGGAGCCGGCTCTCTCGGTCCTTTCATCAGTGGTGGCGATCAGCCGCTCCTCTCAAGCAGCTGATCTTCATTTGTTCAAACGTTCTGTTCCAACACCTGCTTCTCACTCCTAATGTTAAGGAGACAATAGCACCTGTTTCACAGTCTCTGTCGAAGGGTGCAAAACTCTGGACATGTGCATTTCCCTCAAGAACTGTGGGAAAGGATGCAACGAAACACCGAAATTCGTGTGGACGATTTGGATTAGTTTGGATTTGACTCGACAAAACTCACTTCTTCAGAAGGCAGTTATAAGAGGCTGGCGTGGCGGCACCAGACACCATGAAGAGGCAGAAGCATCAAGGTAAAGGAAAGCAAGAAAGAGAGAGAGAGAGAGAGAGAGAGCGAGAGAGGGAGAGAGAGAGAGAGAGAAAGAAAGAAAGAAAGAAAGATAGATAGATAGAGAGAGAGAGAGAGCGAAGAAACACACACGAACACCAAGACACTGAGTGAGACCGGCACGAAAAACAAACACACACACACACACAGACAGAGAGACAAACACACACACACACACAGACAGAGAGACAAACACACACACACACACACACACACACACACAGACAGAGAGACAAACACACACACACACACACACACACACACACACACACAAACAAACACACACACACACACACACACACAACCGAGCCAACAAACCGCCAAGACACCCATGTGCCAACAACATCTGTCATGAAGGTTTCACGGTGAAAGCATACTGTACGCTTGCGCCCAACCCATGCCCCACCTAACAGAGCCCTACCGCAGCCATATGGGACTTACTACAAATACAAACAAAATAGGGTCTTATCACGAACGGTGCAAAGAGCCGTTTCCAACTGCAACCGATTGCGTCATAGTGTGTACGTCCAAGGTGGGGATTCGGGCTGGTCTTTGCTTGGGGCTTCAGAACATCAGTCTGTGTTACTGGTGGAGTCTTGCCACCCTTCACCCTTGTGCTTTGCTGAGCTGGGTCCTGCGTTAAAGCAAAACAAATCCGAGGCCCCAGGCTTCTGGCAACTGGGCGAATGAATCACTATCCTACCACACCCGAATGCCTTAATCCCTCCAGAAAAGGCCGACAAACTGCTGCATTCTCTTGCAGGAGGAGACCATGCTGGGACCCCCTAAGTGTAGTCCAGTGAACTCTTGCTTTCGTGTCGCGCGGAAGCTGCTGGCTGGGCTTTCCCCATAAGGCCAGCAACCGCCTACAAAACCCATTTTGTAGCTTTGCTGAGCTGGTTCCCGTGTAGTCGCCTGAGACCCATCCTCAGAGCCCTGCAGCTGTGGTGAGCCTCGGTCCCGCCTTCGCTTTAGACACCTGAAAATGCCTGAAATTCGACATTCAGAGCACGGAAACACCGCATTCTTGTAGCTCGGGTAACCTGCTGGCAAATGTTGGCAGGACACTTAAAACAGAACTTGGTCACCGCTGGCCACAAACATCCTGACCATGTAGAGGGATGTAAGGGGTTCTGACTGGTGTTCGTACTATCCGATCCATCCATTTACTGCACCTGCAAGTATCTCTTCGAATGAGGGGCTCTTCATGTAAGACATGCTTGCAAGTCTGAGCAGAAGAGCTGGTCTCCAGTTCTGCAAGTCTGCGTTCCACGCGGTCAGTTGCCTGGGCGGCATAGTGGCCAACGTTCAAATCTGGCATCAGCTCATTGCAGCGCACAGTGGAGGCAAATGTCCAGGCTATGCTCGGTGCCCGGGTGAGCTTGAAGTTGGCATCCTGCACATCTCATGCGTGCAACAAGCCACAAAAGCATCAACCGCCTGAAATCACCTGAACCCTAGACAGCAGTGAAGATGCCTCGAGCTCCTCGATCTGATCCCGCGGATCTCGGCCACGCTGCCTCTGCGCAGAACAAAATTAGTCTCGCGCATTTACAGGCTCGTGTTAGCAAAGAACTCGAAGAGATCTTGTTGATGCAAGTGCGCGCCACTTGTGCCTGCCAGCTTGCACACCGCGCTGGTGGTGCTCTGACGCTATTGCCAGCGAACTTTCCTGTGGCAGCTGGGCCTCCGTTTTACAGCGACGTTGCATCCGTAGACTTCTATAAACTTGGCTCCATAGCCTGGCCTCTATCACTGGAATTTTGCTGATCTGTAGATTGTTCAGGAAGACTTCCTAAGTTGCCACATACTGCTCTGCATCACTTGATGACCAAGCTGAAAAGCTACTTTGTGCTGAGTCCGATGGCAATGTCTTCGTCAGTGTGCAGGGGGCACCTTCTCTGACCATCCAAACCTGTGAGAACATCGGTCTTAAGAAGCTTTGAATCGGTACAGGAACTGCAGACAGTCAAGAGGTGAAGTATCGGCTCCTAGCTCTCAAAGCCACCTTGGAGACGAATCTGGACGTCCAAAGATGTGACGCCTTTCTGCTCGCAAAGCTCCTGGCAACAAGTGGCTCACTGCGTCTCCTGGAGAAAAATGGCATGTTGCAGTTCATGCCACGATATGCATTCCAAGTCCTTAAACCGGAACGCGGGCTTACTCTCCAGTAAGGCGGCAATCTGGCAGGGTGAGCCGGCCACTTACAGCTGATTCCAGAAATAAGTTATGCCATGCATGCGTACTTGTAGGACGTCGTGACTTCTAGACACACAATACTTTTGAAATCAAGACTCACAGGTTCTGGCATGCTTTTAGCAATCAGGGAGGCGAGAATCATGAGCATCAGCTGGCTGGCACACCAAGCAGCCCTGTTGACATCAAACTGGGAGGTGAGCATCAGTTGGACTGCTTTTTGGGATGCTGTGGGCAGCATCCAGAAAATCCGCACGCCGCGCCAAGTCACCCAGTGATTGCATGGAGTAGCAAACCGCCTTGCCCATGGTCAGCGGCAGAGGCAGCTCCAGCATCTGCATGATGGATCCTCCACCTCAGCAAGTCAGCACGTGCCCAGCTACTTCATTCAATTTGCGGTGACCACAACCAGTAAGATGGGGGCTGATGGATCCATCTGCCACGATCAGCCGAAACTGCCGCCAATGCTTGTCATGCGAAGCAAGCATGAGCATCCGCACGAGCTATCATGAGTTGTGAGCAGCCTTGCTTGGCAGTGCTGATGCAGGCGGAGCTGCCACCTGTGAGCGTCCCGCCATGTCCGGCCTCAAACATTTAGTCCAAAGATGGCAAACTACTCTTCCAGGCACTCCGCACTTCGATGGATTTCAGGCCTGGCACACTTGCGCCTTCAACCGTTCTCCAGCTTAATCCCAAGTGCGGCGAGGCAAATTTTCCAGGTGCAGCTGGTGTCGACTTTTTGCAGGGATGCGATGCGGAAGTAAGACCAGTGCTGAAATCCGATGTAAACAATATGTCAAAACCCCTTTTGCGGCAGGCATGTTGCTCGGCTGGTAGGAAAGGCAAGGACCAGAGACCATCCATTGTGAGCACTGCGCGTGATTTGCGGCTGTCTGGTGGAGGACCGCTTGGCCTTGCCCTGTGTTCAATGTCAGCTTCTTGTTCGGGTCTGAGTCCATCCTGCCTTTGGAGAGCCTGCACCGGCAGAGCCGAGGACAGCGCTGCCCTCCTCAGAGCCTAAGCCGGAGTGCACCTAATTAGACGTGCCGCGTGCAGGGAGCCTGTGTCCACGAAGCGCTATGGATTCGAACGCAGCGCAGTGCATGTTAGGTGCATGTTAGGACTCATCCAGGCGGCATCAGTCTTTAAGGACTACAGTCAGACCATGCAGCATAAAGGTAATGCCATGCACCTGCACTCACAGATCTTACAGAGGAACGCCACATGCCACGCAAGGCTGTGAGCCTGTAAACTTAGATACATCGGTGCCGCTTCTTCGGAACAAGGCATTGCTAACTATGTTCTGTTTTTGCCTTCTCTTCAAGTCCCTAAGAAGCAGCCTCCAGGAAAGCCAAACAACTATTTAGGACTGGGACCTCTGCTCCATCTTGGACCATGGCTTGGCCGCACTCCCATACTTTTTTGAATTGCCTCTCACGGGCGGAGAATCGCAGGCCGTAGCTGTAGGTTCTCACACCTGTCATTCGTCAGCTCTGCAAACAAAGAGCTCTGCAAAGGCTCGAGACTGATTAAGACAAACCGGGGAGGCCTTTCTCGCATGCTCCAGCGGATGTAGCCTCATCTCTTGACACAGAAAGGTGATACATAGGATGCTGGCCAATGCTGGCACCCAGGGTCCCTGGAAGGCCCATAAAATGAAGGACCCTGCGGGCCCTTGCGAGGGCCGGGCACTGGGCGAGGCATTCCACCGTAGCCGCCGTAGGTGTTGTAGTAGTTTGCCGTGGGCGCCATACCCTGACTATTGGCCTCAGGCGGGCTTCGTCATCTCTGCAGAGCAGGAGATGGTGAAATGTACTGGTCAAGCCCCTGAGACCAGGCTTCTGACAGTAGTGAAGCTGTTGAAGCTTGCCCTGGCAAAGCAAAGCGAGCTTCAAGCGCGCTTGCACGGTCTTACACGGCCTTGCCTGCTTAGTGTCTTGCAGTCTTGCTTAGTGTCTTGGAGTCTTTGCATCGTTTAAGGCTGTGGCGCGCTGGAACCATTTCGGAGCCAAGGGTGGCTTAGTGCCTTTGCAGAAGAAATATCCCGAAAAGAAGTGCGTGAGGAGGCAGCCAAGTAAAATTGCAGCGCCTGGTCCGCGGTAAGACGGTCCCCTGGCCGGACCTCCCCAATTTTCTGGACAGCAGCCGCCCCATGAGACATTATGTGACTTCTGACTGCATCGGGCCTGCAAGAGCCTGAGGATGAAGTCCAAGGCACCCTTGGAGACGTTCTTCCAGGCCTTCCGGATTCCGGAGGAGCCGAAGAGAGGAGAAAAAAAAAAGAGCAATGTCAAGCAGTCTTGCTTTGTTTTGTCTACTTCAGTATCATTTCGGATTACTTCAAAGCTGCCGCATGCTGCCGCGGCCTGATCCGGAAAGCTCAGGTCCCTCTCAACAATTTGGCGGTACCTCACACAATTGATGGAAAGCTTCGTGTACTGTCATGAGGGGTGTGTTCTTTTCTTTCACAGCAGGCGTGCAGTTTGTGCAAGACGTTGTGAAAGAAGGGCAAGGATCCGCTGAGCAAGACGTAGGTGATGACCTCAGTGTCTTTGTGTTGCATTGTGTGCCGGCACGGGGTCGGCCATGGAAGTGATGGAACTGGGCCATGTACTCCCAGCGCCCAGATGTCGATTTCTCGGCCATACTCCTTGTCCAAAAGCAGGATCTTGGATTGGTTGCACCGATGTTGCAAGAAAGCTTTGCAGTAGTGCATTACTTGGTGAGCATGTTTGAATGTCCTCTTGCTTGATCACCTCCGGCGCCAGGTAGAAGTCCGAACCGCAAATGGAGTGAGAGCGTGGCAAGCGGCGAGGGTAGTCCTGAGAAACTTGGCGGGCTGCTTCGCTGGCTTGCGTGGGTGCGGTGCGCGGTGCTTCCTCCGCCTCTCGACCTGCTAGCTCATTGCTTGTTCAATGTAAATTCCCTGCCTAGCTGAAACTGCACTTGTCCGGTAATGCAAATCGAGTACATCGACGTCGGATCGATACATCTTCACTCATAACTCGTAGCTTAGTCCAAGACCTGCCCCGTTGCTGTCACAATGAAACCACTTACACGCACGCTCTGAGGCGACTCATGGGCCTGCTAACGACATAGGTGCCAGGCCACTTAGTGACTACTTCGACTGATACTTGTAGTGTGCTCTAATACTATTAGCATGCTTGTCAGCTATAACTGAGTCCACATTACTGATTGTGCCAGTATAACGACACTGCAAAGACTAAGGGAATGACAGGGGTGCGTTTAGCGCTGCTCTCTTCTTCTTCTTATTCTTCTTCTTCTTCTTCTTCTTCTTCTTCTTCTTCTTCTTCTTCTTCTTCTTCTTCTTCTTCTTCTTCTGCTTCTGCCGGGCCAAGGGGGCAAGCCCCCCGCGCGTTGTTCTCCCTCCCTCTCTGTCTTTCTTTCCTTCTTTCTGATTCTTTTGGCTGACACCATCTATACGCACATGCGTTCGTGAAGCGAAGGGGGCGGAGTGGGGCATCTGAAGACTGCTTGACCATCTGACAATTGCAAGTTACTCAGCTACTACATGTAAACCGAAGCGTTTTGACCCGCGACCATAACATAAAAAATCATAGGCAAAAGCTTCCAAGCCGAAGCTACTGAATGCAACCTGTGCTTAGTCATGCTATCGTAACCACGCAACGCCCACTGGTTTTCAACTAAACCCGACAAATCTACTCTGCACCCTTACAGCTCTCAAAGCACAACCCTAAACACCCCAAACTATCAAAACCCGAAAAGCCCTCGAAAATGTTCCGGGGGTGATGCACTTCATGCACGCGCCTCCTCCCCTCTTCCCCCCTCCATGGTATCCCCCCCTCCTAGTTGGTTCGTGGTAAGTTGAGTTTAGGGTTTCCACCCCAGCCCCCTGTGCTTCATGGAGGGTTTAGGGTCTAGGATGAGGCTTTAGGGCTTAGGGTTGGGATGAGAGTTTAGAGAAAAAAGGTTCCCCCATCCGCGGCTTTAGGCTTTGGAGTGGGTTGAGGTTCAGGGTTTAGGGTTTCCCCTCTTCTCCCGTGGTTCGTGGCGGGTTTAGGGTGAGCTTGGTTCAGGATTAGGGTCTAGGGTTGCGCATTGCGGGGGGCGGAGAGAACGCGGAGCACGAAGAGACGAGCCCCAAGAAGCTCTAGATCGCCCGGAGGTGCAAGGATTACAGACCCCAAAACCGTCAACCGCCAAAGCTCCAGAAACCCAAAAGCCCTTGTAGGGCCAAACGAAAAACAGAAGCATGAACACCAAAAGCCGCTCAAAACCCTAAGCTGCAAGCACCGGGAGCTCTAAAACATGCTTTTCAAAAAGGGTCTCAGCTTCGTCAGTGTCACCGCCAGAACAGACTGTCACAAGAGTCACCTGAATCGCCCTATGTGAACATCCCGCCACACCCCGGATGTCCGAACCCTTCGACAACTCTCAACATTGTCCAACTGCAGTGACGGTTTTTTTAAAGCAAAGCAGAAGTTTCGGGACATTGGCGCTCTCCCATTGGCATGCTCCTTGGACATCTTTGCCAGCCCGAAGTCAGAGATCTTCAGCTCTGTGTTGCTCACGCGGCTGGCCTCCGAATCTCAGGACAGAAGCTGGCACGTGACGTTAAGAATCGCAACTCAAACACGCAGGCGTTGTTCCGTCGTCCTCTTACACATTGCTCTGCAAATTGTATGGGCACCCGGCCAGGAGGATGTTTTCAGGCTTCAGATCCCTGGGAGCGGAAGATTTCAACTCTGGGCACAGCTGACAAACTGCTGCAGCCTGGCCTGTGCATAATGCCGTGGCTGTGGATGTATGCCACTGCTTCCAGCAGACATCGCACAGCAGCTTTGGCCTGAAGTGCCATATTGATTCACAAGTTTAACACCTTGCCATTCACGACAATGAATCCACAGGTGCATCTCAACTTCGAAGCCAGTTGTGCACTGTCGTCAATGTCCTTTCCCACTCCTAGTCTCGTCGGATACCAACGAAACGGAGAACTCCCCAAGTCTGAACCGTCCGGACAGTCCAGCTAGACTTTGAGAATTTGCAAGGTCCATGCCTGTTTTGTGCTATGCCCACCCTTCCGAATGGCCTCCTGCTCTGGGTAGTACTGCTTCTGCTGAATGCGGTCATAGAGCTCACCCCCTGTTCAGCGGACCCATCATTGAATCATACTGAACCAATCTGAACCATTGAACGCAAGGCCCTCCTCAGAACCAGGACATCCAAAGCAGCAAGAACTTGGAGGGCAAACTTCCCCCGCCTTCGCAGAGCTCAAGCACCAAACCTTGGGTGCCACAAAGCGTTGAGAAGAGTTCGCATTTGCTCCTTACTGAACTGTACCAGTTACACTCCCGAAAGGTCTTCCTCTGCCTCTTTTCACTAGGAAAAAACCCAGCCTTTCCTAGGCACTCCACACTACGGAAAACTTCGGAATCTGAACGTTTCTCAAGCCAGCACCACGTGGCTCCGTGCTAACTGCTAGCAGCCATCCAGCTATCCAATCCAGCTGAAAAGCGGATGGCTCCCGGCAGAGACTCGTCCACGTCAATGAGAGACACCAGGCCTGACCCAAACGCGTTGTGGTCATGGTTTTGAGCACCATGCCACCGATTGTTGCTTTGCTATGGTCGGGCTTGAGGTGTGGAAGCGGCGCAGAGATGGAAGCTGCGTGCCCCCACATCCCTGAACTCTGAGCAAGGCTATATAAGCGGGTTCGAAAAAGGAAGCAAAAGGTTGGGTGCGCACAGACGTGCTGAAAGAGCCCTGCTGTGAGTTGGTACCGTATTGTGGATGTTGCGATTTCTGTGAAAGACGCATGGTATGATAAGCCTCAGGCAATATTATATGCCTCTGTATTGGGAATACAGGAGCAGCTGGCTTTGAGGCCTATAGCTCTTTTCACAAGAAACCGCACGCTCTCAGCAAAAGCTCCTGAGGTCCTGGGGTGCTTGGGCTAGGCACCTTTCGATTTCAGCAGGGCTTAGGGGTTTCATGGCTTTTGGGTCGTAGGGTTGTAGCTAACGACCTCAAAGCCAAATGCCATCCATCCATCCATCCAATGACCCCCAGTCCCCGCAAAGGGGTCGATACCCACCGAACCCACCTGGATGATTTCCAAGCGTTTGGAGGATGCTGATTTCCTCGTGAATTCGATTCAAGCCTCACTCAAGGGAGTCTAAGAACGAGAAGCGAGCAAGCACACACACACACACAGAGTGACTCACAGCCCCGACATGCATCTCCTTGACAATCCAGGTTCCATCAAGTCACATGCCTCGCTGGACGCATCTGGGTGGCTGGCTGGCCATATCACCAACGCGCGTGTTTATGACCTCAGCTGGGATCCGCAGCTGTAGTCCAACGGCCACTGCCAATCACGCAACGCACGAAACGCACACTCTTGTATCAGGTTACATGTGACAAGGCTGACGCTCGGCCTCGCACTTTCAGTGCGTACTTCTTTTCAGGTTGATTTTTGCGGTTGCATAGGTGAACGACAGCAAACTTGCCGGTGCCGATGCAATTGCTCTCATCTACCTCAAGTCGCAGCAAGTTGAACCCCAATACTGAGGCCGCTGAAGCCATCCTCTGCAACTCGTGCAACGTCGTGGCGTGCCTCGTAAATGCTGTCGAAGTCCTCCGAGTCATAGAAATCGACAAGCGGACAAAGCGTGGAGACCGTGCTCCCCATGACCTCATTTTGGAAGCCACGGCAGCAAAGTGCCCAGAGAATGTGACCAGATGTGGGATTGAGGACGCCGCGCACTGCTTAAGTTCTCGCCAATATTTGGCGAGCGATAACTCTACAACTCTACAAACTAATGCTAACAGCTGCGGCACAGAAGGGATGCTATCCAGTACTTCAAGTGAAGAAGCTTCCTGCGGCACTCTGTCTCTCCTTGCTGGCTGCCCATGTCGCCTGTTCTCATCTTCGCTCAGTATGTGCCAGGGCCCATTTTGCGCTGGTCTTCAGCCTCGTGTCCATGTAAGGACTGCGGGTGTCAGTGGCTGCCTGCCTGCTGCACGTCGCTTTCTCCGGTGCCAGGCGCAACTTTAAGACATCCGATCCCGAACCAACTTTTACGCCGATTTGGCGCCGTTCTGGTTTGGATGGACTTTGGAGATATGGACAAACTACGACAAGCTATGACTATGACAACCGAATTCATGCTAATGAAAAGAGTATACGGTCGGACATCATGCGCCTGACGTGCCCAGCAGCAACTTTGGCCGGGCACAAAATAGCTTCTCACTTTAGCTTCACCCTTACTTTCACCCAACCCTCTTGGGCTATTCCGGGCCCCCACTTCGTGGAGAGCCAAATGGTCAGGCTTTCTGCGAACGGCAAGCCTACGACTGTACAAAAATCCTGCGCTGTGATTTATGCCAACAGTTGCAGGTCTCTCGAGGTCACGTCTGTGTGAACCTCATCTCAAAATCATGCCTCATTCGAGGTGGTTCATCCGCCCCCTGCTTTGCAGGTTGCGACGAGCATCATTATATATTTATTTCATTATCAATGGAAGCGGCAAGGACTGTGATCAGCCCAAATCAGCGGTGTCCTGGAGGAGAGAGCATACTTGCTTTCCATGTCGTCAAGACGACCAACTGTAAGGTGAGTACGCATGAGTATTGAGCATGAGCATCAACACCAGGATTGAGCATGATGATTGTTGAAGGTTGGCAAGAGATCTGCTGCAGCTGTGGCCGCCTTCAAAGTCGCAGTGCACACTAGGCCGTGGTAAGCAACATCCTGCACCCTAGGTATCAAGCGCTAGCCGCTAATCTTGCATTGGGTAGAACATGGGGTCTCACTCGAAAGGGCTTCGACAACACTTACTTATTCTGCATGTCCCAAGATGATTGCGGAATGAGAACGTGAAACACAACCTGAAGTCAGGATGGCCGTGGGACGCTTCTGTTCTCGTAGCGGCTCTGATCCATTGACAACAGTGACAACAACAGGCTTGAAGATGCTTCGAGAGCCAGCGAAAAGTCCTCAATGCTCCGCACAATCGCCTTGGTAGCTAGCGTAGCGCTAGAGCACACGAACCGCAAGACATTACCGAGTGCCGCACCACAGCCTCTGGAGCAGCACCCTCGCCAAGTCCAGCGAGGGCGTGGGCCGCAGCCCTCCGGACCTCTGAAGAAGTTGTACGCCAAGAAAAACTCTGAGAGTTCAGATTGATTCACATGGTTTGAGTCCGATTCCAGACTGCCGGTGCCTGCATCTCAGAGTCATTCAGTGCCAGAACGAGCTCATGGAGGCAGCCGCAAGCAGGCCTCGGGTTGACCATTGACTCCATTGACTCTTCGCATCTTTGCATCTTTGCAGCCAACAGAGAAACATCTGAAGTATTCTCAAAGTTTTCAACAAATCCTTTAAACCTGCAGAGGTCGTGACGGGCCAAGCTGTCCTAGAGCTTCGGCGCACGCTTGCCGAATGCATGCCTTGGGCGAGAGGCGCTTGGAGAGCGGACTCTTTAACTAAGATTGAACATAAAACCGAAGTAAACCAAAAAAAATGATTGCTTAGGGAAAGGGAGCAGATTTGAGAGCGCTTTGCAAGCCTAGGGACCGCTTCATTCATGATCAAATGGGACGCCAAGCGATTTGCGTGCCTCAGGGAAGCAACCATGGCGTCCATGGATAGTGGGACTGGCTTTCCAACTCAGAGGAAATTAGGCATTGAAAAGCAAGCGGCATCTTCGCGATGTGCAGGGCCGACTGCCTGCATCGTTCTTAGGCTTGCCACAAATTCACTGCACCGTCCGTGCCCCATCCAAATTTGCCCGATAGGAATTACATCTCAGAATCTAAAAGCACGAAGAATGCGAACAACATGGACGACTCAGCAGACCTCACTCAGGCCCTGCTAGACTGTTCTTCACTTCTTTGCTTCTACTAGACTGTTCTGTAGTTGGCAGTTTAAACGCAGGCTGACGTATGTCAAGCCGCCTGCATTCCCACCATCTTCCCCAGTGCATCCCTACTCGTATCACTGCAGGAAGAGCTAATCAAGCTTTTCTCTTGGTACGGTAGTCACGTGAATGCCTTTGCAGAATGTCTTGCGTCTCGAGGTGCCATAAGCAAAGTCGCTCTAACATCCGTCGACAGGCCTGCTGGAAGAACCCAGAGTGCCCAGTGCCTGCCGTTCAACTTGCGAGCGACATTGGCTTTGCATGCACTTGGTTTCACGCTTCCCTCCTCCACTACGGATTTCTTGACCAGGACATCAGTATCTTCCTCCAACCGGGTCACCAACATCGGCACCTCAGCTGGAAAATGCAGACCTGTGGTAGCAAGGGCATTGCCCGACTGTGGACGAGCTGCTTGCGGCAAAGGTTCTGAGGGAATTCCAGCTGCGCCCATTTTGCCCATTGCAGCGGCGGCGCTTCGTCTCACTTGCACATTTGGCACCTGGAATGCCGATCGCTCTTGCTCTGTGAATCTGACTGGGTAAGCCGCTCGAGGCCTCAAGCCGCGCTCGAATCAGCGAGACATGCTGCGCCGCAGCCGCTCCCATATTGCCAAGAACGTCTATCACAGATCGGTACACGCGGACATCATGCTCCTGAACAGAGACATCAGAGACTGGCCTATGTTTGCTTCCATCAGCGCACCTCCTGATGTGACCAAAAAACCTGTCCTGCAGCCGCCGTGCCAAGTCAGCAATATGAGCTTCGGCAAGTGGTCCACCAATTCGACGAAATGCCTGCAAACAGCCACGATGTTAACCGCTGGGGCTGCCAGCATAGAAGATTGTAAGAGTATGTCGGCTCACTTGAGGCGCGGGGCGAAAACGAAAGCCGGCTTACCGACTGATCAAATATCAAGAGCTCTGGTTAGAATTACGTCCGAAACCAATGCGAACCCCACTTCTGAAGGTCGCAAGCTTGAGCAGTTCCTTTGGTCTGAAAAGGAATACATGATAGTACGCGATAGTACATGTAGAAGTGCTTGGGTGCCTCGCAAGCCTGTAGTCTGACGACGTCGCTGGGATCTGTAAGCTGCTCGGCCAAGGTCTCTGCTGCCTCTCCAAGTTGGAAAACAAGTCCACCCTACAGGTCACGAGATCAGAGCAAAAATAAGACAGGATTCTCAGGCCTTCCTTTGCATGCCAGTTGGCGATTCTTTCACATCTTTGCCCGACAGCAAGAACGCGATCGCCTGCTTGTGCCAGGGTATGAACACGACTGGGCAACCCCACACGACCGTGCCCCTAATCTATGATTCCGAACAGCACGGCCTCCGCCACGCCTCTACGCACGACAATGTGCGAGTCAGTGGCCCGCTTGACCATAAACTCAAAAGCGCTCTCTGACACCTGGCAAAAGCCAGTGTGCAGGTACGCAACAAAGGCAGCATTGTGAACTCTCGCACGCTCTGCATAGTGTGAAGGGAGCCTTTGATAGACAAGCCCATGATGCAAGGCGAATCTCTGGCTGATTGGCAGCCAGGAAGACCTCGGACTGATTTCCCCCTTGCCAGTTCACAACGAAAGTACCTAGCCCTCCTGACTGCAAAGGGTCCACTCACCGCATCATCTCTAATTCTGCCAGCAAACAACCAGCACATCGGCGTACGGCTCAATGATGTGGTCTGGTGCTCCCTGCAGGATTCCGATTCCGATCGGCAATTGCACAAAGTTATTTACGTAAACAATTTCTCAGATGCATGTGCCTGTAATGCATCGAGCATGATTCGCTCCAAAGTACCATTTTCTGGCTCGGTGTCATCATCATCCTCCTCGTCTCCCTTCTTCTCTTCCTCCTCGCGCGGCGTGCCTCCCTTAAGCAGCCTGCGGCAACATTGCAATCATCCGAGAGTCGCTCTGCTAGGATACATATGTGCCACCTCTGCATGAGTGCTTCTGCTCCAGGAGGCCCCAATGCAACGAGTGCCCTTGCGGCTGCCATAGAAACAGCAGTGTGGAAGTCCAGGAGCAATTCCACCAGGTCGCCTCGCGCGTATGCTGTCTTTTTTTTCAAGTTGACTTTGCTACGAGCTGAAGGCAAATTGAAGGCATTGCTGCGACCAGCCTGCATGCTTGGCTGCAGGCTCTCCGAGTTCCTCGGAATCTTCTCAGCCGCTGCTTATTTGTACAACCGTTGACATGCTCCAGACCTCGCTCTCAATCTGCGCAGGGCACTACTACTTCACTCCGAGGATTACAACCTCAGCACCAGAATTTCAAAACAAGGCCCACATGTAATTTTTTCAGAAGCAGAGGCAAAGAACACCGGAAAAAAGGCAGGATATCGGCTCGCTGCACATTCTAAGCCCTCGTTTTTTCAACCCATAGTCACCCCATATTGCTTGATTTTTGTTGATTTACGATGTATGTGCAAGCGGCACAACATGCCTTGACATTGAGGGCACATGCATGTAACCGAGCCACACTTGTTAGCCTTTCGACTGCTGCACTTGTACGGGCCCTCTGGTATTCGCGTTCTCTCGCTCCTAATTTCTGCTGAGACGCCCCCAGGCTCGTGGCTGCAGCACGTCGAACAAAAGTCTCTGGGTCAGTGAGCTTCTCCGCAAGCTTCTCCGTCTGGTGGCATGAAGGTTGTCCGAATGTTTCAGATTGGTGCTCAAACATAACGGCAGGTGCTTGCGATCTGTTCAGGGGAGCCTGCTTGCAGCCGCATCTTGCCAAAGCCTCGCACGCAGCCTCTCGCCTCGCATGCCGAAATCCGCTGATATCAATCTGCTCTGAAGGAGATGTAGTTCATGTACAGCAAGTGCCGGCGCGCGACTGAGTTATACTCAATTTTACTCAGCCAGTCGCACTTTTGCATCACTGTCCGAAAGCAAAGGCAGGAATGACTCTTCGAGGTCTTTGGAGCCCTGCCGCAGGTGATAGAGCGGGTGGTACTGCAGCATTCGAACATGTTGGAAGAAAGCCATGCAAAGCCAGAGCCTCAGCTATGACCATCAAGGCTTGCGCTCCAACGCAGCGAAGTGAAACCTCGTCGGACTTCAGAAACTGAACCTTGGTGCCAGAGCGCGCTACTGTCTACGTAAAAGAGTGCTTGTCACAAGCCATTGAGGAAGGTGCCAACGGCGGTATAGTCTCCTGATCACTTGAGAGCAGGGCGGACGAAGACTGCGCGGAGAGGCTTCTGTTCTATGCTTGATGCTGGGCACTTAAGCGTAACTTTTGCACCCCATCCATGCTTCTGACATCGGCATCAGAGTGGAGCAATGTTTCTAGAGCAAGTTGGGGGTGACCTTGGAAGGGGGTTGGGAGGCCTTAGGTCAGTTCCTGCTCCACCTTATTCGCGAAAACCTTGCTCCAGGCTTTTGCTGATTTACCAGGGGGTAAGGCAAGCAGGGGTCCCTGAAAAATCAGGACTAGTCTCGTGTTGATGCAAGAAGAAACAGCGAAAGGTTGCAAAAAAGAACTTACGCAAGCTCCTGAAGCTGGTTCTCATGATTGCTTACTAACACTCCGCGAGATCTACATGGACCCGTTCCTTTGCCGTCGGTCCGAGCTTGGACAGTGCACTGGCTGCGCTCCAGCGTACCTGGATCTCATCTCCAGCCACGAGGCGGAATTGCATGATGCAACGGCTTGTGCCATGTGCAGAGCCCTCGCGCTTGCTGGGGAATGTGCCGACCGAACATCGTGTACGAGGCTGTCTGCGAGGACATCTGCATGCTTCGAAGTAGCTGTGCCTGCGATGGAAGCTTTGAAAGTTGTGCAGCAGTGCGTGCACGGGTTTCAAGCCAAACCGCGCGTCGCCACAATGGAGTCGCAAATCCATCCAAGCAGCCCAATTCTGCTAGAGCTGCTGCCACAGGTGTCCAATTCCAACTGTCGATTCCTCATGTCAGGAAGCTTAGGACACTGGAGTGAAGCATAATAGTCATTTGAGACAGTGAGACACATGGCAGAGCAGAGAACGCTGGCAGAAGGCGCCTTCCAAGATCTGTGCTAATGCTTCTGTGTAGGGCTTCGCACTTCGACCTCAGCGGGTCCATTCATCGAGAAGTTCGTGCGAGTTTCTGCAAGCTGGGAGATACTCGGAGGAATGCCCAGCTTGCCCAAGGTTTCCTGAGTCGCTGCGAGCTGCTCTCAATGTGACTTTGCGCAAGCGCATATAGCGCAGATGGATGCAACGGATTTGGCGAGGCTCGATGCATCGACGGCGTGCCAAGGCATCTCCGTCATGGACACCCGCTGCCAACAGCTCAACGTGCTCAGCCACCTGACCCGCCTCAAGAATGCAAGCCTTCGATCGCTGGGCTGGCGAAGACTAGCAGACACTTTTTGAGCAGACACTATATAGCTGCATCCCATCTCCCTGACTGAGCCATGTACCATCTCAGCATTTGCCAGCTCCCCAAGTGCCTCGACAGCTGCCAAAACAAGGTCATGTGTATTCATACAAGGGAGATTTGAGTGGTATTCATACCTCATGCAGGAGACCACTCTAGAGGATTCAGGGGCTACATGACAGGCATAATTTGCACTACTTAAAGTATGTGCTAGGATTTCGAACAGACATGCTGCCCCAGCTAACTTTCACTGGGCCAGCATCAACCAGCAGGAACCACAGCGCTTAGCAGCACTCGAGTGGGAGAGGGAGGATGTGAATAGGAAGTCAGACGAAGTGAGTGGAGGGACAGAGACATGCCGAGGCAGGAGGCCTTGATATCGATGGCTTCACAGGAAAAGGCTTCAAAACAAGACAGAAAGTGGATGATAATGAGGACACTGAGGACAGTACCACTGCTGCACTCCGTCTCACCTCTGGAGCCTTGTCCTTACGAGACACTCCGCCCTCATCCGAGCTTCCCATCCGAGAAGAGAACGCACAGTTCGTTCTAGGTCAAGTGGGGCAAAACATCAACACGAGTCAAGCATGTAGCAGCAAGTGTGCAGATTGGGCAAGTCCTCCAAGCACTTTGCCAGTGGAGATATCCATTCGCGTGCAGCATCTCCCATTTTACCGAGTGTGTCTATGGCAAGGACCTGAGCCGTCAAGCCATTTCAAGCCAATGTTCGACGCCTTACCCTGTGAGGTCTGCTACGAGTTTCGCTGACGGTCTGATATGTTCTGATATGTTCTGATATGGTCAGATGTGGTGTGATGTCCATTGACGGCTGGCTGGCCAAAAGCATGCCGTGTAAGACCGCGACGCGAACGTCCAACTTGATGCTTGGGTCCAGGAGTGCTCCTTTTAAGCTGCAAGGATGTAGATTTGGGATGTAAGATCCAATAGGAAAACGTATATTCGGAGCAAAGAAGGGGCCTCTAAGCTCGGCCTCTCTCTGCTGCACAAAGTTCCCTTTGCAACATGCGAAGATATCTGAGGATGCCGCCCAAAGCGTTCGCACCCGACACGCTAAGTGTTTTCAAGGTGGATACGGCCTGCTCAATGCTCTGCTCAATGCTCTAAGGTACACGAAGTACACTTACATAGTGCCGCTGCATCCTTCAAAGCTCTCTCTTGATAGCCTCCTTGCGCACTTTCGGCTCTTGCTCATGCAAGCAGTGCGCGACAGCTTGAGCTTGTCCGAAGCTGTCCTTAACACGGCGGTGTGAGAACAGTCAGCAGCCTGAGGGGACTGTCAACGAGCATTGCTTTCACAAGGCCTCACCAAACTCCCGGAGAGCAGCAGCAGCAGTCAGGCGACGCTGTAGTTGCGCTTCCTGTAAGGAGGGGTGATTGGGGGCGGAGAGAGCCTGAGGCAGCTTCAGATCTCACTCTCGCCTTCAGCTCGTCCTCCAGCATGTTCTGGGAATCATGAACAGGCGGTGACGGATGTAGCAGAATTGGTGCCACCGCAGCTGCGCCGTCCACTCCTCCAGGTCATGAGACAGACATGAACAGGGATTCAATCAATTTGAGCGGGAGTTTAGGCTTTGGTTTAGGGTCATCAAACAACTCGGCACCCGGACCCATAGACTTCAGAGCTGCCACCTCGGACCAGGTGTGCACGCATCTCCCAGAGCTTTCTGCGGCACCTTCTGCTCTTAATGTCTTAAGCCTAGCCACCGAAGACTTCTCCAGCTTCTCCGCGCCACATCCCAGCAGGCCAGCAACGACTTGGGCGTATGGTGCGGCTGCCTCCGGATCACTGCTCTTAGCCCAGGCTGTTGTCAATTCTCATGCTTGTATCGCTTGCAGATGGCTAGCAGGGACGAGATGCTTGATGCAAGGCTGCTGCGAAGGGCCTTGCCAAATGCGCCAAGGAAGTCGACTGCACGCTGCTGCACCTGGCAGCGCGAACGTAAACACAAAAACATGTTGTGTCGCCCATCATCTCAAGTCGCCAAGGCTATGCACAGGTCTCGCCTGAGGTGTGCTTGCACCTGAGCTCACGTTTTCTGCACATGTTGTTGATTGCTCTTGGTTCTCACACACAGAAAAGGCCCAGGGCTCCCTGATGTATTTGGGCTCCCAGCTCTGAATGCACTCTGCCAGTTTGGCAGGCCCAGCCGGACCAACCTGTTCAACTCAACGGCATGACTGAGGGGTCGGTGGTGAGTGTCCACGTCACCGGAGTCTATCAAGAAAAAGGGCTTGGTGCCTTTGTCAAAGCTTCAAAAGCCTCTTGCCAGACCATCTCAGACTCGTCAGACAGGCACTTGGCAAGCGCCGTCGCGGAATCACTGGCAGGTCTCAAGAATCGTGGACGAAGTAGAACAGCTGAATAAAGCAGACGACGGACTGAGTTCTCTGGGTCCAGAGCACCTCGCAGCTTCTCCAAAACGACCCAATGCTTCCGCACAAGAAAGCCGAACTTCCACGTCCGCGTCCTGGAGCTCTGATCTGCTGCAAGCAGCTTGTGTAAGCAGCTTGCAAGCAGCTAGATCAGAGGAGGCTCTAGCGACTGAGAGACACAGAGAAAAACTTTCTGCTGCGGCGCAGTCCTGCAACCCACCTTCCAGTGAGGGAATTGCAGCAGGGCCCATGTTGCGTAAGCACTGGATCGCACAGGTGCGAACTGACCAGCACCTGCAAACTCACTTTTGGAGGCTAACTTCAAGCACTTTAATGACCATGTCATAATTCAATGTGCGGCTCCTACATGTCATGTGGCTAACACCGACCTGCAATGTGACAAGTACAGCCAGGGCACGGATCGCGCAGCCGACGGGCTGCATCAACAGCGAATGGTGCCGCCAGTGTCTCCAGCAGAGCCATGGCCTTATGATTTGCTGCAATTTGCCCTACTGGATAACAGGACAACACGTCCTTTCCTGTCAGCTCCCGGCCTGAACGTGCAGGTGCCTAGCAAGAACCGCCCGCAGGCAATTGTCACTCATGGTCCCTCATTGCTACCCCTTCGCACCCATCCCTGAAAGCCACAGCATTTAATTTAGTAGTAGCTAAACTTAAAAAAAGTAACAATTGTACAAGCCGGGCGCCTGGTGTAGGGATCCTCGCTTGACAGACCGGGACTGATCATCTCGTGTGCTTTGCCAGCCTGAAGGCATCACGCTTGAGCCCTTGTTGACATCCTTGACAAAGCCCTGAACACTTAGACAAGCTTTAACAGGGGCTGGCCAGGCCTCTGCAGCGTAGTAGAGGAAGTCAACCGTGCCGTGCCTCACTTCGGCAGAGGCGTCTTCCAGCTTGGCGATGATGCATTGGCCCACCTCAAGAGGGTCTTGACAGAACGCATCCTGCTGCTTGCAGGTCTCTTCATGTCGAATCGGCCTTGAAGCTCAATGCCTCGGGGATTGCTCGCAGAGTTTTGAGTATCCTTGCCTGTAGCTCTGGATCCTCGGACAGTGTACACTTGCACTTATCACTCATCCCCTTACTGCTGCCGTCATGTACTGCAATGCAACCATCTGCTGGCAAAGCTTCTGTGCGCTCCAGGCACTCGGTGAGCATAGATGCGCCTGGACATGAGGTGGATGGAGGAGCGGATCACTATGATTAAAGTGCTCGATGGGCACGAGTTCAAACTTTAAATTCATGCGGTTTGGCACTGCCTGCCTGTGTCGCCCATGCTCCCCAGTGCTTGGATGCAAGCTGACCTGCGGCAGACGCTGAGATTGATGACGCACGTTGCGACATACGCAACTCAGCAACTTAGCTGCTGGCTGGAGTTTAAAACCTGGCTTCTGTCTTTGTGCGGTCACTGCCTGAAACCCAGTCTCAGCTTTGTCATTCAGTATTGCTTTGTGAGCAAAAATCGGCCTTCGGATCATGGCCTCAGATGCGCTCCCATCTTTGGCTGAAGCCAAATAATTTTAGTACAGCAAGCACGCTTCAAAGGCTTTGCACAACCTGAAATCTTGGAAAGCTGCCATCTTCCCCTTCAGATCGCTCTAAGCGTGGTAGCCTGTGCGCCAAGACGCTACCTAGAGACCTAGAGAAAGTACCGTCTGCGCATCGTGCACTTGGAAGATTCGAGGCCCCATCTGCCAGGATTCCCAATCATTTCTGCTGTTGCGAGGTCCAGGTCGCTTCTGACATCCACTAGGTTCAGCCTCAGCACTCCAGCAAAGTCCAAAAAGCGGCTCCAAACACTCGCAAAGCCGAAAGAACAATCTCAGACAGCAACAGGGCTGAGAGCAGCTGCCAGAGTCAAGCGTGCAGATTGCCTTGGATGTGATGAACCTAACATAACCTAACTAATTGCAAGCCCGCCCCACGCCGCCCTCTTCCTTCACTTTCGTTCTTGTGTGTACATTGGAAACCGCCAAGGTTTCGGTTTTTGCAGCTGCTGGCTGCTGGTACACGCCGGCACAGGTCGTACCAGCAGAAGCAATACTAGCACTTGTAGCTATGGCAGTGACAGTATCTGTCAGCAATGGGAGCCAGGATCTTTTTGGGCATTTTTTTTGTTTTTCTTGGGTATGTTTTTGGGTTTAGGGTATGTTTTTGGGTTCAGGGTATGTTTTTGGGTTCAGGGTATGTTTTTGGGTTTAGGGTTTAGGGGTTAGGGTTTAAGGGTTTAAGGAGTTAAGGGTTTAAGGGTTTAAGGGTTTAAGGGTTTAAGGGTTTTGGGGTTTTGGGGTTTTGGGGTTTTGGGGTTTTAGGGTTTTGGGGTTTTGGGGTTTTGGGGTTTTGGGGTTTTGGGGTTTTGGGGTTTTGGGGTTTTGGGGTTTTGGGGTTTTGGGGTTTTGGGGTTTTAGGGTTTAGGGTTTAGGGGCTTAGGGTTTAGGGTTTCGGGTTTAGGGTTTAGGATTTAGGGTTTAGGGTTGAGAAAACCAAAAAAAGAACACCCCAAAAGAACCAAATAATATACCCCCAAAAAACCCACCCTCAGCAATGCAGATCCCACATAGTAGGAAGTAGGAGATGCAATCTTCAAAGGAAATGCAAGCTATGCAAATCGACGCAGCTCTGAAAACAAAGGTCTATGTCTATGTGAACCGATGCATCTCTCATAGTCAAGGCCCAGCATGCTTCTGTCCAGGCAAGAGTCTTCGAACAGCGCTGCGTCTCTGAAAGCAAAGCTCTATGGTTCACGCAGATCACTCTATCGCTTTATTTCCGCACTACTACGACTACAAGTACAACGTACTGCTGTTCCTGTCACAGATTGCTCTACTGTCACTGTCCTCCTCATGTTTATGCTCTCTGTGCCTAGCGCCTGTGCCCGTGTGTTAGCTAGAATGATTCGTCGAACGGTCAGTGTACCCATGCCTCCCCAGCACTGGTAGTGCATGCTTTTCTCCCCTTACCTCTGGACCCCCGGAATTTGCCGGACACTCCTCCGCCCCTCTCTAATGGCCCTAAAACGTACCTGCGTTTCGACACGAATCCTCGAAAGTAAAGTGACCCCCGCCCCCTTCCGCCTGCCCACCCTCCTCTAATTCCGATGTGGCTGCCCAGTGTACGTTTCTGTCCTGACAACTTGGCTTTGTTCTAACCTGACCCCCATCAGAACACCAATCTTGGCAACATGGCCAGAACCTTTGTTGCAGCTTGGGTGCTTGCGCTCAGCTATTTCCTTCAACTCCAGCATCAAACATGGGAAGCTTCTCTAAGTGCCTAATCTCAAGAACAGAGGCGTGCAGTCTCCTGTGGGTCGCTGGCGTGGGAAGTTGAACTGCCACCTGCCAGCACCAAGAGAACTGTTGTGACAGAAACCCATGTCGAAACATGTTGATAGCATGAGCATGTAAGCAAAGGGCTAAGCAGCCGCTGGCAGAGGAAAGGCGCCGCTGCCTCAGCCAGCCTGCAGAACCAGGAGGGGTACTTTGTGGTCTGGCGCATCAAGGACTCTTCAGGGAACTTGGAACTCTCGCTGTTGGATAGGGTTTCCCTTGTGTCCTCCGCTTCAGCTTCCCTTGAGCTATCATATACTTGCTCTTGGGCTTGGTGTCGCAAGCCGACCACGTGTTTTGCATATTTGTCTTCGCCTTGCCCTACTGTCTATGTCGCCTCTGTCTGTGTGTGTGTCCAACTCTGTTACAAAGTCAAGAGAGATTGACTACGGCAGGGTGGTGGCCCTCTCATGAGTCCACTGCCAGGCATAATCATCTAGCAACTCCTGCATTCAGTCGACGACCTTGATGCTGCCAACAAAACAGCCTAGCTGAGTTACACTAGTGACACTGACAAAAGTGGGTTCTGGCTGCGGGGGGATGCCCGCGCGCGCGCACATGCGCGCACGGCGTGGGGGTGGGAGTGGGGGTGGGTGTGGCTGTGGCTGTGGGTGTGGGTGTGGGTGCGGGTGTGCGTGTGCGTGTGCATGTGGGTGCGGATGCTCGTGCGCGTGCGCGTGCGCATGGGCGTTCGCGTGCGTGCTGTGTGTGCGTGTTGTGTGTGCGTGTGCGTGCGCGTGTGCTTGTGCGTGTGCGTGCGCGTGCGTGTGTGCGTGGGTCTGTGTGTGTGTGTGTGTGTGTGTGTGTGTGTGTGTGTGTGTGTGTGTGTGTGTGTGTGTGTGTGTGTGGTTGTGTGTGTGTGTGTGTGTGTGTGTGTGTGTGTGTGTGTGTGTGTGTGTGTGTGTGTGTGTGGGCGCGCGCGCGCTGTGTGCGTTGTGTGCGTCGTGCGCGTTGTGTCCGTTGAGTGCGTTGTGTGCGTTGCGTGCGCTGCGTGCCTGGTGTGCGTTGTGCACGTCGTGTGCGTTGTGTGCATGTGTGGGTATGCGTGTCGTGCGTGCGTGCGTGCGTGCGTGCGTGCGTGCGTGCGTGCGTGCGTGCGTGCGTGGGTGTGTGTGTGTGTGTGCGTGTGTGTAGAGTGTGTGTTGTGTGTAGAGTGTGTTGAGTGTCGTGTGTGTGTGTGTGCGTATGTTGTGCATGTCGTTTGTGTGTGTGTGTGTTGTGCATGTTGTGCATGTTGTGCATGTTGTGCATGTTGTGCATGTTGTGCATGTTGTGCATGTTGTGCATGTTGTGCATGTTGTGCATGCTGTGCATGCTGTGCATGTTGTGCATGTTGTGTATGTTGTGTATGTTGTGTATGTGGTGTATGTTGCGTTCGTGTTGTGCATGTTCTGTGCGTTGTGTGTTGCGTGTTGTGCATGTTGCGTGTTGTGCGTTCTGTGTTGTGTCTTCTGTGTTGCGTGTTCTGTGTTGGGTGCTATGTGTTATGTGTTTTGTGTTCTGTGTTGTGTGTTGTCTTCTGTGTTGTGTGTTCTGTGTTGTGTGTCGTGTGATGTCTTCTGTGTTGTGTGTTCTTTCTTGTGTGTTGTGTGTTGTTTCGTGTTGGTGTGCGGTGTGGTGTGGTATTTTGTGTTGTGTGCGTTGTGTGTTTGTTGGTGTGTTTGTTTGAGTGTTTGTGTGGCTGTCCGCGCGCCCGCCCGCCCGCCCGCCCGCCCGCCCGTCCGTGGGTGTGTGTGAGTGTGTGTGTGTGTAGGTGTGTGTAGGTGTGTGTAGGTGTGTGTAGGTGTGTGTAGGTGTGTGTCGGTGTGTGTCGGTGTGTGTAGGTGTGTGTGTGTGTGTTGTGTGTGTGTGTGTGTCTGTCTTTCTGTGTGTGTGTGTGTGTTGCCTTCAGTTGGCTTTTTTGATGGGCGACTGATCGATTGCACGGCTCGCGGATTTGTATGCTGATGTTCTGAGCTCAACTGTCGAGTCAAGCTGTTCCGGTGGAGATCCCATGGCAGCATGGAGGTGCGCCTGCTTGTTTCCTTGCTAGTGCCAATGAACTGCTTCAGCTTTTGCGTCAGCACACATGCTTGATGAAGACTTTAGCATGTTGAATGCTTACCGCCCAAGGCACAGGCTTGCCGTTTAAGAGGGCTGGCAGTCAGAATGAATCGCGCGTCAGAAAGAACCGACGAACTTCTACAAGCTAAGTCGACGACGGGCCCATGTCTGCGAGTGCTGCAGCTGCTGCAGCTTGGACTTCCACGTCCGCCTGATCACCAAATGTCACCACACCCGTGTCCGCGCCATGCTCGATTTCATTGACTGCACAGGCCTCACTACCATTTCCCTCTACTCCAAGGTGGGATGCCACCAGCTCCACCTTAGCATGTCTCCACAGGAATTCTCCCTGATGTTTACGTTGGGTCACGCTTCATGTGGCCAGTACGACCGCAAGCAAGGCTGCGAACGAATGGAACCGCTGCTTCTTGAAGTCCCCCGAGAGTTTGCAGAACCTGAGCCGCTGTCGTCCCGACGGTCAGAAGGTTTGCGCGTGCGCACGTGACATCGCAGAATGCTTGCGGTAGTGCAGCTCAGAAAAGACAATCGAATGCACTCGAGTGCGGGCTGGCTAGTCCCCGGCTGACAGTCGGAATTCAGACGAGCTTGAATTCGCAAGTCCAGCAAGGACCTGGTGCAGGTGCAAGGCCAAGCTTTAGACCCATGACATTGTCAAACTGACCAAGCGCCCAACCTGTGCATGAGGCCCTGCGAAGTTTGGCCCCAATGCACGCAGCCCATGAAGGGCTCCTGCTTGGACCTCGGCTTCCGCCCCTTTCGACTCGACCGACTCTGCCTTGTGATCTTGCCAGCCAACCTCGGGGCTCTGGTCTTCTTCAAGCAAGCCTGCCAGCTTGTTCGCCACGAGCATTGCCTGTACGGAACTTGTCGTAAAAAACAACAAACGGTACAAGAGCATGCAAGAGCTCTAGAGCTGAAGGCTCTACAAACTTACCGAGCCTGGTCAGTACCTTTCCTGCGGACCAGCCCACTCTCGACCTTGAGCTGGTACAGCTTGTCCTCGCAAGCTCTTCAACATTCTGCAACAACATACGTTGGAACGAAGTCTCCCTGACATCCTTGGGACGTCAGAACCTGCTCTATGCGGTTCTCCTCTTCCTCAGGCTTGCTCCCTTCTGTTCCTTCAGATTCCTGCTCGCGGCACGCACACTTGAGTTTTAGTAGTTTTTTGATTGTTCTAGTTCAACACGCATTCGGCACAGGATAGCTAGTCAAGCGGTTAGTCACGTGGTCCAAGTCCGTCAAAGCCCGCCTGCTCCACTTGCGCAGCCGCTAGCATAGCGAGCGTCATGCATACAGCACCACGAACTTGTGGCGCGCTGTCCTCCACAAGCATGGCTCGTGGTGCCTGTGTAGCCGCATTTCTGTTCGTAATGCTCGTGGATGCACATCATCCAAATGGGCTCCAAATCAATCATTGCAAGTCCTTCAAACACCGCATCACTGCCGGACCAGCTTCTTGTGCCACGGGCAGCTCGCACAACGTTTGTAGTGCCTCACCAAACAAACACACAGGCACGCGCACACAGGGGGTTCTGTAAGCCATGCCTCCAGAACGGTATGTCGAGTTGCTGCATTTGGGTCCTGAACAAACGATGATGGATGGCTCGAGGACGCGCACAGTGTGTCAAGCAAGCCTGGGCCGTGGGCATGCTTGGCATATTCTATGCATTGCAACACTGCAAGTTGTCCTCCAAGCGTGCTGCAAGGGCAAAGATTCCAGGTCGTCCAAGTTGACCCAGGGCCTTCTATCCAGCGCTGCAGCTACAGTACGAGACATTACTAGACAGGTATGTACGTTTCTCCAAGCTGTACCTGCAAAAGCCAAACCCGGCACAGTCTCAAGCGAGGCCTGAACTGCCTGTCGCCGCACACTCTCATCTTCATCCGCCAGGGCCAGAGATGCGACTGCTGGAGCATGGTCGCCCTGAGCTACTGCGAAGCCCGAGCATTGCTGGATTTGTTAGCTCATTCCGTTTCCTTATGCTGCAGATTGCTGGAGCGTAGCTCATGCGCACTGTGGTCGTCAAGAGGGTATCATGCAGAGATGGAGAAGAGTTGGCAGCAATTGGTCGAAACGTTTTCCGGATCTCAAGCCTGCCCGAAAGCTAGGCCCCGAGTTGAGAAACCTGTCCATCCCGTCTGCATCCGGACTTGTCTGAAATCTCAGGTTCTGGCCGCTTCCTCTCCGACACATCCAAGAGCATGAATGCAGGCGCACCGCATTGTCACCGAAGGATCCTGACAAAACCCTGAGCTCTGGCAATTTGGTGGGCAGAACAAGCATGTAGAAAGATGAACAAAGATGGACGAGGCTTCAGCTGTGCCTTGAGGCTTGTGTGGAAGAGCTGCCCGAAAGGACTCGCCTGCTCTCCTGCACAACTTTGGCTGAGCAAAGCTGCTTGGTTCTCAAGCTTGAGCAAAAAAAGCCACCAGGCTCACCGCGCCTTGTGCTCCCAAAGCTTTGATCAAAAGCACCCGCACGTCCTCCCTCTTCTCAGACTTGAAGGTTGCGGAAATATCTTTGGCAGTGCTTCGTGGTAGAAGGCCCAGCTGGCCCAAGGACAGTGCTGCTGTTCGTCTGAGATCTGGGTCGAAGCTGGTTAAATGCCTTGCCACAGCTACTGCGTGCTGCCCTGCAGGTGGCCCCAATTTACCTGCAAGTGCTACCGCCATCTTCGAGACCAAAAGGCTTGCATCATGTAGGAGCTTGGGAAGGACCTTGTTGGGTATGGCCGGATCGGAAAGCACTCCCAGTGCCTGCACTGTGCGTTGCCTGACGAGGTCATCGGGGCAGGCTGCACACTCGACAATGCCATCGAGCACCTCGCTTCCGATGCCCGCGAGCACAGCTGTCCCGAGCGCTTCACAAATCTCCAGAGCAGCGCACTTGATTTCCGGGCGTGAGTCACTCAGAGCTACAGGTAGCAGCTGAGGAGTCACATCCCGCAACCCAACCAAGGCCCGTCTTGCCGCTTCCAATTCCTGGGCTCCAAGATCACCTTCAGGAGCAAGAAGCAGGTAGTCCATCAAGGCAGATGCAGCAGAATGCCCTGCTTGTGGCCCCAAGCTGCAAAGCGCATCGGCGGCTGCGATCCGAACTTTCGCTTGTGTCTCAATGCTCGGATCCAACAATTTTGCCAACATGTTGGTGTAGGGTAATGCATTGGGGCCGACGTGGCCAAGAGCACAAGCCAAAGCTGCTCGATGTAAGGAATCCTCCGTGCTCAGGTTTTCTGCAAGAGCATTGGCACAGGAACTTCCCACACGTTGAAGCGCAACCTTCGCTGCATGTTGTACGCAGGGCGACGGGTCGTGCAGTCGGTGCACTATGAAGTTCATCCAGGGGCACATCAACTCATCAGAGCACTGCGACAAGCCATGTAGAGCTGCCGCCATACGGAGACTGCGGACACTGGCCTCACCGGCCTCGTCATCGTCTGACTCAGGCATGTCTTCTTTCAACAGGCCACCCAAAACATCTGCACCACCCATGGCCGCAGTATGCGCCACTGCTGTTGCTGCTGCAGCCCGGACGGGTGCCTGCCAAAAGCATGCTTCCTTCAACCCATCCCAATTCGGAGAGACTTCCCAAAAACCTATATCAATCATTCTCATGAACAGCTCTCGATATGCTTTCTCTCTGCTGCATCAGACACAAAGTAATGCCGAGACTGCCGTGAAGGTTTCCTTTCAGGCACTCGAGCGAAGTATCTACGTGTGACTCAAATACTTGTGAGACGAATCGGTGCCCCGGACGCGCGCCGTCCATGTGCAGGGGAAACTGCTTCGTGCTTCGGAAAAACTTCCGGCTTCCGCATCAGCAGCAACAGCTCACTTTTGAAAAGATTCGATCTCGACGCTCTCTGGCCATCCTGGAGGGACAAACTCCACACACTTCAACAGGTCACTTTAGCTTTCAAAGTTAAGGTCCAACAGTCCAACAAAATGGTATGCCATCCGCAGAATTGGTGGAACTGGCCTCCTGAACGCGCTTGTTTCATGCGCACTGCTCTTTGAGATACCCTCAGACGATCATTTCTATTGTTGACTAGGAAGGTTGAGTGTTTAGGAAAGGCTAAGACCTCTCCTACCTTGTAGATGCCCAAGCCTGCAGGAAGTGCACCCCATTGTGACAGCATCGACGCATGATTCTTACTCATCCACTGAGTCACTGGAAAATGCGCCTTGTGGCGATTTCACTCGCTTTGGCGGAAATCGCTCGCTCCACCTCAACATCCATGCATGCATTAAGAAGAGTTCCTAAAAAACCTGAAGCCAAGAACCCGAAAATGGGAGGATTATCACTATTTTGAGATGGATGCACATTAATCCCAAAAGAAGGACAAGCTACTTGGCCGTGAAGGGCCCCAATGTGGGCGGAGCTGGCGTTGCACAAGCAAAACCCAGTGCAGCATGGACACGAAACTGCGGAACGTTTTGATTGAAAGGATGGTCTCTGCAAGAGCAACATCGGTGTGGAAATCCTTTATGCTGACCTTAGTATTGAAATTGAAATTTCGCTCCAGCCTGCCGTCGCAGTTGTCGACATGCCCATATGGACACTAGAGCAGCCCACGTGAAATGAGCCCTTGCCAGACTCTCATGCACCCGGCACATGGTGTATGCAGTCCAGCAACAGAAACTTCTTCAACATTCAACCTTGGCCACCGGGGCAAGTACAGTACAGGCTCAAGAAGACTCAAGCAGGCTCAAGCAGGCTCAAGCAGGCTCAAGCAGGCTACAGCTTGCCAGCACATGCGAATACATTGAGTTAAGAGACTCCTTGACCAGGTCGACAGTGACGTCCACCTTGATAGTTCTTTCGGTTGCGGTCTCAAGCCTCAACATCTCCTTCATGGTTCAATATTTTAAAAGTTTTGAAAAGCTTGGAAGTGCTGAATCCTGCTGCGACCGCTGGAACGCTGCTGATTGGCACCTTTAAGTTGCAACACCTGCATGCATTCAATCCGGATGTCCTTCGCCTGGTCGGCAGCAGACGAAGCTTTTTGCGCCACGGACACCATGCTATCAACGATGCTCTTGGCAGCGCCCTTGGTGTTCAGATTTTCCAGCACAATGATGGAAGCCCGCTGCACGCTGCTATGTGGGATGCAGTCTGCCGCAAGACTGCCCACACATGCCAGAGAAGCAAGTGGAAACTTTTGCACGTCGTACGAGCTACTGGTGCTATCACAAGTACAACTTAGACAGCAACTACCGCTGCTATGATAGTGCTACCAGTACCTGCACTCGAACCGGCACTGGCCGCCCCCTTCCCCCCCCCCACCCAACCATGCCGTTTTCCCGTCGGCGCAAACTGCGGAAAGCTCTCAAGTCCACTGATTCACTCCTGTTCCTCCTCTCGCGCACTCACAAAAGCCACACTGACTCAGGAAACCATCGAAACTTATTCATGCTCTCGCTCACCTCCGCAAGGTGATTTACACGCTCACCCGAGTATGGCGCACACGCACGAAAACGCACCCGTGTCTCTCTCTTTTCGTTTGCTCTTTTCTGTGTGTCCTGCAGCAAAATACAAGAATACAAGACCACATGCGCAGTTGTCCCAGCCATTAATGCCTTTCATGCTGTTTAGAGCTCGAAGCTGCTGGGGGTTTAGTTCTCTGCTGGCCTCGGCTGTTTGCTACGACTGCGCGACGCAAACCACCTTTCAAAACCTTTCAACACCTTTCCAAGCATTCAGCGGGGTGTTTTGAAGCCGTTGGTACAAATCTACTGTAGAGACAAGAATCAGGAAGGAAAAGATGAGGTGAATGCCAAAATCCCACCCATGAGCGCCGGGCCTCGCTGACACCGGCCTTCTTGCAGCTAGCTGTGGCGCCCTTCACAGCAGCAGCCCCGGCTAGCCGCGTCTGCCAGGGAAAGAAAAAACAACGACATGTCCAGCAAATGTCCACCTCTCAGATGATCGCCTCTTGCCACAAAACTAAGAACCGCGACATCTGGCAAAGGCTAAAGGCTGTGGGTGCGCGTGTGAGAACACACTTGGTCTGGCTTACCAAAATCAGCTGAAGCAGTGATCAGAGCTGAGATCAAAGCAAGAACAGTGCATCGGCCTTTGTGCCTTCAACAAGGCAAGATGTCCGGAATGTCAAATCACGCCTGATGCTTTGAGGCCTACTTGCAGTGTTCATGAGCACTCGAAAAGGAAAAGAGGCAACCGTAGATGTGACTCTAAAGCATTTGCATGTCTAAGTATTATTGATAGACCTTCTGATTGAGGGTGCAAGAGATGCTTCAACATTGCAGGAGAACTATACAACACCCTAGATTCATGAGCCGATCGAGGTCGATCCCCACAACAATTACAATGCATGCTGCAAGCCAGTCGATGCTCCGAAAGCTCGCACATGGAATTCAGAGGCCCCCCCCCCCCCCTAATTTCTCCACTTCTCAACCCCTCGGGGACCCAACGAAGGGAGACCTGACTCTTAGCAAATTTCAGGGACCCCTCTCAGGGACGCTCCAGGTTTAGGGACACCGGACTGAAGCGGTTTTAGGGGATCCCCCCGCCCTAGTTCAGACCTCCCATGCCCCTTGACCCCGGACTCCCTGACAAATCTTCAACTTGGGCGTTCGAGCGATGTTCGGATCCGGCGGTCGACGTGCAGTGTGCACAGCTACTGGTTTTTCAGTGTTTTCGAAAGATAGCATGCTTCTGGCATCGCCTGCTGAACTTTCGCCTGCATGGCTGACAAGGGGCAATGTAAATTTCAACGGGCTGAACGAAACCGATCCGCCATCTTCTTTCTCGACCTTAACTGCAACTTGCTTCTTGTTCGAACGAATGCAGCGGACAGAGGCACTGACCTCTTGCTCAGGGCCCGGCAGACAGGAATGTGACATGCACTTTGGGGTCAATCCTTCAGTTGCAATACATTGCAATACTCACCTACCTCTACCATGGTATGGCAGCGCATGGCCTAGGGTCAGGCTGCACCACTTTCGTTTGACCCTCCAACCTGTCAGAGGGGCAGGTTGGCCCTAGCAACTCTTCATCTGAACTTCTCCGAACTCATTTGCCTGTTTTTCAGCTCTGCCAGCGCATAGTAGGTGGCATCTGTCTCGCAGCTGCAGCTGCAGGCGCCGCCCATGGCCAGTTTGACAAGACAGAGATGCCAAAATTGTACAGGTGCAATATCGGTAGAAAAATCGAGCTCTGCTTGAGTCTTGACGTGCACTCCTTTCTGAAATGTTGGAGTCCCGCCTGTGAATCAACTTGGCAGCACATGCACACATCTGCCATTGCAGCACGTTGCAGCCTGTGACAGCCTGTGAAGGCCTGTGACAGCCTGAGAACAGGATTGAAAAAGTCTGCCACAACACTCCGCCTCGCTGTCCTTCAGGCATAAAACCAGTTGATGCTGGAGCTCGGGGCAAGCATCGAGAGCCTGCAAACATTGCAAACTCTCATGCAGCGTCATGGCCACTCCAAAGCAACAAGCAAGCTCAATTCATGGGGTTTCGGGAACACAGGCGACAACTTCGCGCTTTCCAGCCAGATACAGAAGAGGGCCACATAGAGACACAAACACGTGAAGCGCATGTGGATTTCACAGGGTTCGGTCGTAGGGCAGTAGGAAGAAGTGGGGCAAGATGGACCAAGTTATGCCGGCCCTGCTGCTGGAGTGCCTCCTGCGGGCCAACGAAGGTGAGCCGGCACAGAGCTTCAGCTGCTGCACGACGGGTGTTGACTGCTTCATCCTTGCCAGGGGGCTGTCAACCACACGCTACATTGACTACACTGTGTACATAAAAGTAGACTTTTCTGGAAACTGATGTCGACTATAGCAGCATCAGAATCATCATGATCTTTGCAAGAGAGTCCTGAAGCCTTGCGACCAATGATGGCACATGAGCCATTGCTGCTTGCCAGTTTGGCATGCGGCCGAGCGCTTCGCAGACCACCTTCCATGACGTGGAGCAACTGTGTGGTGAACTCATGCATCGACCTTGCATTCGCTTAGCTCAACTGGCTTAGATTTGAAGACTGCAATGCAGCACATATCCAGGACCGTAAAGAACCGCGGCTCTGCCTGCTGTTCAAGCTCTGACCGTTCCTCGCCAAGTTCTTTGGCAAGCGCAGCGGCCTGGTGCAAAGTCTTGAAACGTAGGGTTTTTGCCTGCGGTTGCTCGACACTGCAGGTTTGAGCCGAGGCGCCCCAGGTGCACCTAAACGGGCAAGCGCCACGGCCGTAGATGTAAAAACTGCGGGCTCGCTGTCCTGTACTTGACACGCTGCGTCGGCTGTACTGGATTGCACTGGCTGACCACAGAATCATCATGAACAATCTCGGAATTCTCGTCTTGCACGCTCAAGGTTTGCAGAACCCATCGCTTGCAGACCTGGAAACGTTTTGCCACCACAGCCGCATGCGAAGGGTGTGCTCTCTCGCCGATGTGGCCTTAAAGCAAAAACAAGGAAGACTGATGTGAAGCACGGAAATGTTCCGAATGATCCGCCGAAGCCTCGGGCCGCAAATGCATGGGTAGCATAAAGAAGGTTCCCCACCCATGTCGTACTTTTTGCTTGGAATGAGTACCCCTTGATACCCCCTGGCCTAAAGGCATCCGGGAGCCGACGGAGGAGGCCGACCACGAACGAGACCAAATTTCCCCCCCCCCCCACCCCCCACCCCCCCCCCCCCCCCAAACCCCCCCCCCCCACACCCTCCCCCCACACCCCCGCCTTTACCTGCCCATTTTTGCCCTCGGCTGCCCCCGTCCCCTGCCCTGCCACGAGCGGCGGAGGCGGGTCGCGTAGCGTTCTAAGTTACGCCTGAGATAGCCACCCAGGATGATCACAGTTCGTTGTCTCACCTTTGGCTCGGAGCTCCTCAGCGGAAGCCGTGGTGGACCGAACCAAATGATTCAACAAATGCTTCATGGAAGGTCTTCAGGTGGCTGGCTGTAGATGAATCTCCACTGCTTCGCTGTATCTGCAGTTGCTCGCATCCTGCTGTGAGGCACTTGTGTGACCGAACACTTCTCACTGCACATCTGACAAGGTGGAGATAACTGCGAATACGGGTTCTGCAAACAAACTCTCCCTCATGATTCTTCCGCTAGCATGGCTCCTCTGGACCTTTCTTGGTCGCCATTATTATTTTGCCGCTGCTAGCATCTTGCTTTACACTGCACACGATAGCACAGCGATGGGATGCACTTCCTGTTAAGGGGTGGGGCTGAGATGGACTGAATTCATGGAGTTAGAATCAGCAGATTGTACTGTAGAAAACAGCATACATCCGAGTGCCACAAACTGTCGAGTTAAGTAGCCTGAAGAGTGCGTACTAGTAGCTCGGAATGCCGATGAGATTGTTGACACTGTGAGTGCATGTTCTACATGTCTGTTACAGAAGATCTGGAGCCAGAAAGCGGCGACTTGCACCATACCTGCAAAGGCTACAATGAGTCGGCTGCGTGTGGACAGGACAATGAGGGTCCAAACGGTCCTGCACCCTTGGATCAGCTTTGGATTAGAATGGCATACACCATGTATGCACCGATGCCCCTTGTTTTTGTCAACCAGAGGGACTTGTTGCTCAAGCCGCGCTGGGGGCATGTACGCCGGTAGTCCTGGCATCCAGGCATCAGAAAAGTGAGTACCTGCGCAACCTCCCATCCCGGAGACCAAAGTCCCGAAGTACCCGGAGCCTCTTCGAGGCGGCGTTCCCGTGTTGGCATTAGCTCGAGAAGTGCCGCTTTGGGCCTTCAAGGACGGCTTTGCCTTTGTTTGGCCGCCCATCTCCGCGCCTCGAGAGATCTGTGCTACAAAGCAACTGTAAAGTTGACCGTTGGACAGCTTTCTGCTGAGACACGGAGGTGCTGGGGCATCGCAGCCGCAGCCGCCTGTGAAGGATAAGGGCAACTGTCAATGGAAGCAACATGAAGCAACTGTCAAGGCTTTTTGCGCTTCAGGATTCTAAAAGCGCCTCTGCAGGTTCGAACGGTGCCAATCTGGGCTCCGGAGCTTCAAACGGCGCAAACCTCAGGCGAAGGAAAAGCAACAAAAGCCAGCTGAAGACGCGCCATCCTACCATCAAGAATAAGAGCCATGCTGCTGCGAAACTCCAGAACGAGAAGAGTCCTGATCTTGCAAGGTGTTCGACCATTTCCATATGCACACCATATGCCATATACAGTATTGCCGTATCACCACCAAAGAAGCTTAGGATCCCGACCGGCGTCCCGGCTGTCAACTTCTCCATGCGGAAGCGAGGTACATCAGGGTTCAAGTCCTGGAGTGAAGACTCCGACGACGACAAGCCCAAAAGCCTCTGATGAAATGCCCCGAAGTCACTCCTGCAGCAGCTCTTCAAGGCCACTGCCCCACTGCTCCTCCACCTCTGCACTCAAGCACGAAGCTCAACAGCCACACGACGTCACACAGCAACACTTGCTTCGTCTACACTTCGTGAGTTCTGAGCTCACCGACCTGCTTGAATTTCACAAGGAGCTTCAAGCGGGCAGTCATCGTGATTCGAACCCGATCCTTCCAACTGGCGCTTGCACCGCCTTGCGAAATTCGGCTGATTCACACGACAGCGTATAACTGCCCAACCCCATGATTTGACCTTACATGGCTGTGAAGCTTGCTTGCAACCAGGCCTGCGACCGACAGGAGGCTGTCATGATCCTCGGCCAAGCGGAGGTGTGCCTGGAGTGCTGGCACCCGGTCCCTTCCAATCGTGTGTCATTTCTGCACATCAACTGCAAAGCGTGATACATCCAGATAACTCAGATAACTGTTTCTGAGCCTTGGAGCTTCCTGCAGCCAGAGCGAGCAGCTGCCAGACGCCATCTGGACAGTGCGAAGCTGAGAAGAGCAAGGCGGATTGTCATCTTGAAGACTTGAAGCACATCCTGCGATGCACATCTCTGCCTCCATCACTATCTGCCTCAGTCTGAGTAAGGTGTGTAAGGCGTGCAAGCCAGTTGCAAGCCGAGGCCAACGGAAGCTAGCTCGGGTGCGTGGCACCAATCCCTAAATCCATGAGCCCCGAAACCCTGAATCCCTGAACCCCTAAATTCCAGATTCCCTCCACACCAAACCCGCAAACTCTTGAGTCCCTGCCCCAAAACCCCTGAACTTCAAACTCTGAACCGTTCAAGATTGGACCCCCCTCATCATATGATAGAATCGAAAGCTCGCAGCTCCCCGGACTTTGTCCGACCCTGCCAACATGGGAGCCCAGCGCGCAAGCCAGGGGCAAACGCGGCAATCAGGAGCACCTGCACGCAGCTGTGCGCAGGCAAATTTCAGATGTGCGCAGGCAGCTTCAGAAGCTGCCAGGGCCTGGGCAAGCATCTCTCGCCATCGCCGCACAGCTATGGTCATCCGGGACTTCCTGCGCTGGGCTGCAGAGTAGAAGCATACTGGATGTTCGTGAGTCTAGTTTACAATGCACGAGCCAGCAATCTTGCTGACCTTGCAACCTCATCTCTGAGCTGGGCGGCGGCGTGCTCGAAACCCTTCCTGAGGTAGTAGCACTAACCATGCGCACAGTTGATGGTTGAATTTCTGCATGCTGTTGCTTGTTTGCCAAACATCTACAGCCAAGGCACACCTCTTGATCCATCTTCTCCTGCCTGGCAGGGAAGTAGACACATCCCAGACTACAGGATTCTCCACACAGCCTCCGCACTCGGTTCAAGCCTCTGCCGTTCCCGGACTTCATGCCAAACCCTCTTCTCGTTCGCCAGCTGCATAATGCGATCTGGGCATGTCTTGGACCACCCAGCAAACGAATCAAGCGTCGCACGCTGTACATGTACAACAGACTTCTTGCATCGACACAGGATCCAGCCAATGTTGACAGGCTTTGTCTTGGTGACCACCTCGCATGGGTACTGTTGACACACGTACTGAAGGTTTCGACAGGTCTGTCCTGCTCCTCCTCTTCCTTCGAAGACGGCTTCGCCAGCCGATCAATGTACTACACTCAGGATATCTTGGAAAGAGCAATCAGAGAACAACGAAAGCACGCCAAAAAGCTTGAGGGCACGGTGAACATCTCCTACAGTCCTCAGGGTCGTGGCTGCGAGCAGGCCTAGCCGCAATGGGCTCCGCAGCCTCTCAAAGCTTCTTTATGTCTTTGATGTCCCGAGCAGTTTGTAAGACGCACACCACAGTCAGGGTGTTGCACACAAGGCATGTGTAGCCTCTCGGCGTGCTGCTTCGCGCCGTTTGGCATCCTCGTAAAGCAGCTCGTGTATAGGTGGTCCCGTGGGTGCCAGAGACCTGGCAAGCGAGAAATGTAGATTCATGCCGAGATGAAAGCCCACATGAGTGGGAAACACATGCACATGTGGCCGTGGAGAGTCAGGTCGAGGATCTTTGCCAACATTTTGATGGCTCAGCATCTCCTGCACTCTTGGATTTGGGAGTGGTATAATGGACATGAGACATCGAAGACAGCTGACAGACGTGGTGTAAGCATGGTGTGGGACGGAGCTCCTCTACCTTGCGTTCCTGCTCCTCACGTAGCCGCTTGAAGACCTGGACAAGTGCAGACCCTGCTTTGCTGGATTCGCGAACGACAAGAACCTTTGTGCAACCATGTTGTTTTCGTTGATGAGCAGGTGGTGAGCATTCTTGACTCGCTTGCTTGGCGTCAGGGCTACATCTCGGGGTTCATCAACATGCTCTGTTGCGCCATGCCTTCCAAATTCAGATGCTTCATGCTGGGACTGTGCGCTGCACTGCGCTGCACTGCGCCGCACTGCGCTGCGCTTTTGTGTGGGAGAGTGTGAGAGAGCGTGAGTGTGTGCGTGAGTGCGTGTGCGTGAGTGCGTGTGCGTGTGCGTGTGCGTGTGCGTGTGCGTGTGCGTGTGCGTGTGCGTGTGCGTGTGCGTGTGCGTGTGCGTGTGCGTGTGCGTGTGCGTGTGCGTGTGCGTGTGCGTGTGCGTGTGCGTGTGCGTGTGCGTGTTCGTGTGCGTGTGCGTGTGCGTGTGCGTGTGCGTGTGCGTGTGCGTGTGCGTGTGCGTGTGCGTGTGCGTGTGCGTGTGCGTGTGCGTGTGCGTGTGCGTGTGCGTGTGCGTGTGCGTGTGCGTGTGCGTGTGCGTGTGCGTGTGCGTGCGTGTGTGTGTGTGTGTGTGTGTGTGTGTGTGTGTGTGTGCGCCCACACGCGGGGGTGCGTGGGGGTGCGTGGGGCGTGCCTGCGTGCGTGGGCTGTTGAGTCTATTCGAGAGCAGCGTGAGATCATAGACGTACCTTCCTTCCTTTGTAGTGCCAACATGTGGAACACCAACCCTGTCTCCCAGGGAGTCAGTCGCCGTTGTAGAAGCCCTGTTTTCGCGTTCCAGATTTGAAGAAAGCAGAGGAGCAGCATGCGCAGGTCAAGTAGTCTTATTTGTATTCTTATTGACACGGACGAGGGGGTGCGTTACAAATTTGCTACATACTTGCTGTAGAGTCCAGTGCTGCTGAGGATGAGCCTGCTTGAGCTAGAGCCGATAGCCGACCCGATTCGACTTATTAGGCTCCAGTTCAGTCTGTCGAGCGGTTGCTGCACGAGCCTGTTGCTGATTGTCAACCTAAACCCACAAACTGACAGCCTGAGTGATCAGTATCCGAGCGCTTGTGTTCGAAGCTTGATTGCTAGAGTGCAGCCTGTTGAATACTTGCTGCTTCAGCCTGCTGCCGAGTGATTGCAAACTGTGAAACGCTGCAGCGCATTGTTTGAACGCCTCGATTGCTTTGATTGCTTGATGTTTAGCCTGCTGCCGAATGCGTGCAGAATGCGAGACGACTGCAATGATTCTGAGATGTGCATGCTCTGGTTGCTCTCACTTTGAGGTCAAGTATTCTTATTCTTATTGAGACAGACAAGGAGGATGCGTTACATATTGCCACATATTTGCTGCAGCGTCCAGTACTGCTGAGAAGTAGCCTGCTTGCTGGCACTGGTCATACTGCTCTTGATGCCATGTTCGACCGCCGCTTAGTCAGTTTCACCTTGATGGTCTTTGACCATGCTGCTCACGAAAAATAAACGCAGAGACCTGCAGCGCTCCGTGTGAGTCAGTCTCCGACGACGTCAGTGATCCTCTGTGCTTTGCGAAGTCACGGCTTGTGCAACTACGTTTCAACGCCGAACCGTACTGTTGCTTGCGTATGTCTCCACCTTTCTGCAGGAAAGGTGTCTGTGTGTGTGTGTGTCTGTGTGTATGTGTGTGTGCCAGCCCTGTCACCAAGGGAGCCAGCAGTTGTGATGAAGAGTCGCTTTTCCAGGCTAATTAGTTGTGAAGCAGGGGACCACCCCATGAACGCAGCTTGGTGGCTAAGAATTTGCGTTGTCTGAGGCAATCTGTATGCAAAGTGTGAGCAAGGTTCTAACTGCCAAGATAACAAGGTGGAGACATGCACATGTGTGTGCGCAAGCGCGCAAGCGCACGCGGGGGGGCGGGGTGGGGGGACGTGTGCGTGTTTGTGTGCCCGTGCGCGTGCCCATTCCCGTGTCCGTACCCATGTGCCCGTGTCTGCGTCCGTGTCTGTCTTGTGTGCGTGTGTGTGCGTGTGTGTGTGTGTGTGTGTGTGTGTGTGTCTGTCAGGTCTTGGGTATTCTGAAGGCCAACAGTGGGTAAGCCATAGAGCTCATGCACTGTTGCCAGAGCTACGGATCACTAAGGATCTCAGCCTGCACGTTGCCATCTAAGGTGCTATGAGGACCATGTATTTCAGATCCGTTCCGAGCATGTTATGCGGCATGCAGGCATAGATCTGCAATGCAAACGATAAATCCAGCAGACTTGGATAGAGGCTACCTGTCAAAGACAGGATCCAAAAGAAAACGTCGAGGTAAATCTTAGGTTGCTGGATTGCTGTATAATGTCGAGGCAGCTTCGTGGCCGTACACATTGCGGGTCATGGTACCCCTCACTGACTGACCACCCCTGTGACTTCGAACTGCTTCGAAAAGGCGCTTGCTTTGGGGAGAGTCATTGTGCAGTAATTGCGCGTGGTCAACGTGGGGCCACCCCTTGTCGGCTTGTCGGCACAGCCGTGTTCTGCAGCGCAGTGTCAAATGAATGCTGCCCGGGAGCTGCTGGAGTTTCGGTCCACACGCGGCGCAGACGGTGGATACGCTCGCCTTGGTGCGACTGCCAATGGCTACAAGGTACAAGCACCGCCGCCAAGAAATGGCAAAAAAGGCTCTGGTTCAAGTTCAAGCTGCTGTCTTTCTCGGCTCGTCCCTGTGCAGATTTGCCATCGCTGTTGGTCGCAGCCTTCTCACCTGCGAATTCCAAGCACCATCGGAACGAAACAGTTGCATTTGGCCCAGATGTCCTCCAATGTCAGCAGGAATGTCGTCCGGACGGGCAGCGATCAAGTAAAGCCATCTGGCACCATGCAGGGCATCTTCAAAGTTGAAATGCATAGCTGAGAACAAACTCAAAGGTTTCCGGCTTGTCAGGCAGCTCTTTTCGAATACAAGGGCTAATGCTTCCTCCCATCTCCAGCCATCACTCCTCGTAGTTTCTGGGTCGCTCGGTGCTTAGTGCTCCCAAGTTGTAACCCATCACTCCTTCGTTTGAGGCTCTGCGTCTCCCCATGCCCAGGCTCAGAGCTTACTACATAAACGATGTGGCAGCCTCGCTGCACTGGTCGGTTTGGAATGCACTTGTCATACAACCAACACTATCACAATCATGAAGTCATGCTCGGAGTTTCCACAGAGGTGCGCACATTGTGCACTTAATTTGCCGGGCGCACTTCAAACCATCCAGCTTCACCTCGCACTCAAGGCAATAAACTGGACTGTGGAAGACGAGACTTTTGAAGATGTCAAGCCGCCGGCTACGGCATTTGCAGAGAGATGAAACTGGCCACAAAGACCTGTCCACATGCTTTGCGGCAGGCGACTTTCCTTCTTCGAAGTTCCATGCTGTTTCGGTGCGGTTTTTCCTCTTCCGGCTAATGCAGTCAGACCCAGAAAGTGCCAGTGCAGCGAAAACTAAAACTATCTGGGGAATGATCAACACAGTCTAATGAATACACTGCCCAGAAAAGAACACAGAGTCCACCAGCTGATGGTGCGCAGCCCTGCCTGGCTCTCCATGGCAAAGCATTTCAAAGATGTGCGGGGCCTGCATTAAAGCATTTCCCCAGTCTAATGCATACACTGAAAGACTCTGAAAGACTCTCTGCCTCGGCAGGGGGTGCAAGCTTCTGAACCACGGATGCGAGGCAAAACTCGTGCCGGTTCAACCTGCTGTTCTAGCAAAGGACAGAATTATGAGAGATACATGAATGTTCAGGATAACCAGTAACGTGGCGCGCTGCTGGCCTTAATGATCGATCGAGGTCCAAGATGCGCAGCATTGACTCCGCCACCATGTCAGCAACTGCCAGTGTCAGCCATGATCGACTTTTATGTATCGACGCACATTGAGCGACTTAAGTGCAGAGTTGGCAGTGCGGCTAGTGTGCACCTTTGCATTGAATGGCGACCCAGATGCGTGGAAATGTTCGATCCCGGAGCCTTCCTTGCCCTTCGACCGCTTTGGCAGGCCAAGCTCCAGAGCTCTTGCGAGGAGAGCGGCTCGGAAGCGCATCAAGACTGCCTGCGACGGGGCGAACCCAGGCCCATCAGACGTCTTCGCTCATCTTTGCAGTGACTGGTCAGGCTTACCGGGACCACTACTACCCTGGATGGTATAAATTTCTGAGGTGCTGTTGCTGAGCACTGAAGTGTACAGCACTCCCTGACATCAAAGTCATGCCAAGGCCTTTCGTCGCATTGTTTTCATGCTTTGGAGTTCGCATCACTGTTGCGAGAGTAGCTGAGTAGCCGCTATCGGTTTACCGCATACCCGATACGCAAAGAACATCTCGGAGACATGGTCTCTTTTTCTTCCTCAAATATGGCGGCGGAGCTTTGCCTGAAAAGCTTCGAAGGGCATCTGAAGTCAGACACAGTCAGACCCTGTGACGACTTGACGCTTCGGCAGTGTAGGCCTCTTTGAATTCCGGACCCGTGCCCTTCCACTGCTTTTCAACCAAATGGTAGCGCGACAGGACGCATGCGAAACCATTGCAACTGCCTTAGGCAGACGGCTTCCTGCGTACTGACTCCTCTCTGCTCTAAACTGTGACGTAGTGCGATGACTTACTTGCTGGTCCAGCACCAGCCGACTACAATCCATCGCCATGTCGCTGCACCGTCAACGATATCGAAGGGAACCATTGCAAAGAGGAAGGTCCATGCGCTACAAGATCAATCATGCAAGTTGCAGCGACACGTGCGGGAGCTTGGGAGAGTGAGACACTGCTACTGTACAGTCCACCCAAAAAAACCAAATCTGTTGTCGAAGCTGGCACCAGAGTGAGGGCGTTTGAGACGCACTTGCGCAATCTTGCGCAGCCCTGCGCTTAAGAGTATACGGCTGAAGTGGACGAGTTTTGGCCTGAGTTTGCTCTCTGGCTGGTTTTCCCATTTTCAATCTGGATCGTTGCGCAGCCACTCGCTGAATTGGTCGATGAGGGAAGAAGCGCTCTTGGAACCACATACGCGTGCTGTGCTCGATCTGGCCTCGTGACATGCATCACATATGCACCACCATATGCTAAGACTTTGCTTAAAGATGCTCAGCTTGTCTGCGCTTGTCACCACCGTTTTGCCTGGGAACCCCGGAGGCCTTGTTCATGATCTTGGCCGGTGAACTCTGCACCTCAGGCATTGGCCGCTTGCCACCTGTCACATGTCACGAGAGCGAGAGGGCGTCAAAGCTGTCACATCCACATGCCTCGAAAAGCCTCGAATCCTCCTACAACATGATCAGCCACACAACGCATCACTTGAGGTCACGTCGGGTTTGCACCAAGTCTGCCTTGGGACATGACTTGATCATGAAGTTTGGCAACTTCCTCCATGATGAAAGCCTGTGCGGCTGGCAGTGACTCGATACAGGACCGATTCAATTCAACAAATCAAAACACAACTTCCATGGGCCCGAAAGGCATTGAAAGGCTCACTGCAACCTGGAGGCTACATCCAAGCTTCTGGCAGGGCCCTTGAGTCTGCCGACCCCACGTACCAGCTCCTCCAGCGTTATTCTGCCGTCTCCTCAGATGAGGGGCCGTCAAAACTCTAGCTGTCGGGCCTAGGTCGCGGGCTTTTCGGTGTTCCCCGTTGCTTGATAGGGTTTGTTACGGGATAAGGGGCATCGCTTTTCGGTGTTGCCTGTTTTCGGGCCTTTAGCTGCAAATGTCCTCTCAAGGTGGAGCAGCCTTTACCAAAGTTTGGACCCGTGCTCTAATAAGACAGACAAGAGAGGGAGAGAGGGAGAGAGAGAGAGAGAGAACTAGAGAAAGAGCGAGAGAGCGAGAGAGACTGGCTTGGACCGTGATGCCGTGTGGCCTAACCAGGGCAACTGACACAAACGACACAAAACAGGCAAAGACAGCCGAGTGGATGCCTATTGGCTGCGTGCGTTCAAGCTGCGCCTCGAACTATCAATCAAAACAAAGAGATGGTCTGGGTCGGAGACATCTAATTCCATGGCCTGCAACCATGCTGAGACCTCCTTCTGCTCGGTCATTTGTCTGAACTCGTCCTCAGAATGTGTTCATGATGCTCATGAGGGCAGCTTATGTTCTCTTGTACGTACTGTTGCGCTCTCCAAGCTCTCGCTATCTCTCGCCCTGTAGCGCAATACATCCCAGTGAAACCCCATCGGCAAGGCACATGCATGTCATGAGCGCTCGCGTGCGTTCGAAGGCATGGCTTGAACGCGCTGCGCATCGAGTGGACAGGAAAAAACATGAACACATATGCTGGTTATGGCACGTGCCATACGGGTAATCTCCCCTCCGACGCCTTTGCTGCAAAACATCTTCGCGCCGGGTGCTTCCTGGAAGATCTAGGGACTTCCGGACAAGCTGACAAGCCACGCACTACTTGTGACGCTGCGACGGCGTCCGCCGATTCTACTCTGTTGGGGCACTTTTCTGTAGCTGAACATTACAAGGCCACACCACATTCATCGATCGCCATCTTGAGAAACAAGTTTGCCGAGCTGACGCGCGGCTTCGTGCTGCTCTCTCCACGCTGTTTACAAGCAACGGCTACGACGTCAAGAAGCGTGTGCCAGCAAACGCCTTCAGAGCACTTGACGGCAACCATTGAAATCAGTATCTTCCTCGATGACAATGTCAAGGCACTATGTCGATGGCGCCATCACCGGACTTGTCGGCCATGCGGAAAAAACGCTCCATCTTCAGACGATGTAGTTGGAAATTCCGCTGGCGCTTCTGGATCATGACTCGGTCATCTGATGCAGCGACGTGGAAAGTCTCCTGCATGAAAACACCATTCACCTTAGTTTCGGGAAGTTCTGGGGATAGTTTCACGTGAGCAGCTGTGATTTTGGGCGCCTGGAAACAGCACGCAGGCGCAAAGCTTTACCAACATCTTTAGCTCCATTCGCTCCAAGGAACAACGGAAACCACAGCAAAGCCAATGGTGAGCTTGTGGATGACCCCGAAAAACATGAACCACTCCGACACATTTTCTGCCAAGAGCCTTGAAGCCGGCGGCCAGTTCCTGGGAAGGCTCCCCGACCCCTGCGAAAAATATTCGTAGAAACCAAGAAATATGTGAACAACCAACACGGCGAAGACTAGAATTGACAAGACACACATCACAAGCAAGCAGTAGTAGTCGTAGTAGCAGTAGTCGCGGTAGCAACTGTAGCCGTATTTGGGGTTTTTGTGGGTGTGTGTGTGTGTGCGTGTTGCTACTGAAAGTAGAACCCTGCATCCCCAAGACTCTCCAAATCCAAATCTCAAACCATATGTACCAGCCTATACCCTAAAACCTAAAGCCACAAGCCCAAAACCTCGACCCCCGAACATGCCTAAACCCTAAAACGCGTCGTCATAAACCTAAGCCCAAACCTCAAACCCTGACCCTCTACATACAGCCTTGTGTCCACAAACCTTACAATCCCAAAGCCCAAACGCAAACTCGCACCATATAACTTCGATAGACCCCATCCTGATGCTTTCGGCGATCTTCGCGGCGCGGCCGGGGGACCCAGCTGGGGGAAGGGTGGTGGGAGTAGCAGGATGCGGATGCAATGAATTTTGGGGTGTTGATCGTCCTTGACCTGCCCCTGACGGAGCTGCCAGGCGCCTTGGTCTCGGGCTCTCGAAGTAGGAGTCGATTTGAAGGCTCCGAGGGCCCGAGCTGGAGGTAGGGGTGGCATGCGGGCGGGAGGGGGGCGGGGGTGGCGCGGCTAAGGGTTAAGGCTTGGAGCGAAATTGGTATACTAAAACATGTACTACTCTACGAGTATACTATAGTACACTTTCTCATACCACACCATCTAAAATTTCTCGGAGTTGTTTACTACTTCAAGCTGGTTAAAGTTTCAGGTAGAAGGCTGAATCCCTAATCAGACAGGCATGATGAGTCCGTGTCAAAGTGTCTGTTTCCAGTAAGGAGGAGCTGCTGCAGGGGGAGCCTAGAAGGTGGGAGTTTCAGAGATAAGGTTTTGAGATTTCGGGGCTCGCAAGGAACTCACAAAGACTCCTGTCTGCTGGAAAGCTTTAATTTTGGGTGCGAAGGTTTCGCGGGGTCCAGGGTTTGCCAAGGATCTATGGTTTGGGTTTTTCACAACTCCGTCGAGATGAATTAGGGTTTTTCAGCCCTTGGCAAGAGTGATTTCGGGGTTTAGGTTGATCCTCAAAGGAAAGGGTTTGGTCCGTGGAACAAAGGCTTTGATTGGGGGTCACTTGCTAATTGTAATCATACGGGAAGTGAAAGCAAGATGTCCAAAACAAAAACACTTCACCCAGAGTTATGCATAACTCTTGGTGATTCTGTTTCTCTGGGAGTTTTGATCTGAGGCGTACGAATAAGGAACGCCTGTTAAACAGTCAAAGCAACTCTAAATGCTCCAAGAAGTTCCAAGACGCACCCGAGACGCATCCCAATCAAAGCCTTTGTTCCACGGACCAAACCCTTTCCTTTGAGGATCAACCTAAACCCCGAAATCACTCTTGCCAAGGGCTGAAAAACCCTAATTCATCTCGACGGAGTTGTGAAAAACCCAAACCATAGATCCTTGGCAAACCCTGGACCCCGCGAAACCTTCGCACCCAAAATTAAAGCTTTCCAGCAGACAGGAGTCTTTGTGAGTTCCTTGCGAGCCCCGAAATCTCAAAACCTTATCTCTGAAACTCCCACCTTCTAGGCTCCCCCTGCAGCAGCTCCTCCTTACTGGAAACAGACACTTTGACACGGACTCATCATGCCTGTCTGATTAGGGATTCAGCCTTCTACCTGAAACTTTAACCAGCTTGAAGTAGTAAACAACTCCGAGAAATTTTAGATGGTGTGGTATGAGAAAGTGTACTATAGTATACTCGTAGAGTAGTACATGTTTTAGCATACCAATTTCGCTCCAAGCCTTAACCCTTAGCCGCGCCACCCCCGCCCCCCTCCCGCCCGCATGCCACCCCTACCTCCAGCTCGGGCCCTCGGAGCCTTCAAATCGACTCCTACTTCGAGAGCCCGAGACCAAGGCGCCTGGCAGCTCCGTCAGGGGCAGGTCAAGGACGATCAACACCCCAAAATTCATTGCATCCGCATCCTGCTACTCCCACCACCCTTCCCCCAGCTGGGTCCCCCGGCCGCGCCGCGAAGATCGCCGAAAGCATCAGGATGGAAGTGTCAGTTTACGCTTTGGGGACTTGTAGGTGTTAAAAGTTCAGGCTCGATGGAGGATCTAAAGGTTTGGGTTTAGAGTTTTAGCGGGTCAGGCTTCAGGGCTGGAGGTTTTGGGTTTGGAACTCAGCGCTTTAAATCTTAGGCTTTCTCGGAGGTTGAGGTTTTGGGTTTGCGACTTACGGTTAGACTGGTTTCGGCCTTGCATGGTGTTCAGAGTTCGAAATTTAGACTTGGGGTTTTGGGGCTCGTGCTGCCTCAGGAATTCTAATCCAGCGCGCAGGAGCAACCCCCACAAATACTGCCTTCTCCCCCCCCCCCCCCCCAAGCTCCCGCCCCAAAAGATATAAAATGCACCAAAGGCCCGCCGAGGCTCGCGAGAGTTATTTCAAACATGCTGTAGATGGACCTGCGCACAATCTCGTAGTTGTAAAAGGTCGCACTTGAGAACTGGGATGGGGAACCCATGGGTGTTGGCTAAAGAGATTGAGATGCCGGCGCAATGTTGGAAAGTGCTGCCCAAGATATTGCACTTCTGGATTCCCGGACTTTCGTTTTTGCACGGCACGGCTTAGAAGAAACACGCCGACCTTTTCGATGCCTGAAGACTCGTCTTACTGCCAGCTGTCCTACGACTTTTCAATGAAACGGACATGGAGCTCGTGTTCGCTAGGTAAATGCATTGGCATCCCGACCCAAACCGGACGCTTGAAAACACGCAAGTTATCGACAGCTTGATTGTGGCACCTGCTCGTTGCACGTCTTTCCACAACCACTCACGCTACAGGGGTTTGTCAGCAGCGAACGGTTTCTGTTGCCATAAATAGCACATCGGTCCAGACAGGCTGCTCCGTCGATTTGGCGCGGCTTGCCCGAAACATGCAGCTTTGCCTTGTTTTCGCTTCCATGGATTCGGTCCCATCTATGCTCAGTGCAGTCGCTTTTTTCTTCCTCTGACCCGGGGTGGAGGGGAGCAGAGCCTCGGGTGTGGGTGTCGTGGCAGGACCTGCAGTCAGCAGGTGCCACAGTCTTGCGAGTTTCAAGCGTCGGGATTCCAACGAACTTACCTACGCATTTGAAGCTGCAAGAAGGTCGGTGTGCGTCTTCCTTGCATTGCAGTACGGAGCTTGGCAGGCGTCGGGCGGACGTGAACCGGCTATTATGGCAGTTTACTTGGCCAGTCCCCAGCACTGGATGTAAAGATGCGTGCCTGACCTCTTCCAGCGTTTTCTTCTCGAGAATGCAGCAGCATGTCGGGCAGAAAGCTAAACGGAGAACCTTTTTGCTGGTGTCTGCAATAGCGCAGTGATTCAAGGTTTTCACGAACGACCAGGGCCACGATTTAGCAAGATGTGGGATTGACCCTTCCGTATGTTTCTTTTCCTGAAGCTTTCCAAGTCGAAACCTGAGATCGCCCGACGAGCCTTCCCTTGCTCCAGTCTCTGCCCAAAAATTGGTCTACCCAAAAAACTGTTGACAAAGAAGGTTGATCTACATTATGGCCATCTGCGCCCTCCAGTGCAAACTGTTAAGGGTCAGCTAGGACTGCTACGCATCGCATTCCAAGCCAGCTTGGGCCGTCATGGAACCTGGTTTCTGCAGGTGCTTGCACGCAGCAGTAGCGCGAAAGTTCCGGCCTGCTGAAGGTGCCAAAGTATTGGTACACTTCCTGTCCTTGGCTACCGAACGCATTCAACCATCAAGCCACAGGTTTCATGTGGCAAGCGCGGCTCCTTCTATCCAAAACACAGTCCAAGGGTCGGCTCGCTTCTGGAACGGTGGAATTATTGAAGTAGTACTGCGTCAAATAGCCCTGCACGAGCAATGCCAAGCCCATCTGCAGGAAGAAGAAGAGAACGCATGCCTGCAGACACATTGCACATCGCGGACTTGCCAGGCTCTGCACGCATCTCCTAAAGCAGACACGTCACATCACCATGATTGCATGCAAGCCACCCATGCTAGAATGGATAAGCTGCCGCTCAGAGCTGTCGTGATGATATACAGCGCATCCAGACCTTTCTGGCCGACCCCAGATGTTGCATGCACAAGGCAAGCTCTTCATACACAACAGGCAGCCAGGAGCAGGGTACCCAGCTCTTCCCAGACCGTCTATAAATATACAACCCGATGGTACAGCGCTTTGCTTTGGAACACTTTTGCAAACGGTTCCAGATGAACCTCGGGGTTTGTAACAGGCTTACAACCTCCGCACGCAATGAGTTGGAGGGGCTGGGGGTCGGGGGGGGGGGGGGCCTCGCTGCATGTTCCGGCGAGGTTTTGCACCCTTTGCTAGAAAGTCAAGCATGGATCCTGGCCCATGTATGCAGCTCACGTCGCAGCAAACGAGGAGCGATGGTCTTTTTTAGGTGATATAAAACTCATTGCACACATTCTATCGTGGCATGAGGTCTCAGCAATGCATCGGATGCCTTCTGTCAAGAATGCAGACAACTGAGAGCCGGTGCTCTTGATGGCCTGCATGAGCTGCACCAAGCCTTCAGTCATGTGGCATGGGGCTGAAGAGTCATAGATGTCAGAAGCTGAAGCAGGAGACTAAGTCTGACAAGCAGCGAAGCAAACGAACAAGCCGTGCAACACGAAGCAATGTAGCATCAACTGGCAGCACGGTGCCAGCAGTCACGTCAACGATCCAGAAGAGAATGATAATTAAGTCTAGCCAGTTCCAGCCAAACCTCAGGGTGAGGGAATGCAATCGCCACACAATCTCAGCATGCGATCAAGGACATCAGTTTCTATGAAGAACTGCCTGAAGAAGCTTCCACGCTGACCTACGAGCTTGAGAATGAGCTCCATGATATATATGAGCCCGAATACAACGCCGATCCAGACGAACGTTTGCTCTGCTGATTCCCATGTGGTCGTATGACTGGCATCTACTGTGCCGTAGTTGATGGACGCACCAACGGAGAGCCCCTCCCATTGTGCTTCAATGGCCATGACAATTGTGTTCAAGAATATGATACCTGCAACCACAATGTCGAACATTGGGTGCTTGGTGATTCGCTTTGCAGTGAGCCAGAAGCTGCTTGGCCTGTCTCTCGTCTGTTCAAACATCCCATTCGGAGATTGCGAGGTGACGACCGGCATCCAAGCTGGCCGTGCTTCAGCATGAGGCTTTGCACCAGAGTCATCACTGGAGTCTGAGAAAGCAGACCGCACAACGTGCACACGACTGGCTGGCTTCTCTGGCTTCTGGTGTTTCCCGCCTTTCTCATCCGCGTCGCTTGTTAACGCCTCCACGCCCTCTAAGAGACGAACTTTCGCAAGTAACCGCTCATTCTCGAGTTGCAAGCCTTGCAATTCCGATGTGTGCACCTCCCAGAGCTTCGCCAGCGTCTCGGAGAACACCTGCGTACCGACGGTACCAGTCACAGTTTCGTGAGTTTCGTGGTGCCCGTCCAATCCTGGAGTCTGCGGTGAGAACGGCAAGGACATCCAGCAAGAAACTACATTCAGTTTGAAAACATTGTTTGAATTAGCTTGTGCCTGATATGCTGCAAGAGCAGGCAATGGCCCCAATGCAATCGTGCAGTGAAGCAAGACATGAACAGCATTCCAACAGCTGCGAAATTCATGCTGACTTCCGGCTAAAAACTATGGTGCTTCCGTGCAGGTGGCCAGATTATTCTCAGTCCGACTCTAGCTCAGCGGCATAGGTTAGAGCTATGGGCCGATTCTGCGCGGTTTTGCTCTGATAGAGGCGAATGTTGACCTTGTGATGCTTAATGCGGGCCTTAATGCGAAAACTTGTGTATCTCGCTCAAGAGTGTATTTCGTGAACGATTTAGAGTACGTGAGTCTATCCAGAGCCTGACATTCTATCTTGGGCCTGGTTTCGATTCATGAGGTGCGGGGGGTGGTACTAGAGAAAGCTAATGCACAGCAAAATCAGCAAAATGCTCATGGCATAGGTTTCAGGCTTTGGTGGCTGAGGCCGAGACAAAGAGGTTCAGAGTGCGGAGTTCAGAGTTGAGGGGTTTCAAGGTTCCGAGTCAGCCCCGCCCCCCTCAAGGAGAGCCAGAAGTGCGGAAGAAGTCAGAAGCTGAAAAGCCCCAGAAAGAGCCCCCTCACCCCGCCCCCCGGAGTTTCTTTTGCGACTCCCGTTCCCCCACACGTCTTGACGCAGCACCAGAACAACTCCTGGGGTATGTGGGGAACTGAAGATTTAGAAAGCTAAGGTTTATTCCGATTCCACATCCGGACATGAACTTCTTATGCAAAAGGTGCATCAAGGTGCACACTGTGCTTAGATCTTTGACAGGCGTGGGCACTATGGGAGGACTACCTCGGTCTCGGAGTCGACCTCGGCCAAGGTGATGGCCTCACGCCAGCCAGGGGGACTCCCCTAAGCCGAAAAGGATACGCAGGATGATACGCATGTGCGTCTGTGGGCGTCATATGTCATACGGGTCTGCATTCTGCCTTAAGCTGCACGGTTTTCGCACACTGTGTGCTTGCACTCCGCGCGCATCATGCATCACCACATCTAATGCTGAAGGGTAAGTCCGCGGCAGCATCACCGTAAGGCCCGTTCAGCGCGTACCAAAGTGTGCGGACATTCTCCTGGAACCTTTCCAGGACTGCTGTCGCTCTCACAGACACCTTCAAATGACCAGCTGGCAGGAGGCAGAGCAGCGCGCGGCTGAAGAATATAGAAGAATGGACGAATGCAGAGCTTTCTTTTCACCGCCTGCCATGCCGCCAAAATCCTTTGGAATGGGAGTTGATGGATCTTACAGCCGCATTCTTGTCTGCCAACGGGCGGTCGAAGCGTCGCTGCCGGAACTTCCTGCGACAAGCACTCTCGGCTCTCTGCACAGAAAAGAATACCCAGAATACCTTGCGCAGCTCCTTGAGGGTGGGCTGGCCTTTGCCAGAGCGGCGGCAGCCTGCGAGGACTCTGCGAGGTCTCGGACTCTCTATGACATTCTATGACTCTTGGAATCTTGGGAGTCTTGCCTCCTCGGGAGAGGGAAGCTCCTTGACGCCCAGGACAAGCCGGGTCCGGTCCACGATAGAGCTCCTCAAGCAGACTCAAGCACGGGCCCACTATACGCTCAGAGAGCTGCAACCCCTGTCCAACCATGTCCGACTCCAGTTCCGTCTCTCAAGGCCAGCCCAAAAAAATACCGTAGCAATACCAGTTGCAGACTGGACACGTGGGAAAAGGCCCGATCTCCCGGGCCAGCTCTATGCCTCGGTGCCCAGACTGGACAACTCTCGAAAACTTTCGCAACATGCAAAGTGTGATGATGCCAAGATACCATCACAAACTAAACCTGTTCAGACGTCAGCATGCAATGACAGTGGTACGACCGAAGCACCGCACGACGGACACCCTGACAGCAGGCGCCGGACCGAGACCAGCAGGACTGCACTCCCTCATGACCGCTCTCCACGAACTCATTCCCAATCTCAACTTCCTCTTCTGGCAGCTTTCAGTTGGGCTGAGCCCTCAACCGCTGCGGCCTTGAAGCCAGATCAAGGTTGGGAAACCTCAAGTATTGTTGGAGCAGTTCACCGCATGTTACCGTATCTGTCAACACGATGGCTTGTCGTAACATGGGCATTATCTTCTAAACTCGTAATTCTTTCCTTTCGCAGACCTTTCATGCGCAAAGACTGGGTATTCTAGACAAGGCATTGAGGGCTGTCTTAGGCGTTAGATGTTGACCGACCTGGACATCTCTAGATGTCATGTCTGCGTGAGCCAGAAACTTCAGCCAAGCCTCGAGTGACCCCGTACTCAGTCATCACGCTGTGGTGCGCACGGCCATCCACAGCCACAATTCGAGCAGCGCGGAGAAGAACTTGGGCAGCCCCCTCCAGCTGGTCCCTCGCGCAGGTTGAAATCGAACATCGCTCTGCTCTGATGCGTAAAAACAACAATGACCTGACTACACAGTGCCTGAATCTCAAATGTCGGGGACTTTGCTCATCAACAACCGCCACCAGCAAGACCACATCGGAATCCTGAGCTTGACAAACCCATGGCCCATGCCTGAGAAACGTGCTTTGCAAGGCTTTGCTTGGCTGCCTCCGAGAAGCCGCTTCCTTTTCGATTTGCAGCTGGCGCCAAGAGAGGCTCTGGATCACTCCTACACTGTCCCACACTGTCCTACACTGTCCCACACTGTCCTACACTGTCCTACACTGTCCTACACTGTCCTACACAGCCTTACACAAATCACGCCAGTTTGCAGCCAACTACTCTCTACAGAGACGCTACTGCCCAATCAAAGCACGTGGGGTGGGGTGTATCGCACATCAGCCCGCAAGTGGGGCGGAAAAACGCATCGGCGCGAAAGTGCACATCAGGACTTGCCCTGCCTGAAGATGCCAGCTGCTAACCGCCAACACTGCAGGCAAAGCTCCAACCCACAATATTGAACTATCCCAAGCTATCCTGCCTGACTCAACTTTCCGCCACGAAGATGAGAGAAACTACTGCGTTTGAAGCGGACGCCAGAGGCTTTGCCATAGTTGTACTCAAACACTAGAACACTTCCGCCGATCCCGAACCTTCGTACGAGCCAGACACCATGCAGATGCTGTTCTAAAACACTTCGAAACCCACTTCGTTGCATCAGGCATGTGCTGAGGAAGGCCGTCCCGCAATGTGGGCGCACATGTAGGTCGGTGTCAAAAACAGAGCGAATGCGAGAACAATCTTGTGCTGGCGCCGTCCTGGTGTCACTCCTTGTCGCGTAGGGCTGTAGCCCTGCTCCTTCTCGAGCTCTTCGACTAATGCCTCACAAGGAGTTAAGACGAGTGTGAGGTCGTTCTGTGCCCTGCTTCTTCAAACGACCCTGACCTCACGAAGGCCTTGCACATCGATGGCGGAGATGACTTTGTGATGGCACCTGAAAAGCTGACTAATGGTGCAGTTACAGAACTAATGAATAAGAACACATTGGTTTAAGAAAATGAGGGGCTCAGCCGAGAGCCATTCCCAGGCCCAAGAGGAAATGAGAAAATGAGGGGCTCAATTTCTTAAAACTTATGAAAATGAGGGGCTTTCTTAAATTTCAAGACATGGGGACTTGTTCTCTTAAATTTCAGGACATGAGGGGCCCGTTTTCTTAAATTTATGACAATGAAGGGTTCGTTCTCTTACATTTAAGAAATGGAGCCCTTCCCTTTCTTTTGGGCCTGAAAATTGCATTCTCTCGTTTGCTGACGGGTGCAGGCAATCGGAAAGGTCTTGGGGGAGGCTTCTCGAACTTTGTTTTTCGGACTGTTTGGAGGGTTCGGGCAGGTCAGGTAAGGGGCTCATTTTCTTAGTTGGGCTTGCTTCGGGCCCTGCAATACAGGATTTAGGAAATAAAACATGTTCTAAGAAATGCAGGGTACCCTCAGGGTGTGAGGTTGCTCCTCTACTTCAAAAAATCCAGGGTACCCTCACCTGCAATGATCGGTTTCTTCTCCAGCACTGTCATTGTACTATTGTTTTACTCTCCAGCGGAGCTGAATGCTTGGAGGAGGCGCTGCCTCTGGTCCAGCTCCTCCATGAGTTTTCTCCCTTGGCTGTCGTACAGCTGCTGGCAGATACTCCAACTGCACTCTGATTTCTCATCCCAGCAGCTTCCAAGTCCATACACCCACATCAGCATGTCCTCACAAAGGCATGTCTCAGCTGAGCTCAACTATCTCAACTGTGATGCAGAGAGATCCTTGGAAAGTCCATCTGCGTAGGTGCTGTTCTGATCCTCCAGTATCTGCCTGCCAGGTCAAATGGCACGCATGCTTGCAAGGCGTGCAACTGGCCCTGCATCCGGAGGCCTGACTCGCGAGACATCGCGTGATCTGAGGTAGTCCGTCACGCCATCCACATTTCGCAGCAGCAAATCGACCTCTGAAGGCTTTGATCAGCTGCGGCATGGCATTTTTCTGGATTCACGTCATCTGCAACTTGTATAGGTCCAGTTTGAGCTCAGCTTCTCTTCCCCACGATGGCCAACGTTGGGCCACCCCAAACCTTTCAAAAGCATCAGTTCCAGGGCCAGTGTTTGAGACGTCACGAGGCGTTCACAAGACACCAAAGGACCTGCATCGATGCTCATGTCTTAAGAGACCCCGAAGTGCTGTGGAGGCACTTGTCTGGCTCGTCAAGCCTGGCGTCTTGTCGCAGCAGCTTCTGGCCAGGGTTCGAAATCCGTGTGCGCAGGGCCGTCCCGCCACCTGCATGGCCCAAGCAACTGAGAATGCTGAACTAGTTAGTGCAGCGGGCATTCATTTCGTAAGGCCTCCAAAGCTACGGGAGCCAAGAGACAACGGCAACCCGAAGGTTAGATACTGTAGCACGAAGGAAGCATTCGAAGAGTGTTGTTCAATGTCTTCAACGACAGCGATGTCAGCAGGCCTTACAATTCGTGACACCGTCAATACCTCTCAACTTGCAGTCAGAAAACATCTCCTAACCAATCTCAGTCAGATTCAGTCAGCAAAGCTTGGCCGTCATCGTGATAGCCCTAAACATCTTCTACATGACAGATGCATCTTCCAGCTTCCTGGCAGATGTAGTCTTTGCTTCACAATAGGACTTGGATGGACTACACCAGTACTTGAGACGAGGAGTGCAGACACAGCTTTAAAGAGGGGTCAATCTCACACGATTCAAAGAATATGACAAGAGGGGAGCCTCTGAACGGTTGGAAAAAAGAGCGACGCTGAAAAACTCCCTCGAATCTGGCTTTCACGAAGAATCGCCTGCCTGGCGCTGACATGAGCTCGTTGTACAGATTGCGTGCAGGGTCTGCATGCTCATCCTCTTCCGCCAGTGCACAGGCCAACATAGGCAAGCTCTGAACACTGATCAGCCCAACATGTTGGCAGCACACACCGAACGTCCTCGTATTTGGCCATGCCTCTGCAATACTGACAAACACCCAGTTGCTGGGCGCTATGCTATGTGAAAGCAAGGCTTGCCTGCATCATCTTGGTACCAGCGACGGCCACCAATGTTTTTCGGAGGAAGCCATCTGGCCCCTTTCTGCACAGTCCAAGTCATGTTGGTACCTCCGGCTCGTAGACATGCAAGGAAAATACGGAGCAGGAGTACTGACTGTACTGGATGCTCGGGCCTTCCGGAGGTTCCATGAACTGCGCCCCTGCATTATAGCAGACCTCTGAAGAAGTTCTCTCCAAACTGCCGAGACAAACTGAAAGAAGCGCTGGCTAGACTGTCTGGCGGAGAAGCCTGCTGCAGCCATTTGGTGCCCTCCTTGGTAAAGTTCTCGGGCAGCAGCTGCCCACCAACAAAAAGGAAGGGGGAAGCACGCGCTGTGTCCACCAACCTGAACCACAGCGAAGTTCGGCGGGGGGGGGAGGGAACTTTAGGAGTTCTCAGTTGTCAGTTCTCTGTTTCGCCATTCGATGCCTGCTTTCCCGTGGCAGCTGCGCCAGCAGTTCATCGCCGGCAGAGCCCAGTCGATCGAGCTCCAAGACATCAAAGCGAACGGAAGCCTCTTCTAGACACTTTTTGGCCTCCTTAGTTGGACTCACTTCATATTATGTTGCTTCTCTCGCAAGCTTCCTAAGCATTCTGGACAAGAGCTAAATGCCGAAAGCTGCAAGATCCTGAAAGAAATTTAGTACAGCGCAGCAGAAAATGAGAGACGACAGCAGACATGATGCAATCACCAAAGCAGAAAACTGTGCATCGCAATCTCGCGATATCCTCCCCCCTGGCTTTTTTGGCCGAGGAGTTCTTCGGATGTTTCTACTTGTAGGCATCAGCTCCAAAGGTTCTATCATCCTGCTCTCGGCACGGATCAAGAGTGCCCAAGCTATTCAAAAAATGCATGAAACAACGCAGTGCCGGCAAGCCACGCGCAAGCTTGCTCCGTCAGACTCTGCGATTAGCAATACTGGGCTCTTGGACAGCTCCTGCGCGAGCCAGTCTGCAGCCCAGTCGGCCGTCACCCCTGTTTCCGTGGCCTGCGCAGGCGCCAAGATCTCCCCCAGCCCGTGACTTGCTAAAGTATCAAGCGGAATCCAATAAGGCCTTTCTTTGACAGCCTTGCTTCGGGCTTCTGCTCAGCCTGCGAGGCAAAGGTGACAACGGGATATCAAGGTCATAATTATAGTGCATCTGCCTGCAGATCAAAAAAACCAAAACAGTCCTGGACCCAACTCCGCCCGCACAAAATGCAAATGCGGAAACCTCCAGACGCGTTCTGATTGTGGCCACAACAGCAAGAGCGAGAGAGAGAGAGAGGCAACATAAGGCAGCTACACAACGCAACACTTTCGGCCGGCATTGCAATCTGCAAGAAGCAGCAAACCTGTCTCTCTAGCAGAGTGCTGCCATGACACGGAAGCTACCTGGACACACAGCCAGACCACGGACAAGCGCGGCACGCGCGTCCTTGCAGACTTGTTTTTAGCTGTTTGGTGGCCAATCTCGTTGACTCCAGGTCCCTCCCTGCGTGGTATGGGCATCCATCAGATGCAATATAACCAATCCAAAGCCGCAAGCACGGTTGGGGTCCTGGTACGGCCACTTGTGCGGCTCCATGGCATCGCTGGTGACGCGACTGTAAGGTTGCGAGCGTGAGAAGATCTAAGTTCGACCTTCACAACGTGTTCGATTTTGAGCACTTTTTGGCAATCTGACTTCTCTTCTGGTTTGTGCAAAGTCGGATAAGGCTGCTTCAGCACCATTGAGTCATTCAGGTATATGGAGGCAGAAAATATGTACGGCGATGGCAATTCATGGGGAGTGCGGCGGGCCCAAGGGACCGGAAAATTCAGCCATGCTCGTGCTGCAGAGCAGGGTTTAGATCCCTTTGAGCCGGTGCCGGCGGATCATTGCAAGGCTGTTGGCTGTTGCTCCCTGACATTTTCGACATTTTCTGGAAGCAAACTCTCGTTTCGAAGAGCACTCCCGCTTTAGGCCTGTAGCTCTGGCTACATTCAGAGAAACGACCTGACCTGGAATATGCTGGGCATCCGGCCCGAGCTCCCGGCACCGCTGAGCCAGCTGCGGCAAAGTTAATTGGCCGCGGCTCTCGGGATCCTCTTCAACAGTCTCCAAAACTTTACGTTGACCGTGCTAACGTAGGAAACATACGTTGACATGTCGACGAGATGTGGGGCGGCAACGAAAGATCGTTGGACCACGTCGGTCGGAGCAGGAGCCAAGAAGAAGACTCCCCCACCACCCCACCGGCCCATCCCGTTTGAAGGAGTTGTCAGGTTTGGACGCGGTGTCTTCGTGGTGGGATTTCGAGTTGGGCAGACTCGCAGTTCGTGCTTCAGGTCCTGCTTGGCTTTTGCAGCCTTTGCTGCCATGTATGATTGTAGATCAGGTGCAGAGTGAAAGGCTCCCTGCAAATCGGCCGTGGGCCAGAGCACTCATTGCTCCAGTGTGGGCGATGTTCTCGAAAATAGACATGAGCGGCGGACATGCACTGCACACCAGGATATTATTGGCACAAGCCTATCGCACAGTATGTTTCACGGTTAACCTCAACTCAGTGCTGCCGTTGGGCCAAAACCTCGATCATCCTTTATCGGTGTTTGCTCCTTATATCAACTCTGAAGGCCAAACCTCCTTGGGTTACCCTGATTTCAATGCGCTGCAGGCATTCTTTAAGCAACCTCACCTGACCTGCTCGTTTCAAAAGCCAGCAAGGAGGGAACAAGAGGCAAGCCCGGTGTCCAGAAGGTAGCGCCTCGGTCTGCTTAAGGCAGGGAAGGCACAGAGATGCTGTTTCCAAGCTGCATTCACAACATCGTAACTGCCAACAAGTGGCCAAGCACGGGCATAGTTGCCTCCTGACCAAGATTGCAATGGTGAGCAAGCGGGTGGACTGCTGGCAGAGCCTCTTGCAAGCAGCATCTTTTTGAACTCTCCTTGGTTGCCAACTTCGGTGAATCCTTGCATACCCTCTGAATCTATCTGCTCAGCACCGAACCAATGATTTTGTCCCCGGCAGGACCAATCGCACTGCAAGAGAGAACAGATGATGGTTGCATCATGCTGCATCTCACACTTGCTGCAACTTATGGCCAGGTGAACCTTGCAATCGACTTCGGCATGGCAGGTTGCGCTCTGGGCTTTGGAGGTGTCTTGGATTGTGGCTCACTTTCCTGGCGACTGAAAAATCAGAGCTGAAGTCTGTGAAATGTAAAAGGGGTCGTGAGAAGCTGCAGGATCAACTTGCGACCCTTCTAGCGTACCCTGTTTAGACCCTGGCTTGCAACGCATGCCGTGTTAACAGTCTGGCACTGTGCTGGCGCACGCAAGCGTTCCATGCTGCTACAACTGGGTGAGTCCTCGAAGCGCCGAATATTCTCCAACCAGAAATTGTCATCCTGCGCCATTCTGATGAGCTGTGCTCGTTGGTGTGCCTGTCCCAACCAGACGATGCACGGCTGCTCAAACGGCTCTGAAAATGCTCTGAACCTCGCTGGCAGCAGTGCTGGTGCTTTCGGCTGCCATCCGCTTCTGCGCAATGAACTTTGCTGCAGAGTCCTGCAACCAACTCCATAGTCGAACGCATCAGCGCATCTGTCCCATGCCAAACTGAAACTGAAGCTTGGTTACCACTCGCTATGCTTCTGACAAAGCAGCCTGCGTTCTCTTCACAGCAGCCATCCACTCCTTCCTTCGAGTGCTTCTCTGGAATGACGTCCATACAAGTCCATGACAGCACTCATTCAAGCAGCTCGTTGCCGCTGCCTCTGCAACTGGGCTTGTTCTCTGGCCGCTGCTTGCGCCTGCTGGAGGAGGTGACTTCCTGGCACGCAGAGCCCTGGACAGCCAAAACACCACCGTCACACACGCAATCAAAGCTCAACGGGCTGCCCGCAATTGCCCCGCCTGTCACCTGTGAGACTGCTGCCTCCACGGGCTTCTTCTTCACTCCAGCTGCCAGCGCTCGAGCTTGCTGGATTTCACGCCGGGCCGTGCCTAATTCACTCTGCAAGATTCTGCAAGTCTGAATCTCTGGCATTGATTTCACTTGCCATCAGCTGGTTCCGAGATGCTGCATTTTGTGGATGCTGTCGGGCTGGAAGCTCGCACGTGCCTCGCCCACTGCAGGAGATGAGAACTGTGCTGCCGTGCCACATTGTGCTATGCAAGTGCTGCCATCGCTTTGTGCCGTGCACTCTAGGGCTAGCAGACGTCGTTCGCAGCGCATCTGCCTGGCAGCAAGCGTGATCAAGCGTGGCCAATTCTGTGTGAGTTCCCTCATGGACAAGCCTTTCTCTTGGCTTCGGCAGTGAGGGGAGGTGTACTTGACCTTCGAGTTCGTGCTCCTTGTCACAGCCCGGGCTGCTCACGCCAGCTTGTTGGATGTCGTGCCGCGGTAGTGCTGCCGTGACATGCTTATACATTATACATGTTGAGTGAATTGCCCAACCTCGCGCACTGCAGTGCGAAGGCCCCAAGAAAGGTCGAGGGGATGCACTTCTGGAATTTGGCAGTGCCTGGGAAACGATCCTCATGCCAAGCCACAGGCGAGATGACAAGAAAGCGAAGACATGAAAAGCGTTGGCCTTGGATTTCACCGGTGACGTTGTTCGGGTGGAGTCGCCTGGCTTTTGATTGATTGGCGACGCGCAACAAAGCACTTAAACATACTTAAACCATGAATGGCGCGGCGAGATGCCCCGATAAAGATAAAGCTGGGTGCAAAGAATCCTGTTGGCGTCATGCGTTCGCGGACCACAAGCCGCACCACCGAATCCAAAGACTCTGGGAGGTGCAAAAACCGTGCTAAACCCCAATTTACCCGGGAGCTGCGCCTGGTGGAAGCCCTCTGGAGGCAGCTTGCCGAGGGCTGCGGCTGAGGGAGTCGTTGGACCGACTTCCATCTCGATCCGGCAAACGAGCACTGTGAGCACCTTTCAGAATCAGGGCAAAATCTTCATGCAGGATCTTCACCGGTCACATCCTGTCAGTTGCCCATATCCACCCAAGCACACGACCAGGCCTGCACGCTTCGCAGGTTCTGCCGTTGCCTGATCAACCTGGAGGCAACACAATGTTGCCAACGCTGCGCAACGCTGCGCATTGAAGACCTCTGAAGTGCTCTGAGGTGCTCACAGCTCTGCGAACTCCGGATCTGGCGCACGTCACCAGGCAGAGCATCAAACTGTTGTATCGGGGGTGGGGACCCCGAGTGGGGACCCCGAGTCGGAAACAACGAGCCGGAAAACACCCGGGCGAGTCTGAAAACGGCCCGAAGCGAGTCAGAAACAGCACCCCCGAGCTTTAAAACCCGAGGCGACGAGTCAGAAAATTTTCGAAATCATTCTCACGGGCACGGCTTGGCATCTAGATGAGCTTCGGGCAGGGCCTGAGATTTAGGGTCCAACCCTAGACCGTGGACCATAAACCACAAACGCTAGAAACCTTACATCCTAGAAACATCTAGACACCCTAACCCCTGAAAATCATTACACCATCCTCGAGCACAAACAACAAAAGGAGGACGTGACAGCTTGCATAGTGTGAAGAACAGACAATAGCACGCTACCAGAGAGACAATAGCACGTTATGAAGGGAGACAATTCTTGCCCGCCGGATGCTCCCCGTCTCGGACACCAGAAAACGAGACATGAGGGGAGACAGTAGCACGTTATGAAGAGACAAATCCTGCCCCTCCACCAGCAGCGCGCCGGCTCCCCGTCTCCGACACCAAAACGAGACATGAGGGGAGACAGTAGCACGTTATGAAGGGAGACAAATCCTGCCCCTCCCCCAATATAGCGCGTCACAGCATCCGGCTCCCCGTCTCGGACACCAGAAAAGGAGACATGAGGGGAGACAATTGGACGCTATGAAGGGAGACAAATCCTGCCGATCCCCAAAAGCGCGTCACAGCATCCGGCTCCCCTTCCGTGTGCCACAAAACGAGACATGAGGGGAGACAATAGCACGTTATGAAGGGAGACAAATCCGGCCCGTCCCCGGAAGTGCGTCACAGCGGACACCAGAAAACGAGACTGCCGATCCCCCGAAGCGCGTCACAGCATCCGGCTCCCAGGGAGACAAGGGGACAGAAGGAACTTATGAAGGGAGTTAAACCGGCACGGATCCCGAACACTGCGTCACACTATCCCTTTCATTCCTCAAATCTAGAACCCCATAGCTTCGCTGCTTGCGGAATGAAGCACAACAACACTGAACCCAAAAAAACGGAACCCTAAAAACCAAAAGCCGAACCGCAATGACCCTGAACCCCAAGAACCCTAACCCGAACAAACCTAAAACCTGATTACCAAACTACAAACCTTTTACCCGAAAAATTCTAGCCCCAAAAATCCTAAGCCGGCCTGTTGTCAAATTCGGCCTGGTTTTTGACTCAGCTTTTTGCATTCCCAGATTTCTGACTCGGTGGTGCGTTTTTCCGACTCATGTTGGGGACTCGGATCGTTTCTAGCACGGCCCGCACTCGTTGTGTTGCGCTGTTCAATGTGCGCACCCTGCCTTGGCAAGGGGCTTTCACTGGTCTCTTGTCTTGGAGCGCGCTTGACTGGCAAACTGCCACCGCCACCTCAGAGCCATGCGTCCATTTGCCTTGTCACCACTGACTGACGGTGCAACGCCCCATCTGCCCCCCCCCCCCACCCACTATCGGAGTCTCCAGGACTACCAATTACGCCAGAAATACACTTTCACGACTGGATGGGGCATTGCCAGGTCACTGCTGGAGCTCGAAGCCCGCCGTTCCGCACGAACACCTGACAGAGCAAAGGTGAGGTCAGAAACCAAAGTCGGAAACGAGGCGAGAGTCGAGAAACAGGAAGGCGTAGTCAGGAAACAGGCCAGACGAGTCAGGAAAAGTGTCCATAAAACAACGGGTAATGTAAAGGTTACATGCCAATCTCCGAGTCAAGCGGCCTCCCTCTCCCTCCCCGTGCACCTCACATCCAGCCCGGAATGTTCAGTGCGCCATAGTGCGCCCCTACTGGCCAAGCACCTTTAACAGCATCCCTGGACCACACAACCTTGCAATCAAACAAGGCAGGGTTCTTGCCCTACTGGCTGGCCTTCAACCAGATTCTCCCGTGCCGAGCGTTCTGATCGCCCTACAATCCCGCTCATGGGAAGCCATGTCGCTGTCAAGAACAGCACAAATCTGTTGCAGTTCTACAGGCAAGTGGATACAGTATCACACGTGTGACTGCACGGACACACCCATCTGTCAACAGCTTGTTGCTAGTGCTCATGCACAGGGCAATTTTGGGCCGAATCGGCGGCCGACGCTGTCATTCCATCTTGCAAGGAGCCCGGCTCTTCGAAGATCTTCAGTGGACTGCACGTATTTGCATTGGCAAGAATTTGCAAGTAGTGGAGCTGAGGCTTGGCTGAGGCTGCTTGCCACATCTTGCCATGAGCCAGAGATTCGCCCGCTGCGGCGCTCTTTCCGGTGAGCTTTTAGGATTCCCTGACATTCCTATTTTCCCAGTGATGTTAGTTAGGCTTCGCATCTTCGCATCTGCCTACTGCAGATCCTGCCAGCAAATTCCTGACCATGGCTTCACTTCAACGAACATCGGAAGGTTGCACCGACGAACCCTTGAAGCAAGATGCCCGCTGGCCTCTTCCCCTCGTCCAACCCTCTTCCAAAAAAGGATAGCCGAGACATGAAGAAGCAGAAGTGCATCTTGTGCATCCTTTTCAATTTTTCAAGGCAAAGCCAGACCGCCCTCTCACTTCCTCAGGCCGCAATTCTGTGAGCATCACATGGAATCGCGTGTCATCACACAAACGAAAAAAGCTGGGCCCACGACTTGGAGGGCTTCTTTGGGCGGTAAGTTCTACTCAAGTGGTTCCGAGGATACCTGGGCTCTTGTGCAACGAAAGCCTGCAAACATGAAACCAGGCTTTGGCCTGGCCTGATGCCATCACCCTCCTTGGGAACGTCGTCCTCCGGACCCACCTCTTCACCAGTCCTGCACCGAAGCAGCAACTGATCAGCAGCCTGCAGGGGCTTGCAGATGCTTGCAGATGCTCACAGCTGTCTGCACGCAGGTCCCTCCTGTAGAAATGCAGCCTCCGGTCCACATCAGTAAAGATTTTCTTGAAGCGAGAGCGGTTCGATTCGTAGTTGGGTCGCCTTGCTGCTTGCAGGCACCAGTCACTTCTTGCAAGCTGGACTTTCTGTCTCTTGTCAGCCTGACAGCCTTTAAATGCCTTTAATCGCCAAGCAACTTGACCCCGTATCTTGCTCGAGAGCTCCTGAGCTTGCCAAAGGACATGATGCCACTACGTCATCTCAATGTTGAAGCACCTGAGCGGGGATCACCTAAGTCTAAGGGCCAGACTTGCGGTTCTTGACGGGAAGAAGGTCGTACAGTCCACGCATGCATGTGTAGTTGCATCCTGGCGAGGCAGCACGTCGATGGTGTACGATGCTGTGCTTGGCTCTCGCTGCCGGTGTCGCCGGTCCAGTGTAAACATGCCAACTTCTCCGGGGACGTCGGGCCTTTTACCACCTCTGACCATGACGACAGAGTGAACCTGGCGGAGCAGTTCAGGATGCCCAACGGTCCCTGAAGAGATGTTCGTGCGCATTCCTGCCGTGTCCGACTGGGTTTCGCAGGCGGTGGTCGCGCATCAACGGCATCAAGCACAAAGCCGCCTGCAGATTGTGACCGATGCCCGGAATGTAGGCCTCAATCCAGCAAAATCCAGCAAACATTGGTAAGTTACAGGAGCCGCTGGCAAATACAAGCTCCGTCCTTCACCACGCGCCCGTTGGAAAGGCGCACATATGCAACCTGGACGGAAGCGGCAGTCATTTTGCAGATGTTCACGAATTCACAGAACCCTGTACGCAAGATCATCTCAGAAATGCCTTACGAAGACCAGAATTGGGCTTCCTCGGTGACTGGACGAAGACCTGCAATGCAAGATGACTGCGGTCACGGCTATAATCCTTACAGGCCGACCAGCTGCCTTCGTGCAAACGCCTTTCCTGTTTCCTGCACCCTCCAACCACTTTGATCTGACGTTGAACTTCCAGTTCGGGATCTCAGCTTTCCGAAAGTTTGAAAGTGTCCACGTTTGCAAGTTTACGAGCAATCACCTCAGAGCCGCGCCATCTTTGGTCTACGCTTGTAGAACAAGCGGCCGTGAAGATTCCTGCCGGGACTGGCACCCACATGTCCCCGGCTTTACAGACTAAAACCCTCTTTCGGAGAGGCCGCAGGCCCATTTCCCTTGCAGTAGCCCTGCAAAGCCGCATCTAAAAAACAAAAAGTCGACAACTGTTTGAGCACTTGAAAAATCACACCCCTCCTAAACTCCCTCGACTCCGACCCTTTCGCCAACCTTGTATTTCTTGCAGAAAGAGAGAGCGAGAGAGAGAGAGAGAGAGAGAGTAGGAGACAGAAACTTTCTTTCACGATTGGCCAGCAAGCAGTGAGCAACAGATAGTAACAGGCAGCAGGTATGATGAATTATTTAGGGTCGGGCTAGGGTTCAGATTTACCGTTTAGGCTTAAAGGTTTTCTTGTTTTGGGCAGGGGGTGTAAAACATACGGCGAGGGACCGGCCAACCGGGATCATAATGTGTGCTCCTGGTGCTGAAGCCGCGTCTGCTCTCCCAGTTGAGAGGCATGGCTGCTGGGTTAGGCATTGTAGAGCGGGCCATTGACCATTGGTACCGCTGACAGATGGCTGACCATTGCGTGGTGAGCGCAGGCACTGCATACGCGCAGGTCCCTGGAACACAGGGTCTGAAGAATTGACGGATCCCCTGGTTGCCAAGCTGGGTGCAGCGTGCCAGCCGAGAGAGCATGGCTCAACGCATTCTTAGTCCATACCGGTCCGGTCAAACTTTATTTGGATAAAGTTTCAGAATTGCTGCTTACTGACTCTTGCAAATGTCACTAACAATTAGCACACAAAGGGCTTGCATTGATGCTGACCATCTCAGGCTCAGGCTATGCCCCCCTTAGAACCTTTATAAAAATAACATGTTTAATAGCCTCTTGGGTTTTATATGAAAAACATGAAAAATACTTCCCACGCGGGATATAGCAGGCAGCACTTGAGAAACACGTTATGAAGCGGCTGCGCAAGGCCAGCTTTTGTTTCCATGCCATGCCTGCGACTCAAATAGCATCAGGCTGCGCAATCCGTCTTGGTCAGGGCCAAAAGGCTTTCAGAGGGGTATTGACCCGTCCCTGCTGATCCCCCGTCTAAGCCCTGGTCTAAATGCGATCCAAAACTACAGCACGGTATGCCAGCCCCCGAACAGCTCCAAAACCCAGAGCTTGGAGCTTGGATCCGACAGGCCAGGAAGGCTTTGTTTCAGGCATTGCCTGCCTTGTCCCGTCACGATGGTTGACAGCAACTCTACGTGCTTTCTTCGACATCGGCATGTGCTTCTGGCTAAACCGACTTGCTTCTGGACATCGGTTCGCTTCAACTTGTTGAAGGTGATGGCAACATCGCGCCAGCGATGAAGTTATAAGCTATCACAAAGCATTGGTGCAGTGTTGCAGCTGCGCGGCACTCCCTTTTAACTATCTGAAAGGATCCAAGACGCCTCTTTGCCACAGCCCGGTCGCCCCTCTGCGCACATCCACAACGAGGCGCACACAGACAAGATCAGCCTGCTTCTCGCTGCCGGCACCGTCCACGCTGTCGGCACTGTCAGCGACAAGACGCACCTCCAAGAGGCTGAGGCTCTCCAGTGCTGTGGCCGGAAGGTCTGCAACCGGCACTCCGGCCATGTGGAGCACGTGCAAAGTGGTAAAGCCTCCAGAGGCTCCATCCCGGTCAGTACCGGTTGCAGTGCCATTTGCTTGGCCGTTTGCAGCACTGGTCTCGCTGATCTCGCTGTTCTGGCCATCAAGCCGCAAATCTATCGGCAACCGATGATGCACGAGGTCTGCCAGGAAGCGCACACGCCACTGCGCCTTGGGCACCTGCGGCACCTTTGACCGCAGCTCGAGCTCAATGCGGAAAGGCGACTCCAGCTCGCAGATAGCTGGATCGACAGCAACACGAATAACCTGACAACACAACACAGTGGCCAGTGGGTGGAGCAATACTGGCCGTCAGAACCCGTCACACTTGGCCTCTACGTCAGCCGCTGCGGCAGCCTTGTGCTGGGCCTCAAGGTAGGAAACAGGAGAGAACAAAACACATGTGGTTGGTATGTCCAGAAGTTTGAGTGAAATAGGACTAGCCACTATCGGTTCATCATCCGGTCTGGCCCACAAATGCTTGTTCAACGGTGCCCCCTGCATAAAAATCAGCATGGATACTCGCTTATGGTTGACCCCTATCGGTTCAAAACTATATGACTCCTTCAGTCCTGGCTACCTCTTCCAAAGGTCATAATTAGGTTTTTCTCTCAGACGCAGAAACCAGCACGCAGAGTCTTTATAGAGGCCTGGCTGATACTGAGGCCATCTTGAGCATCTGACCATTGCCTGGAAAAGGCCGTAGGGGTGTGAGGACCATTGCTCAAGAGCAATCTACATGCGTGTGGGGACTCGAGCACTGGACTTCCAGACCCACGAAGGTCACAAGTAGGTCACAAGATCGTTCTTCTGTCCATGACGATTCAACAGCTTTCCTCTTAGCACATGCACCCTGCATTGCATTGCTGGTCGATTTGTATGCTTCGAGCTTGCGAAGTTGTAGATCAAGGTGCACTGAAGCACCAGTGGACATTTACTGCCAGCGTCCCGAGGCTGCAATCAGGACTGGGCACAAAAATGCTCACAGCCTGAATGCTCAGGGCGCCAGTTGCCACAATGCTATGCATGTTGCAAGTGTGGGCCTGACAAAGCCGAACTTTGGGCCGCATAAATCCGCATAAATCTGCATAAAACCCACTGAAGCTTGAAGCTTGGAGAGGTGAGAGCTTCGAGCAGGTTCACTCGAAAGTCTCCTCTACAGGATCCTCAGGCAACTCGTTTGCCTTCGCGCGCTGTGGAGACTGTGGAGACACTGACATTGACAGCATATCACCTACGACTTAAAAGCTAGCTCACAAGCGGAGATGTTCTCGCAAACGCAGGCCTTCTTGCGCTCCTCCCTCTCTGCTTTCTCGTTGAGCTTCTTGACCTCAACGGCGGTAAAGGCCGTCTCTGTACTTAGTGGTCTGTGCTTCCTTCCATTTCTGATCACGCAGTCATCATTGTTTGTCGCGCTTTATCGACCTGTTCCAAACCTTGCGAGGCCAGTCAAAATCTTCGTACGGTAGTAGCCGGTGTTTGCGCATTGAGTCTGGAACTGTGTCAACGGTTTGCTTACGCTCTTGGATATTCCTGGCCGCAGCCTAAACACAACAACTTGTTCGCTCTGCGGCTCTTCTCCAAGTTCAGCGCGACGAGCGAAACGTGCTCAACTCCAACTCAACTACGGCAGTGGAGCGGGAGTAGGCACATCGCTCAGACTTGCACAGTCGACAGCGGTTTCGGGTCAGAGTCTACTGCGGAGTTTACGGAAATCAGGTATTCATGTGAGGTGACGAAGCTTATAGTGGTAAGGCGGAGATTGTTCTAATTGTGAGCTCAACAGGTCCTGCCACCGAACCAATGATCCGAATCTGTCAGAAGATATACAAGCGTGAGCGAGCCAAGCTGCGTAAGGATTCTTGAGCAGCTTTCTTGCCTGGACCATGCCACCAGGAGAGTAGCAGAGTGTTAGCACCCATGCTAGCCTATGCAAGACTCACGCTGACCCTTGCAAGCTTCCTACCGGGCTGTGGCCTGAACTCGCAAAGCTGTGGGCGACATGTAGTGAGGATTTAAAAACCTGGCCAGCCATCGACATGCCGCAAGCAAGGAAACAGCAGACAAACCATGGCAAATCATGGCAAGCTTGCAGCGTTTGTCCATTGAAGCTTCCGCCCAAGATTCGGATTGGGTCCAGCACGAAGCGAGGTCCAATCTCAGTGAGAACCTTTGCACAGGCAAACTATTTCTACTGCTTCTGGCACGGCGCACCGCAAGATGAACACAGCAGCAGCAGTCCAGCCTGCTTTTCAGGCTTGTTGCTATCATCTGGCGTTTCTGGCGAGATCTGGTAGTGCCTGAACCTGCAAGTTCGAGATCTCTGCATGTCTTCCTTCCTTCCTCTCTCTTCCTCTTCCTCTTCCTCTTCCTCTTCTTCTTTTTCTTCTTCTTCTTCTACGGGGCATGGGGGGCGTCACCGCCCCTCGCGCACTAGGGGTGCCCAGGCACACGTCCAGTCCGAGTGACACTTGCGGCCGAATCGGCCAGGACACGTTGGGTGATGCGTTTTCTGATGCGCACCCTGTTCCCCAACCCACTCTCTCTCTCTCTCTCTCTCTCTCTCCGTTCCTTCCTTCCGTCGCACATAACCCCTCAGAGGGGGTCGCCCCGAAAGGCGTGCTCCAAGCGAGTCAGTTGGTGAAAGACGGCCACCACATGGTTGAGGATACCCCCGTGTTGGGGTGTCGCTCTCTGCGCTCCATGTGAGGGTGTTTTGTGTTTTGTGGGTTGTGGACATGGGCCTCCCGAATACAACAAGACAGTGCTCACCTGACCAACAGTAACAAGTGTGCACCCCCGGCCCATGGCCCACATCAGCGACTCTCCCGGCTTCAACTCCCAGTACGAGGCTCTACGAACCACTGACCATCAAGAAGAAGCAGCCTCAGTTCGAGACTGGGAGGTAGTCGTGGACAGATCGGTGTTCTATTCAAAGTTACTCCACTATTGCTTCATCGCCCCTTTTGCCTCTCTCTCTCTCTCTCCACACATGGAACCTCAAACTGGACTCTCGCTCTCTCGCTCTCTCTCCCTCCCTCCGAGAATGAAGAGAACGACTATTTCCACTTTCAAAGGAATTCAGGACGGAGCCAGATCTTCTTGTCTAGCCTCAGCATCCGGCATGACTCCGGCATGGAAGTTCGTTCGACTTGACTTGGGGCATGGAGCCATAATCATGTCTGTCCAGATGCTGCTCAGCAGCCAATAGAAGCACATGATATGATCATGGAACGGCTTGCTCTTGGGATGGTTTCGTGGCGTGCCAAAGACCTGACAAGGGAAACCCACAAGGCCCGAAGAGCTTCTGTAAGTCTCAGCTGCATTCGCCTGGATGAAAAGACCTTTGACAAGCTTGAGGTAGGACACCTCGCTAAAGCTCTTGTCAAAATACCTTCCAGGACAGAGTGCCGAAAGACTATCCGGCGATCAATACACGGAGCATCTAGAACTCCACTTCATGCCAGAGTCGCATTATCGGTCGGGAACCCAGCAAGCAGTTTCCAGCCTTGACTCGCTTGGCTTTCTCAGGTGAACGAAACACTCGCGAGCGGCTACAACAGCTTCGTTGTTGAAACTGGAACCGAGGGAGAAACTAACCTGACTTCCTGGGTGGTGTGGATGTTCAACACCTCCAAGAGCAAATCGCGTCACACTGACGCACTGCACTGAATCTGCACAGAGTTCCAGCCTGAAACTTCATGGTCGGACCCGATGGCACCCTGCCAACCCACAAGTACCTGGAATTTCCCTTAGAGGGAAGACCGAAGCGGGAAGGGGGCAAGGAGAAGCGGAAGGCAAGCGGGAATTGTAGCTTGCAGGGGAAGCAACGTTTTTAATGAAGCTCACTCGACATCGATGTACAATTCTAAGTCATCTGCATCTCCCACAGTCCAGCCGCAGAACTTTGTGTCCCAGTGCACGCCGTTGCCGTTGTCACAGCAGTGGTAAATCTTTCTGGACAGCTTGTCATGGTGCTTCCGGTGCCAATGATTGGAAGTGTGCCACAACTTCTCAGGGACCAGATCCTGTTGTCCACCTGCAGGGACTACCCAAGAGTCAGAGATGTCCTGCCGAGTTGGACCTTTCTTATAGCCGATGGGCTGTCCACAGCGCAGATTCAAAATCGGATAGCTGCCTGGGACACTCTCCACGACCATGTCCGGACGATCGCGTTGTTGTATCCGGACCCTGGTGGCAGTTTCAGCAAGAGGCAGCACCTCTTCAACAGGCAAGTCCCAAACCAAGCTGGCACCCGTCGTCTCTTCAGTTTTTGCATCGCTATGGCAGATTCGAGTCCAACCGCTGATGCCCAGGCGGACCAAATCAAGCGTGCAGCCTGGCGTGGCGAGCAGCAACAGACCACTCTTGAAGAATCTGAGACGTAGATTTGACTCACGAAAGAACGCAGATGCCTGATGCCAGTCCGGCTTCTGCGAGGGTTGCCTTCCCCTTCAACGGCTTGTCCTGAAAGGGGATTGGGGCAGGGCAAGTGCTGCCAAGGCTTCGGAATCAGCCAGAATGAACAGAATGATCTCGCTCAAAGCTGCCTCAAACATCAAGCGAAACGGCTTCTGCAACTTCGCAATCCTCTGGATTTCGAATCGGAGGTCAAGCCTACAGTCACATGGCAAAGCGTAAGAAACATAAGGCATCCATCTCGTATATTACAAGAATGAGCTGGGAGATGTGTGCCATTCTCGTCGGAGGTACAAAGTGTCCGTTGGTGCCAGCGAAAGCTCTGCAAGAGTCTCTCCGGTCATGGCAAGCTGCACTTTGATGCCCCATGTCTCTGCCATGGCAGCTGACTGAACCACAGCACACAATGGTGTAAGGCATAATCCTGACTTTGTCTGAAATCAACTCCAATCAAAAACTTGCGTGTTGACGCGGCGACTGCTAGACAAACAAACGCCCTTAATGTTTCAGGAATCGCTCGAAGGCTGCACAGTTTTGGGCGAAGATCAAGCATTCTCTTCATCTTGAGCTGAAGCACACAGTAGTCGCATGACTCATGCCGACTCATGCTGACTGATACGTTCGGGTGACCTCGGTGCGCCTTCATAGTTCCGACGCCCTCTCTGTACCGTACAGCACTCGTGAGCAGACTTTGAAAAACCGTTCCAGGCGCACAAGTCTTCTCGTTTTCGAGCTTCGAAGAAAACGACGTTGTTGCAGTTCTTGAGCTCGCAGATCTGCAGATGCGCTCTACTGGCCGAGAGCAAGGTGACTCCAGCCCAATCCAAGCCTCGTTAATTTCGTTGAAGTTTGATCTTTTCTCAAACTTTGGCTCCTGGCAACTGCAGTCAAAAGCTGCGGCACGCATTGGGAGGCAAACAGCACAGGCCGACCGACTTGTGATGAGGCAAGAGTTTGCGAAGGTCGTCGCACAAGTGGCGAAACCTGCCATCGAAACATTCAAGACATGTTGACACGGCGATCTTGCAGAATTTGGGGATGTGAGTGTCCCAACCTCGCAGTAACTCCGCGACTGCAGAACACGAGCGTTCGCTGCTTGTTCCGCCATCTTGTGTCTTTCTGGATGTACCTTCCAATTTCAGTTCCCTGGCAACTCGGACTCAAGACGGTAAACACTTGCAAGAGCACGCGGCGTCAGCCATTAAGTACCTGGCATAACACATTGGAGAGTAAGGGCCAGGGTGCCATGCAGACGCTCAAACCATTGCTGAGGAGCGGGTCTGGCTTGGCCATTTCATCGGCCGCCTGTCTGCGAGTTGCTTTGCGAGTTGCTTTATCCTGAGCCTAAGCTTTCAACAGCTCTCCTTTTCTCCATGCACGCACAGATGCTCAGAGGTCGTGGAGCCTCTAAGCTCCTCCAGGTACCCAAACTCCCGAGACACTCGAGGATCGCGCTTGGGCTTGTGGACATGATCGGAGAAGCCGTTGACTGATCTCCTGGCCTGGGGTTGATTCGCAGACATCTTTCATCCCAGAAATGCACCTCGGCTGCCTCGGCTTGTGTACGGCTGGCGTAGGATCTTGCACATAGGGCAGGATAGGGCCGGGCAGGCGGATGAATCGCACGGTTGTAGCCTCTTGCAATCACCGGCAGCGAACTATCCATCAGCGGTCGCAAGAGCCAAGTCCTTCGCCTGTTCATAAATTCAGTTCTCCGTTCTTCCAAGCCACTGTGGTCACCAATGGCCGCCTACCTAGTTCCTTGATGTTTCCTTCTCGGTGGAGATGTAGCATTGCTCCACACCCCCTTCACTTCAGGCGACCTTCTCCATGGGCCTCCTCCACCACAATGTCGAACTGCAAACTTCAGACAGCCTGCCCTGCTCGCGCTAGTGCCAGAAGGACCTCAGCTGGATCCAAAGGCTTCATACGTTCATCTTTGCATGCTGCTTGAGCAACTGGCTACCTAGTTTGTGGCGGGCATTTGCCAACAGCAGAAGAAGGGGCAGCAGCTGCTTAAGACTGACATTCTTAGACATCTTTTGATAGTACCAAACATACCAGAACTAAGTCAAATGCCATTAGCCTAAAACCAGACAAATGCTTGTTCTGAACTGCTGAGGGGGGACCCGTGCTGCGAAGGCCGATTCCTCACACGTTCCTGGAGCTGACTGAAGATCGCGTGGTACGGTGAGCAGTGGAGCTGCGTCTCGTTGACCACGGACCACACTTGCCAACCATCGGCTCCTCCTGTGAGCGCAGGCTGTGCTGGGTCTCTGCAGCTCCTCAGCACGCAGTCCCCGGAATCTGCTGCGCTTCCCAGATGAAAATTCACAGTGTTGCAGCGGGGATGTTGCCGAATGCAGCTTCTTCGGCATTCTTCGGCCGACCTTCCGTCTCCGTGCTGGAGGTACTCACAATCCTCGCCTAGTGCCACCTGGTTCACGGCCCAACCCATCCATTCACCATGCTCCCCTTTTCGACCCCGGCGGCCCCAACCTCGGTGGAAGTCGAAGAAGCAAGCGGCCTCCTCAAGGCGCCTCTTCATTTGCGCAATGCGCTCCAGGGAGAAGCTGCGAAGGTAGGCCAAGAGCTCCAACCCCACCTGGTCCTCTGGCCACTTGATGCTCAAGGCCTCGAATCATTCTCACACATAGGTACCACCAAAAAGCACGCAACAGGCATTGCAGTCCATATCAGTCTATGTTGCAGTCTCCACTCCATTTCCAAGGGCCCCGGCCGGCCAGTCGATGACGTTCTGAAAGGGTACATCCAAGAAGTCGGAGATGATCACTGGGATACCTCATGCTAACTTTTCGCGTGATTCTATATCTTTGCGATGTCACGCAAGTCTGGAGAAATATGTGTGGCGGGTACAGCCGACGAGCCAAGGCACAGCCAAAGAAAAAGCTCTCATAGAGGTGAATAGTCCACGCCTCACAGAAAGAACACGCGTCAGCTTGACAAGGTTATGCAGTTATGCACTTTGGATGCAGTAGGCGCCGAACTGAAGATCCACGAGGAACCAAGCAGAAGTGGGTTCGGCCCATGCCTGCCAAGGCAATGAAAACTAAGACACTATAACCGGGGGCGATTCCCCGATAAGAGTTCGCCCATACTCGCTCAGCCATACTTCGCTCAGCGGCGCTGGAAGAAGTCTGGCACAGGACCGCCGACACTGCAATCGGGGATGCCCGCGAAAGACTCCAGGATGCGGGTGCGCACCTCCACAGATCGGCAAAAAGAAGGGGCAATGCGGCAATGCGGAAATGCGGAAACGGCCCAACACCCACAAGATGCTGACAGTTGGAGCAGCTGCAAGGACGGAGAGCAGGGCTTGTGGCAAGTCTCCTTTTTGACATTCGGGCCGCACTAGGATCGTCTAGGATCGTCAGGCATTGTCAGCTGCCTTTCTGCATGCCCGGCACCTGGACACAAGCTCCAAGCCATGCAGAGGGCTGAAATGGTCTGACTTTCTCTCCATCTGTCTAAGCTACATGCTTGACCAGCTTGATGCCCATCTGCGCATCTGCGCAGATCTGCGAGCAATCGATGGGCGACTGACAACCTTGCAGGCATCAAGTTGCACCAAAGTCAACACAAGGTCTGCTCAGGGTCAGACTTCGCAGAAGTACTTGAGGGAGAAGTGTACTGAGTGACTAGATGAGAAGTTGCTCATGCTCCAAGAAGCAGTAGACTCGAAGGTCAGCAATTCCCATGTTGTCAGTCGCATCCTGCACAGAGAGAACTGCTTGGTGCAAAAGATGCATGGCGAAGGCCTTGCTGCGTGTCATGCCTGTCATGCTGTGTGAAGTGAGAAGATTGCAAGGGAAACAGGCAACCAAAGGGGCTCCTGCACCACATTGGCCTGGGCTCCACACACCGTCTCCCCTGGAGGGCAACGCAAATCTTTGGACCAGGCTGCCTGCATCACGGCAGGCATCGCCAATATAACACGAGGTACGACTCATTACTCTTCGTGCTGAGATCAAAGACCCACCGGCTGCAGAACGCCATAAGTTCTACAATGCGCTGTTGCGGTACTTCGGAGATGTTCAGTAAAGATGTCGTGAAGCGGGACAAGTTACCTCTATGTAGCAGCTGTCAAATTGTTCAAGAGATCAGTCAAAGAGCAGCTATAAACCTTGAATCTCTCCATCCACCCACGATGATATCAAAACCCTTGGCCTCAGTGCTGTTTGAGAAGCTAATCTTCGAGACCGCGCTGAGGTCCTGCGCTCCTGTGTTCTCAGAGAGATGGTGCATTGGTCTGTCGTTGGTCTGTGGCACAGCAGTTGTTCCAAGTCGTTTCAGAATTCAGCTCAAGGGTCGGCAGCTGAACTCCAATCCAGCAACGCCGGCGTTGTCGAAGCCGTTCCTGCTCAAAGATGACGGGGCACATGCTTTCAGCATCTTTGAGTATTTGAGCTTCTTGTCCAGTACCTTGGACTGCGCCCCTGCGAGCGGAAGCCATACACCGACTGGCCTGGCGGGGTGGAGCGGCGGAGAGGCCGGAGAATCACGAATCAAACAAATCGACTTCCAACTGTGCAGCTTGCTGTGCAGCTTGCTGTGCAGCTTGCTGTGCAGCTTGCTGTGGACCTTCAGGGCAGCTGGTCCAGTTTGACCATTTCCCGTCAGGACCCTCCGCAGTAGCAACCTGCAAAAGAGCGTTTCCAAAGAAGAACAGAAAAGATGAAAAACAACATGTTGAGCATCTCATGTGGCATATCCCAGCCTTGGTGCCGTCGCTACACTGGAACTTCAAGGCGTTGACACCGCTCTCGTCGACCGAAGGTGCGTGGAGCGCCTTTGAGAGAGTTTATGTCCGTGTCCTTATGATGCAAGTGTTCGCAACGCGTCAAAGAGCGTCCTTCATTGTCTTGATCTGGACGCCAGTGACCTGAATGCGACCGCACGTGCTTTCGAGGAACCCAGGTGGCAAAGGCAACATGCAGCCGAGGCTGAAGCAAATGCACCAGCAGGGCAGGTTGCACCTGCACCCCAGAAGCCAAGGCCTGGCAGGCAAAACATGGCGCAAAGCAGCACTCCAAAAATCTCAAAAGTCAAAGGAGGCAGAAGCGCCCTTCATGTTGCCCGGCGTCATCATGGCCGACACATCCTCTCGGGAGATCGTTCCAAGGTCGTAGCCTGGCATCTTGTGACTTGACAGCTCTCGAAGAGGCAGCAATGCCTAGCCTGTACGGGCTAGACGAAGGAATTCCGGCTTGGTCATGAACTCATCTTCCGACCTGGGCTCCAGTTTGGCGACTCTTTGCTTCAACATTGTGAATCCTGACAGCTAAGCTTGCTGCTGGTGGTAGCGCTGCCACAAACGCTCAATTTCGTCGGGGGATTTGCCTTGCCTTACCACAGACTTACAGCTGCTCTTCGACTTCATGGAGCCAGCGCCTACTGAGTTTGCTGGGTTTCGTGAATCTGGTCGGGCCTGTCATGAAGCTCCAAGCTGAATTCCTCGTCAGACACGACGCCGTCTTTGTTCACATCTGCACGATCCCACTCCTCGTGTCACGGCAAATTCATCCTTTCGTAATGGAACTGCAGAAAGGCGAATCCTCGTTCAGACGCTTCTCTGTGACCCGTCTCTGATCCAGATTCACCTGGGCCATTCGGAGGCAGTTCGTTTGAGCATGCAGCATGCCAACAATCAAGCGCTGGAATGCTCTTGCAGACTGATCACGCGTTGCTCCAGATACCTGTCGGACGGAGCTGCAGCTGCATCAGGCATTGCATTAGATTGATGAGCACGCTTCGATGACCCTTGGAAGTGGACCTGCCTGGACACATAAGCGGGCACCTCATCAACTGCTGCCACGGCCTGTGCAAACACGAATTCTGACAAGATCTGTCAAACATCGGAGGCAGACTCAGCGGATTTGCCGGGAGGGACTTCCACGATGAGGTTCGGTGGGTTTGCTTATGGCTCAAATATCCAGCACACGAAGGAAAAACAAGCATTGGCCTCCACCTCCCCGGTTGCTATCCTGTCCTGCGATCGGCGCATCGACCCACCATGATCCACTCTGGAGATCGTGGAGACCATTGCTACATGCTCACCTTTGCTTAGACTGCTTACCTCCATCTTCAGATTCACCCCGCCCATCGAGCCCGGACCTTCGGAGCCATCAAGGGATAATTCGTTTCCGCGTTGTCCCACAGCTTCTTTAAGCTGCCAACAACCTAGAAGGCACACGGCTGGAGGTCCAAGCAACACTGCAGCTGTTAGAAACTGTTCGACTTCGGCTCGACAGCTTCGGAAAGGAAACAGCCACCAAAAGGTTCGATTAGTCGTTCGGGCCTATGCCGACACTGACGGATGACGACTGGTTTGCACATGAGTAGGGCTACCAGTACGAGCTCCTCGCAGAGGCCCCCCTGCCCTCCGACTCTCCCGAGCACTCCAATGGCAATCTGCATCTAAGTGGCTGGAGGGCCCTGACCTGACCGCAGTCGATCTGGCTTGGCGAAGAGTCGACGCTTGTCCTTTATGTGGAAAACTGCAGCAGTCACGAAACTAAGACACGCAAAGCGAGCTTCGGGCGATGTTGACCAGTGGCGATGCACCAGATGGATTGTCCAGGCCGCCGCCCTCCCCTAGACAACGGAGTCGGACAATGCCATCTTGTGCAGAAAACAATCAAAACACGAGCCAGGAATGCCGACGCCGCTGTTGCCTCGCAACGGCATATAACGAAACCAAATATCAACAAAAATCCCCCAAGGAAGCCTCGTGGCGGCTGCTGTGGAAACGTCCTCTGCCGGATCGCCTTTGATGGCATCCAATCCTTGGGCCCAGAAGCTGAAGACGATCAGGGTGTTTCACATAATTCAGGCTTCAACTTGCCGTTTAAAGCGAAGCTAACTGCTGTGACAGAATCAGGTGCCATGGGGGGAGCTGCATCTTCGAGCAGTGGCAATCTTTCCCCAGCTGGCGCTGCTGGCCTCTCGTTTGTGCACGAGATGACCACAGCTTGACACCGCCTGGCGCGCGTTCCTGAGGGCACCGCTTGGCACCGGTGATGGACGCGTGCTGTGCCACTCCGTCCAGCCGATCCATGGGCGCCTCTAGCTCTGATTAGCTCTGGAGAAGGATGGAGAAAAGGATCCAAATTGGTGAGGGGTCGAAATCTCCCATACATGCATTGGGGAAGTCTTCGTCTCAGGATCAGGCGGTTGGATCCATGTCACCAAGGACGAAGATGCGTTGCTTGTGGTTCACCTTGCTGCGGCCAAGCTCAAACGTGAAGACGGAAAGCCGGAGCGCAAGGGCTGCACCCAGTCGACGTTCCCGACAGGAGCATCATTGAAGCTGCGTCCAAACAGCCTGTACGAGAGGTCCCAGCTGCTGCATCAACTTTAACCGACAACCCAGACAGCCACGTGCTGCCGTCCTTGGGTGACCCAGACTGGGGTTGGCGACGGACTGCGCCTGGACCAGGACTGCTGCAGGAACTTGTCTAGAGCAGAGCAACGACGCACCTGGTTCGCCACCTGCCGCAGGCTGGGCCGAACCTCTCATCCACTCAACGAAATAACGGCGAAGGATCTGGGCACATGAAACCGATTGCGCTCCTTCTGTTGTGTGACGGCAGCCACTGCCTTTGCAACTGCACAGCACCACAGGTCAGTGATGAGCAATCAGCTGGTAGGTCTGGGTGGCAGGCCACAAGGCCAACCACAAACACTTTCACACCAGCGTATGCCATCCCAGGCAACGTTATCAGTCCACCTGACACCAGCACATGATAGCACATGCATGCCCTTCGATCTTTCATCCTTTCGAAACGACTCCGGCCTAGTTGGACATCGAAGGCAACAGGCCGCGCACCTGCTGCTTACTACGTTAACGGCCAGCTGCGAAGCTGCTTGGGCCAGCGGCTGTGCCATGCAAATCTTCACCTTCCCAACATGCCCGATCCTACTCTTCGAGCAGGGGCAACGGTTTGCTTTTGACCAAAGCAGTGTGGAGCCTGGGCTTTGTGCGTGACATAAAGGCCATGATTTCCAGGGTGGTTGCCATGAAACACCATCCTGGGATGCAGGGCGTCAGGAAGCAGATGCGGATGGCTTGTACATGGATAGAAGCCAAGCTGCAGGAACCCGCGCTCGTGGGTGGGCTTGTTTACCCTCCGCATGGCGTCAATCCGCCATCCTAAGTGCCCAGTCGGACATGCGCGCTTGCGTCGCGTTGGCATGAAAGAAAGTCAGATGACATCAGCCGACAGATGGACTGCTCACCTGATTTGGGATTCGTCCTGGAGGCTGGCCACTACTGCTGAGGCACCTGCGATCAATGTAACCTGGTATCATGATGTCCTTCCAAGGCGAATACCACCTGAGCCACGCCCTAAAAAAAATCCATATGTGCTGCTCATGTACAATACCTATACTAAATACGCAGTATGGACGAACCATTCATGCAACTTACGCACGTGGCATGCCATCGCAGGCACATCTCGAAGGCAAAAGGCTCAGGGACAATTCTGCATAGCAACATGTGGACTCGCGATGTCCAATAGCTTGCCACGATGCTCCGGCATTCTTATTATCTCGTCGTGTGGCTTTTGCAAGGCCACTTGGACACACCCGGCCGTATGGCCAACCCTGGCAAAACTGGATCAGGTTCACACATGGAACACCTGCCTGCAAAATACTACATACATTTTTTTGCACGAGTTGGTCCCCAGCTTGTGCGCCCAAGCTTTTGCTATTGCAAGCAACATACTTGAGAGCCACGGGCTGGGACGAAAGCTCTAGTAGGCCTAGGACTGGGGACACGGAGCTTACAGGAACAGAGAGGCCCCAGCGAAGCATGTGGCCGCACGATACAGCCAGCATCAGCAGCATCAGGCACCACACCCAGGCCAGCATCAGCAGCATCAGGGGCCCGCTTCTCCTTCGAACGTCTCAGAAAAACACTTACCAAAGAAACCCAAATCTAGCCCAAAACAGGCCCCCTTGACAACGATGGTTTTCCCGGCACCAGACCGGGGATAGCCGAAAAAACCCACCAAAATGCCCCCACCCCCCCCCCCCCCCCCCCCCCCCCCCCCCGCACCCCCCAAGCTCACTTCGTGAGGTATTGAACGAAGCTCCCACACGCTCCCACAGGGGGAGCTTTCGTGACTTCCTACCTCTTGTCAGGATTAAGTCTTTGCTCGCTTGCTTGCACGAGAGTTGGCCTACCTGGGCAGCAAACATCTGAGCAACCAGCCGCGGAATGTCGTCGTTTACTTGCCAAGATTCGACCTCGGTGTGGCACTGTCGCATAAGAACACGGACTCGGGCATGTGTGAGCATCCATGCACAAGGAGACTTTAAGCGAGAGCTCGGGGCAAGTGAGCAAAGGAAGAACGCTGCCTCCAGAATAACTGTGAGGAGTCCCTACAAAGTCCTACACACTAGTTCTGCCAATGGGCTGCTCGACGTGATTTCAAATGTTGGGCAATGCCACTAGAGTCACCAGAGCAGCTAGGGACTAGGGATCATCGGAGGGCCAACTGCCCAGGGCCGGCCATGCACCAAGATGAACCAAGATGAACCAAGATGAAAGAAGCTGGATCATACAAGTACAGACCAAGCCCCTCACCGTAAGGAGGATTGCATTGCGAAGCGGAGCAAGGTGTTTCCAAGACGGCAAGTTGGCCTTACTCGGCTTTGCAAGAAAACCTGAAGAAGTCTGCTCTGACATGAGATGTGAAATGTGCTTAGCCATCAGGAGGGCACCGACACAACAAAGAAATGATCTTGTCCTCGTCGGCGTGCAAGATGAGAGAATCTGACACAGAAGCAGTGTGGTCCAACGACTGCCTCTCAGTGTTTGCTTGCTTTCAGCCTCTGATTAGAGTCGCCCGCATGAGCTCGTACTTCCAGGAACTCGTTATACCTGCAATTTCCGGCAACATCTGCAACGCTTACGCACGTCGGGCGACGTGCGAACCTGCGCACAGTAAGCTACTAAGTTTGGAAACGCTCCCAGGGTCACTGATCACCATGATACGCTGGGACGAAGAAGAGGTCCGCGGTCTCAGGATCCTACTGTGCAGGCTAGCACGCGGCAAGAGGCTGGGATTCGTATTCTGCAAGGCACTGCAAGGCCTTCACCACACAAGATGCCCGCTCCAGGTAAGCATGAATATGGCTCGCCGCAGCCATCATGCCCAAGCCTCATGGAAGCATACGCGCCCCGTCTTTGCAACTCTTCCTTCTTTTTTCGGAAACAGGCCCCTCTCCTGTGATCAACCGCCGGCGTGTCAGGTCCAGAGTGGAGTTGTACACAAAAACCTCGGCACGCAGCTGCTGACACTGCTGGACCATCCTGGCAGAACCGACACCTTCCTTCACCATGATTCACTTATTTCAACTGCTACTTCAGCGTTGGCGTGTTAAAGTGCTACACGGCATTCGAGCCGCTTGGTGGTCTGAACCCGAAAACATTTCGTATCGATGAGGAACACTACGGCTTGCTTCACCAGTAAGGGCGTCGCACGCAATGTTGATCCCCCGCATTCATTTTCTTCGTGGCCAAGCAACTGCCTCCCAACAGGCACTTTCGACGACCATTCAGCATTTCTTGGTACAAGCCAAGAGTTGTCCATACAGCCCAAGCATCCCAGGCAGCCCGTCCCAGCGGCGGTAAGAGAGTCTAGGAACTCTGATTCGGGTAACCATGGATATATACAACCTCTGGACATATTCAGCTGGCAGTTGGCACACGGCCTCCGAGAGTTTCTTCCATGCGAAAAGCAGCAGCGCATGCAGCACAAAGAGTTGTGGGGGCGGGTTGGCTTCACCAGTGTCGGAAGCGGCCGTTCTGATCGCCCTCGATCCCCTAACTTTCGTCTTGGACCAACTGTCTATCCATGAGTGTCAGCTCTTACAGTCAAGTATGGCTACGCAACCCTCCACTGTTTCGGCCAGTACCTCGACCCAACCAAATTTATCATTGCTTTGACGCTCTCTTCGACTATCTTCTACTGCATCTACTGTATAGTGGGCATTAGTGGGCCATGCCAGGCCAGCGTAAGAGAGGCATGTCCGGCAGTGCGCCATACTCCGCTGAGCCTGACGTGCAGGTGTACTGTGCTGCTTGTTGTGCTGTTGGCTTGTTTACCTGCCCTCCTGGGGCACGCATTGCCACTGCTGATATTGATGACCTGCTCTTGGCCTGCTGCTTCGCGTGGCGCGCGACATGTTCTCGAAACACAAAAGATTTGACACCAGAGTTGCGAAAGCGTCGTGGAAATACATCATACAGTATCTATCGATTTCAGCGACTGTCAATTCGTGACATCTGTTTCGTGGCTGTTGGCATGTCATGCGACCAGTAAGCCCAGCAGCAAACTCACGTTCGGAGACGGCCTGTATCCGAAAAACTTGGTCGGGTCGAGCGGCCACCCAGATCCCTGAAAGGCAAATCGTCAGCTTGGTGAGGTGAGTTTAAGTTTGCAATGCTCTAAGGGGATAGAAATATATAACATACAAAGAAGCCAACGCATGCTCTATACCTCTCTGCGAGGCCTCCACAAGCTCGGAAAACTGGAAGAACAAACCATCAGCAATTGCCTCGTGAAACACACTTGCAGCTTCGCAAGACTGCTCGGGAGATAGTTGATCAAGCGGCCGGATTTAACAATCGCATCAATGGATTCTGGAATGACACGCCAGTCAATGATGCCTCTAGTTCGCGAGCGCGGTGAAGACCCTCCTGCTTGCCAAGAAAGCGGCATGATTCGAAACACCACCAGCTGTTGATTGAATATCGGACTTGTCCTCGGAGTCCACTGAGGCGAGTGTCAGCCAAATGAGAGAGATGACACCGAACACACAATCCTGCGTGGACAGTCTTCGACATTCCCAAGTTGGAGCTGACGTGACTTCGACTGCACTTGCAGAACGGCGTTGTCCTTCACAGCATTGTCGAGGTCGGGGAGCACCTGGCTGAAGATTTCAAGCAGAGCCGGTGAAAGTTGACTAAGGGCCGCCTCGCTGTTCATCACTTGCCGGAGGTAGTCCAGGTTGTCCTAAATGGGCAAAAGCAAGCGACAGCATCAAGCATCGTATCCAAAGTTGCTGGTGGCCAAACATGCTGGTGAGACAGATCGTGGGTCTAGGCTGCGGCCATCCTCGCGACCTCACACAGCTGATGTCTTAGTACGTCCGCACGACTCTCCACGCACGAGCATGGCCTGGGTACCAATTCTGACCTCTTGAATGCGTGTTAGTATACGGTGAAGTTCGGTTAGAAGGTACAAAGGGTCCCGAGTCTTTCTCGACAGGGCTTGGTCGCAGGCAAGGTGAGGAAGCCGCAAAAGCACTCACTTGTTGTCTCTTGACTTGCTTACTCGTACACTGTTTGCATCGTCAAGTTTAGAATTCTTGGATGTGCTGCATTCATGCCCCACGTTTCGATTCGCGCACAAATTACTGATTTCATGCTTCGGAGCATGCTGGATACGCGGCAGGGCCTGCCATGTCGAGCTCCAGAAGGTACTTGACCTCATCCCAGGTGTCCTTCGTTGCGCGACCTGCACACAACAAACAAATAACTCCATTCTCCATGGCTGCAAGCTGGATTAATCACACTGCTCGTTCCGAAACAACTTCCGGGTGTCACGCTGAAGGATCCATCACATCCGTTGAAGCCTGATGCAGACACCCTGGTGGCTACCTCGGCCATCAAGAACAACTTGAGGTATGCGGCTTCATGCTGACGTCACCATAATTGTTGCCATCGCTTCACATTGCGGTGCATTGCTCTCGCAAAGAAGTAAAGTCAAGGCTTCGACTGCAGAAGCGAATGCAGAAAGGCGCACGCTGTTCGGTACCTCTTCGCAGAAAGAACCCAGTTTACGAATCCTTGCCAAGATCAGGTTCTATCCGCACGCACATGACATGCCACTGCAGTACACGTTGACATGCTTTCATTTTCTGAGACGTTCTCTAAGTTCTAGATGTCCTCCTGTCATGCCACTCGGAAACATTGTTCAAGCCTGCAGCAGGCTGAGGATGGCGAGCATCGCAGGCATCGCAAGCATCGCATGGCAGCATTTGACAGGACGCTGCTTCTGAGCTTCTTTGGTTGTCGCTCTCTTGGCGACCGTTGCACTTGCGTGGGACCTGCCCTTTGGCTACCGCACTGCTGGGCGGCTAGCGACTAGGCAGGTGCTGGTGCTTCTGTGAAAATACCTTGTCAGGCTTTCCGTTTCCTTGCAGCGTCAACCATGCTTCAGCAGCCCCAGCTCCAACACTGCATGTATGCCTCCACTTCACATTTTCATGCATCTGCGACTTCGCTGTTGACTGAGAGCCACAGACTACGTGAACGAAATTGCCGGTTGTCTCAATTCACGCACACCGCACGATCTTGGCTGGAGCTTTCAAAACTGGCCTCTTCCTCCTGAGGAGTCTCCTGCAGAACAGTGTTTGTATGTTGCAGCGCGTAATCACAAATCCAAGCTGACCAGGCTCCTCCTGCTCTTGCTCGGCCGCTTGCGCCTTGACGGCATCCACGTCTAGATCTGCCGCGGTGAGCTGCGGCTCCTGACACACATCACTTGCGTCCGCGGTGCGAATTGATGGCAGTAAGAGATGATATCCGGCACAGACTTCTTTTCCCGGCACCTCTGCGTTGACCGGACCCTAGGACGGTCGATGGGCACCAGCTGCTGCACCGTGATTCCAAATGCCAGGACTTCGCACTGAAAAAACAGTGAAACTCTGAAAAGGCCTCTTCGAGTGTGCCAGGCATGCCCCACTCTTCAAGTTACTTCGCTGCACGCACCTGAGGCGTTGTCGGTGTAGTCTCAACAGCAGGCAGACCTCATGGGAACAGATGCACCACTTGCACGACCAGCATCTTGATGTCAAACGTCGAGGATTCCCAACGAGCTTGACCGGCCTGACGGTCTCATACGGAATCGAAGAATCGAAGAATCGAAGAATCGAAGAATCGAAGACTCCTCGCAACCTTCGCGGACTCGCGCAGCACTATGCTTTCTTCAAGACGTCTCTACGTGGCTGTCCGTCTGTCCCAACGGCTCTTCCGGGACGATCCTGAGATTGGCTGAGCATCAGGGATCTGCGCTGCGGTCGCTACCTCCACATCATCCGTCTCTCTGGACTCAGTAGACTCTATAGCTTGGCCCCATCGCGTTCGGCGCACGGGCTGCATGTCCGTGTGGCTAGGGGCATGGCCTTCAGTTGTACTTGCAGCGACTGAAGCTTCCGTTTGAACTCGGGCTTGCGAGCTACTTGATGCCGAAGACCCAGGTTCCTGCAAGGCGCTGTTGCCGGCACTCCCGGTGCTCCCAGCTGCCTTGCTTTTTAATTTATCCATCTTTTTCGCCTCTGCTTGCTCCCGGACGCTGGCTGCCTCTCTGGCAATGTGCGCCGGCACCGCCACAAGCTCTTTCTTGCCTAGTCCGGCTTCCTTCTTGTTCTCCGTTACCTGAAGACGCACCATGCGCTTCTGTGCTCGCACAAGGTCCGTCTGATTCTCGGCGTCACGAAGTTCCGCACTAACATCGACCTGGATCTTTTCGGTCGCCAAGGACCGAGCCACGGATTCCAAGCTGCGGTTCACAGCAGATTTTTCCGGCCTGTGCAGCTCGCCTGCCTTCCGTTGAGCATGAACTTTTCTCAACCGAGCCTCCTCCTGGAGAAGGAAGTCTGGCATCTCCATACCAACCATGTGCCTCTCCAAAGATCCTTCTGACCTGACATGCTGAACCACATGGCCATGCTTCACAAGCTCTTCGGCAATGGCCAAACGGCCATCCGCGCGCCAATCCTCTTCCTGACCCAGAAACGCCGTTCTCGCATGGTGCTTGGCTCGCCACACCAGTTCAACCATGATGTGCTGAACTTCATCGCTTTGCAAGTGCTTCAGCGTGCCCCATGCTGTCTCCCGCCCTACTGCAACATGGCGATAGTGAATTCCACGCTGTCGGCAGTTGGACTTCAACACGCGGATCTCAAAATGTGGTTGTTGGCATCGGACCTCGTCACGATAGTCGGTGGGCCGAAAGTCATACACGACTCGGATGGAGTGCAAGGACAGCAACTCGAAAAATGCTTTTTCTGTCTGCGCCGCGGCACCGAGAGAGTATAATGTTTGGGCGCCGAGCATATCTAAATTTAGATTCGCCCTTCGGAAGGAGTTGTGCATCAAATCGCCATATCCATCCCATGCCTTTTCGGCATCGTCAATTTCCAGCAACTTTTCGTACTCCTCGAATTGCTGTTGGAGTTGCTCTGGGCTTTCTTGCTGGAGCTCCTCCATTTGCAGTTTCCTTGCCAGAGCCACGTCCACATCACTCTCGTCGCATCCGCCATCATTGCGCCCGTCTGCAGCTGACATGTTTGTCAGCATGTCGGCGAGACCACTGTTAGTTAGAGCTTCGATTGCTTGCTCGACGTCTCCACACAGCTGCAGAGCACTGCGGGAAGCATCCGCATCAAATCCCATGTCCATCAGAACCTGCACGCTGGAAGCCACGTCTGCTCCACCTCCCACCTGGTCCTCATCTCCTTCCCACCACTGCTTAAGCTCTCCCTCGTCTTCATCATGGTGTTGATGATGATGATCATCATCATCATCATCGCGGCGCCCATCTTGTTGCGCATCTGCGGTCCGTGGAGACGGGGCTTGATGACGGTTGAGGCTGCTTTTGTCGCGGTTGGGCTTGAAAGGAACTGAAATTCGAAGGCTGCCCTCGCTGATTTCAGGCATTGACGGAACGCCATGTCGCTGGGGGCCGATGATGATCAGGTCTCCTTCCTGCATAAGGATGGGGGTCTTGTCCACCATCATGATGCGCTCAGCACCGAGCGCAACCCTCGCGCTCCAGAAGACATGCCGGTGGCTGCCTACACTTGCATCGCCGTCTGAAAACCAGTACATACCTGCGCCATGGTCAGGATCTTGAACCCCGACCTTTTCGTGAATCTTCTGCACCAAAGTATCCAACCTGGGGACCACGAAGCGCTGGTATGAAGCTGATTTCATCGTCATCATCTTCATTTTGCCCTCGTGGTCGTAGCGCAGAAAGTAGGAAGCCGTCCTGAAGTCTTTTGTTTCCGAAGCGGACTGCTTCCAATTTGCAAAGCCAGATATAACCTCGTTGTAAAGCCCTTTGGTGTCTTTGAAAAAACCGCGCACGACTTCGACGCCTCGCCACATCTCTGTGCGGTCGACCTGCTTTTGGCCTGCCATGGTGTGCGCCAAGTACTGGTGAACACCCGGCGGTCGTGGCACTGCCAGCGGCTCCAGTTGCCACCAACGAGCTACAAACCGTTCAGAGCGCCCAATATCTTTTGCAATGTCCGTCTTTGACCAGCCCTGCTTCCGAAGATGGATGGCTCGCAAACGGTCCTGGTACTCACCGTGTGCCGTCGACGTGGTTGACTCGAACGACCCACTCCATGCCAAGTGCGCATCATCGAATTCAGCTGTGTTTTCCTCACCGAACCTTACACGGCACGATGATGCAGAGGGATCATAAACTCTCAACCCACCCAAGAGGAGAGAAAAAGATCTGTACAAACATTCAGGCAAGGCGCTCGCGATACCTGTAGCGCCTGTAGCCTGGTGCATCGGTAACCTCCGGAACCTCTGCCGGGGCCGGATACATGAACAGTGGCCCAGCACGCTCGATAAGCTACCGTTGACAACCTCCAAAGTGCTGTGATTGATAGAGATATATGGAGATGTTGGGTCTGTTCAGGTATTTGAGGGTCACCATGGGTCACCTCATCTTGGGACGTTGAGCCACAGAAGTGGCCACGATGACCCGCACATTCCCGTTGGTCTCCGCTCTGCACAAACGCCAGGCGAGGAAAGACGAAGGCAATTGCTGAAATTTAGGGTTGAAGGAAATTTGGTTTTTGTTTGGCTAATGGCCTCCTCCAAGTCATCATCGGAGAAGTCTGCACCCCCTGCTTTTTTCTTCCCAGGCCGCCTGATATGGACCATGTTGGACAGCAAAGAAATCCGCCACAAATTCCAAGGCACCGACTTACCACCTCCCGAGGCCTTTCCTAGGGCACAGGTTGGCCAGTAATTCAAGTCGTCGTGGGATTCAGCTAGGGCCTCTTGAGACAAACATGCGGGTGTCTAGCTGGCATGCCAAGAAGCGCTTGATCGATTTTCCCATCAGTTGGCCTCACAAGTTCCAAGCTGCACAGCAGTCCCGGCGCGCCTCCCAGCTAAGGCTGGGGCTCAAAAGAGAGCGTCCGCAGCGGCGCAGTTTTCGCCCGGCCAGGCTCAGCCCTCTACTCTGTTGAGGTTTCAAGAGAGAGTTGAAGTCCGGGAAAAACAGAGGCTACCGGACTACCGGGCTACCGGGCTACCGGGCTACCATGACCCTAGCCTGCCAGGATCACAGCAGCTCACAGCAGTTCACAGCAATTCACAGCAATTCACAGCAATTCACAGCAATTCACATCCTTGTCCATTGTCGCGTACAACCTTTGAAGCGGCTTTGAATCGGAAAAAAGCCTGGTGAAACTTGAAGACAATGCGCCGACTTGCTGCAAATAATGCAGAGGCACCATGCAGATCCATGCAGAAGCACCACTAACTCTGCCAGCGCTTCACATCCGCCTTCGGACGTCACGGACATCACGGGTAACGACAGCTTCTGCGTCGTCATCCTCGCTTGCCTTGTCTTTGAGGGGCAAAGCAGCGAATGGAAATGGCATGAGCCCTTGCTTCTGACGCCTTTGGCGGCAGATTGCGTCGTCCTCCACTTGGCGCACAAGGAGATCATGTTCGAATTCTGCCACGGTGCCACGGTCACCGTGGAAGTCATACACTCGTCCACCTCTGATCCAAAGAACCGGCGGTTCCTCCGCCTGGCTGTCCCTGCGTTGCCTGCACGCCCATGCACTTTTCGAGACAAAGAGCACGTTGGGGACAGCCCCTTTGAACCTGATGGCGTCGTGATGGAGGCCATAAAACTGAACTAAAACACCGGCAACCTTTTGGAGCTCCTCATCACAAGGTACATCCAAGTTGTTTTCGTCAGCAAGAAGCCGGCCGCAGGGTGCAACAACACAAGTCTCGGGCTGGTTGTCAGAATGGAGAGGCCATGCATTCACAGCGTCATCGTCAGAGACCACCTCCGCGTTCGCTGCGGAACGATTCCCCCGTCGAACTTTTCGTCGCACTCCGGATTCTGGTGCCTCGGCCCTGCGAGCCAGCACCTCCCGATACCTATACTGGCGATAGTCGAAGTCGACCTCGCTGCCGGCTGCCTCACTGGCAGACCAATCTTCCTCCTGCGCAAGGCTGCTATGCCACGATGCCACGATGCCACTACACTATTGAAACCACGCTCTCAGCTCTACAGCAGATGGCTCAACGCCGCGTCCTCCCACGGAGCTTCGGAAGTCTCTGGAGGGCAGAAAGGACTTGCAGCTTGTCCACTGACCTGAGACTCTAGATCATCAGCAAAGAAAAGGCGGCCCCACGTCTTCTGCCAAAGCGACGAGCAAGGGAGCCCAGCCCAGGAAGGCGCCCTAAGTGTAGAACCAGTTTCAGATGCTTTTGACAAGCACGTTGCACACATGGCATGAAACGTCGTGAACGCCAAAGCGTGCCAGCTCACTGAGCAGTGCACGAGGGCGGTGGGAGCCACATCTGGACTCGCATCCACAGCATTCGGCGAGACCTACGCCGCTAGTGTGACATGTTGCATGAACCATCGCACCACTGGACCTTGCGCAACGCAAACGAAGTTAGTTTCCCCGTGTGTCGCACAAATTCGGCAGTTTGTGCGGTAAAACTCTGCTTCGTTGGCGCCAAGCCGGTACGAGTACCGTGCCTCTGGGATTGCCTGGCGAACGTCCCGATTGTTCAACATCCTGTCAGTGCTGATTCTTACTGCCACACGGGGGAACGCGCATGGAAAAGCATGATCTGCACAGAAATTGATGGTCAGGGGCACTGCACATACGGTACAACCCTAGATCTCCAAGAGCCCGCCTTCGAGGGTCGTGGCCTTGTAGCACTAAGTCATTGTCACCTGCGAAACGCTGTATCAAAGCGATCTTAAAATGTTTGCTTCTAATGTATGAACCTCAACGTGCAAGCCTTGAATGGGAAACAAGCTATGATCTGAAGTTCTTGCTCTGTTCAACATGACTTCGAATTTGATTCAGCGAAACCTGGTTGAGTATTTAAAGCAAAAGCTAGTCGGATAAATCCAAATCACCGAACTACAGATTTTTTGGATGTCATTCAAGTCCAATACAACTTGGTTTTGGGTTGAATACATGTGCATGGAACTCCACTGTTCTATTGTCGAAAACTGGTTGAAGTTTACAAAAGAAGACAGATCGGATTACATCGTCTCTGTAGCCTGCTGGCCTGCCGCGACGGCTTCTAGTCCAGCCGGCATGCGCGAATTGCCATGTCTTACCCACATAATCACTGCTCCCGCCAACGCTGTGTACGCGGTCCATGCTTTGCTTGGAGCATCGCTCCAGATCATGCACAAATCTTGAATTTTGCCCGCGCTCGAACACAACTGGTTGTCCAGCTTTATTGGACTGAATTCGAACTTTAGTGAAAACAGTTTTTCTAACACAAGAAGCATCCTCCTTTCGGTGTCCACAAGGTTCGTTTCGGTTGTCCTTCCCCATTCTGTTCGGAGTTTTAACGAACACACACTCACCGAACAATGTGGTGGGCGGGTCAGGGCCGCCGAAAGGAAGAGAGCAGTAGGAAAAAAAGTGCCGGATATCAGTGATAATCACTGGGCAAGGGCCTGAAGCTCCGGAGGGCTCCGGGCTGATGCGATCCATGCGAGACTTAGATGGCAGGTGAATCGCCCAAATGCAGCCCCGCTCCGCAACGTGACATGGAGAAACAAAACAGCAACGGCATCTTCAGGGCAGCACAAGTGTCTTGGCCCGTACCACTCTCGAAGGCTTCTTGATGCCGTGGCCCGCCACCAAGCCTGTCTCTGACAATTTTCCAGCACCACACAGCAGCACCCTGCCCTTCCAGGCCCTGCAGCTGTGCGCTGAGGCAGTTGCTCTGCTTTGCTGCAGCCAGAGCTGCCTCTCTGCAACTACTTGGTGCAGGGGCCGCACCATAGAAGACCATGTTGTTGGCCTCTGCAGCACAAACATGGGCGCCCTTGTGTGTTCTAAATAGTTCTTGAAATAATTGACTCTGAAGGCCCAGCGGGGGTGGCATCGGCTGCGGACGGCAGGCCAGTTGGAAGCACCGGCGACCTGGGGTAAAGTCTGCGAATGTCTGCAACACCCAAGGTTGCATGTTGAGTCTCATGGAGTCCGGCATGTCCAAATTCGCTCCCCGGCGCGACGAGGCGGACCTGGTCATGTCTTAGGAAGATGGAAGAAGCACCACCGATGCTGCAACACTGCGGCAAGCTGCTGAACAGATAGAAAACGCGCCGTTTCAACGCTTCATCGCCGTCACGAGTCCACCGGCTTTGCGTGGGCGATCTCACTACGCTACGAGCGAGAAACAGCCATTTTGACTGAGTCAAGCAGAGAGAGGGACACCTACGGTGTACATCCCTCAGGGTTCATCCTCATCTCCTCCCTTGACGCTGACCGTATAAAACCTCAGGCTTTTGACATCGGTTGCCTTGAGACGTGCATGATCGAATGGCCACTGAATAGTCTGTTGCTCCAGGCGACTGCTTGGCAAAATCCAAATCTGGATCTCGATATGAGGTCACAAAGCCGAACACGAACCTCGACGCTAGCTTTCATATCGTTCATCCAAAAGTAACTCACACGGCTTGAAACTGACTGCAGGAATGTAACTTCGACAGCGCCGTATCCATGAAGGCACTGATCTGGTAATCTTGAGCAATCTCCTGTAAACCACACAGTCAAACAACACGGAGAAACTCTGCCATCACGGCCAGTCCTTCACAATCAGGCTTTTAAAGCGCCGCGGGAGCAAGTATGCATACCTGGCAAAACACGTCTGAGGCGCAATTGCGCCGAGCCAAGCCACGACAAACCTCTTGCGGCAAAGACGCTGAGAGAAGACTCATGAAGAGGAGACATTGAGAGAAACCAGGCACAAAGAGCATGCTTCAAGGCGTGCTGCAAAAGGCGTTTACCATCACTTGTACTCTGCTCGATGCGGATGCCGGAGGATACTCAAGTTGTTAAAAGATGCCGAGCTGCAGCACTGCGCGGTCGAGGAGTTTGGCGAAGAGCCCCTTTTCCAGGTCGTTGAACTTGTCCGCCACCACATCGATCTTGGTGTCCTGGTCGTCATGGCGTCAACTGCGAAAGTAATGTTGCATCTTGATCTTCTAGGCTACGATTTTCCGTGCTGATGGACTGAATCTACCGGGTCAAGAGCCCTGTATGCGACATATGTGCGAAGCCACTACATAACACTGCATGGCTGAGGCGCAGGCAAAACTTCCAAGATCAATCAGGAGAGCGCCACCATGAATCAGAGAGTTCAAGAAAGCTCGTCGCAGACGAAGCGGCTCCATGTCCTACAAACATCTACGAGAAAAGATCAAAACTGAAGCCGCCGGCCACTGACTTCGTCAAGCTGTGCGAATTGTAATCCAAGCAAGCCCAATGCAAAAAGCCGTGGGTGGCTTAGAAACTCCGTCCTTGAGCTCCACTATGTTGAAGACCTCAATAGTGAGTTACCGGGCTTACCCGATGCTTCGCGCGCTTCGCATGCGAATCGCACATTTTTTTTAAGTTGGGGCTTTTCAGGCTTAATGCGGGCCGAAGGAGCTGCGGCACCCGAGTACTTGATGAAAGTGGAGGTGCGACCAGAGGGGTCAATGACAAACGGCCACCGGCCATCCTCTGCTCTCAGGCCACCAACATCCTTCAGCAGCACATCCTGAGAGAAAGCACAAAGAAAGCACACTGACACTGACGCACTGAGAGATTCACCAAAAATAAGAAGCAGAGCCTCCCCCACAAAGGGCAAAAGGAGCAGACCTAACAGAGGTGGTACTGGGCACACAACAGAAATATATAAAACTTAACGATATTAAAACACAGCGTCCGCAATGGCTTTGATGGGAACCGTGCGGTTGAAGCCTGCCAAGGGGCAAAAAATAGCACGCCAACTGTGCAACACCTTAAAGTTACCCTGCCTCTGGAGAAGTTCAAGACAAGTGGAAAAGGCTCCTCCTTGTCTGCTCCTGCCGCCATGGAGCTTCAACATGTGGCTGCTTAATCAGTACATGTTCAGCCCAACTCTCAGGCCTTCTTCTGCCTGATTCGCATCAGCCTCTACTTCAGAAGGCTTGCCATAGCTTTGTAGGAAGTGTTTGTTGAACTCACCTGGAGCCCACACGTGTGCAGTCAAGTCGAGTCAAGTACAGTCAAGCGCAGTACGAGGACCGATTTCGATGATTTCGATATGCAGTCTGGTGGCTGGTTTTCAGATGGGTGAATGGCCCATCCTTGATGAGTGCATCCCCCTTGACAAGATCAATGTCGCCCCAGGCGAAGTCTTCGGTGACCTGCGGAACAGGCAGCAGTGCCCGTGACTCATGTTGTTCGGCCATGCTCAGCCGGAGTAGACTGTGTTAAGACTCTGTGAAGACTCTGTGAAGAGTTTGGTTCCAAGGGGCATCCTGCCTCCAAGGTTTGGCTCAAGCGTGGCAGGAGAGACCCTTCGAGCTCCTCCGAAGAGGAGCAATTGAGTTGGACCTTGAAGCCTCTCAGCTTTCCAGCTGCTTTGGCTTCCTTCTCCTTCTTGGCCTGTTCGAGATCATTCATCTTCAACCTCGCGCGGGAAGCCTTCCACTCCCATTCCTGCACACTTCCTTCGAAGAGCTTTACCTGGGCTTCTGCTGACTCAAGGAGCGGCTCCAATTCCGCGACCTTGTCTTGAGCACCCTGCTCAACAAAGGACACTTTCTGCTGGCGGTAGTCAACCAAGAGTTTTCGAGCTCTGGCAAGTTCACTCTTCGACACCTGCATTCGGCGCTCAGATTCTTCTAGCGAGTCCACGAGCTCTTGCTGTTGCCTCTTGAACTTGGCCTTCTCTTCCTTCTCCGCATTCTTTGCAGCTTTTCTCTTGTCTTCTTTGATGCGGTCCGTCGACGCGGGGTCCCAGCAAACCAGATATTCACGTGACTCGGCATTGCTTGCCACATCAATTGGCCTTGACCCTTGCTCGTCGCACTCCCGCGGATCGCCACCTGATCGGAGCAGTTGACGAATAAGCTCGTGATTGCCCGCATAAGCCGCCCGCCAAAGCCTTGACTGCAGTGCAGGTGTTACTGGGGTCTCACTAGTTAAAGACAAATCACTTGCATTGTAGTTCTACAATTTCTACACCGCCCTGAAATCCCTGCTGCTCTGGACTGTAAGGCAGGCCTGCAGATTTGCTGAGCGAGTTTGGGAGTGTTTCTTCCAGACTGTGCCCACCGACTAGGACCTCACGACCTCTTCACAGGGCCTGTAAGAATCTACGGATGTCATATGCAACAGGAGACTTTCCTTACTTTTTGCCTGAGGCTGGGCTGGGGAAAGAGGACCCCATAATAGTGCCATTTGCAACCCTCATATCAATGCATGGAGGGTTGATCTATAGCATGGGCCCGTAGTTCCAAGATCAACTGTGTTTTGCACATCAGCAAATGTGCGTGGAGCAGCCCCCCAATTATCAAGCTTTTGCATTGGCACGGTTGCTTCAACGTTGCTTCCATCAACCGTTGGTGTTGGGATGTGCTCGCTCCGGCCTGGCCCCTTCCGAAGCAGACAGGCGTTGCCACGAACCCGCATTGACAGTACGAACACCAACACCTGCTTCTGATGATGCACACTTCTTGACAAGAGGCGGAGTGCGGCGATAGCGGCCGATTGAATTGGGATCGCAGCCCTCACCAATCAACATCTCGGCCACGTCTTGGGCATTGCCAGCACAAGCTTCGGAGAGCAGAGTCGTGCCATGTTCATCGCAAGATTCTGGCTCGACGCCTTCATCCATCAGCTTTAAAAGGTCATCCAGCTCATTGTCGAAAGCTGCCTCCATGGCTTTGTCTATAAGCTTCTTGGCTGCAACCTTCCTTTCCTCTTTCTCTAACTTTTTCTTGGCTTCTCTCTCAGCTCGCTTGCGCAAGCACTTCAAGAACATCTTCTCCTCGTGAGCACAGTCAAATAATAAAACTTTGTGCAGGGCCTAGATTCCTAGATGCTTCTTAAACTGGGCCCTCTCGGTCAGCACGATTCCGTTGCATCAAGCTACATTCGAGTTGTTTACTAGCGAGAGATAGCCCTGCGGCTGTTTGGACCATCTTCTCCTGCTCCACTAGCTCAGCTGCTAAAGCCTCATCTGCACCATCCTCGTTCTCACCGGCGGCTACTACAGTCGCGCCAGCGTCTGCTGTGGGCAAGGCATGGAGCTGTGCAACAGCAGCACTCAGCTTCGCATGCTCTTCAGTAGAGAGCGAGCTCACTGCGGCTCTCAGCTGCTCAGGCGTCACGAGCTCCGCATCTTTTAGGGCTGAGGCAGCAGACCCCATCGGGCGCGACGGGGTAAGTTCTATTTGTGCAATTCGATTAAACTTCGTCGAAGGTATTGGGTAGTGAATGGTAGTGATAGTGCCAAAGGCAGCATGTCAGACTTCTACTCTGCCATGAGCTCTGAGCGAAACAAACAAACGCTGGCTCGGCACATCGCACAGCTGTAAGGAAGGGCATGAACTCCGCATGAAATCCAGATGAAATTGCATGAGCTTGGAAGAGGGGATGTTTCTTTTTTGCGGGGCCACGCACTCTCAGCTCAGCTCAGCGCCTTGTTCTCCGCCTCGGCGGCGGGGGCCAGCCCGACTGCCCTGAAGCTGCAGGTCCTGAAGTATCTTGGGAAGATCATTTCAATGTTCAAAACATGCATCCCTATTAACCGTCAGAAGACCCTCGAGCTCTGACCGCAAGCTTTCTGTCCTTTGGCAGCCGCAGAAGAGGGAGCCTGAAAGATTCCATGTCACATCCATCACATCCAGATGTCACTCTACAATGCGTTTACCAGCAGCATAGCGAAGGCTAGGAATCCTGCTGACACCACGGGAGCCGCGGACAATTGCCGAGAAGGGCCAAAGGGCAACACGGAGCTGATGGAGTCCTCTGCAACTCTCGGGTGGACTTTAGACTTTCAGCCGGCTTTCATGTGCACAGTCGGCATTGGCATGGCATCGCTTTCTATAAGTGAATGTATTTCAGTGTCTTTCTCAGCATCACCAGCACGAATTCTGATTTCTGCAGGCCTCCTTCTAGCGGATTCTAGCGGCTCCGGGATGCGTAGCATTCTGGGGTATAAGGTGCTTTATGTGCTTTTGATCAGGTGTCGAGGGTTTCCAGGATGGACAAGGAGCACATTGCAAAACACGATGGCACGGAAGGCTGCACCAGCATGGTGTCCCGCGACACGACGTTGTTGTGGAAGTTCTCCAGATCCTGCCAGGCAGCCCTTGGAACGCTGTAGCTTGTTATTACACTGGTGGTCTCTTCGTTTTGTGATGGGGGGGGCGGGGGGGCGGGATACCGATCTTGTGCGCAGATGGGAGAAGTTCGGCCTCCTTCGTGAGCAAGACAGCTCGAGGAACTGCAACATGTGGCCGGGATGATCCATGTTTGCCTGGTAAGACTCCGACTGCTGCAGAACAGCATCTCTTAATCTAGCGGCAGATCTATCCGCAGCCTTTGGCAGAGGCCATCAAGGCAAGCAATCCTGTCAGCTGGGCCAGTGGCAAAAGCACATCGAACTTGCATTTTGCACTCTTAGAGTCAGACCTCTGCCATTGAAGCCATTGCAGCCTATTGCAGCCCGTCTCACGACGCCGGTGCCATGGCAACAGTTCGAGCGGTCTCCGTTTGCTTTGCAGGTCTGGGTCGAGCTAGCTTAAGCATTCTTTGGTCAGCCCCTCTGGTACTCGCTACATTCGTTGTGTCCTCAAGTGTTCCATTGATGAATTAACGGTGCAGTCGATGACGGGGATGACAAGCGCCCTGACAAAGCCCATAGAAACTGCAGCCTCATCGATGGCTTTGGAGGTTCTGCAGCTCTAGCTGAAGCACTTTGGCTCCTGAATGCTCCTGATTGCAACATTTGCAACCTTTTTCTCGTGAAACCTGACTCTGCACGGTGGTGAAACTTGGTGGTGGCGAAGGCTTCGCCCTCCACGGGAGGTGACAGTCTCTGCTTCAACCAGCGGCAAGATGCGGCAAGGCAGATCATAGCAAATCATCTTTTGAGGCGTGCTGAGTTCGGGGCAGTACCTAGTGCAGGGCTTATCCCGTGCCCCTGGTGAGCATGCACCTGGTGAAGCATGCATGATATGCATGGCACGATGGAAACAACGCAGAACTCTTTACCCGACAGCTGGGACGAAGCCGAGCTCCTGTAATCAGCACATATCAGCACCGTTGAGAAGCATTCCATGGCATTCAAGTATGAAGCATCAGGCCCAAGATGACATGTCGCAGAGCACGTCCTCCGGTGGGACCCCGTACTCCGCCATTTTGGACTCGTAGGTCTTCACCTGCAAAGCCGCACACCGGCATCACGGCAGCGTGGCAGCGTGGTGAATACTCACTTGAAGGCACCGTTGCTCTTGACTAAGGGGACAACCATTGTCGAGTGCGAGTCCCTGATGCGTTGAACTTCCTCCTGGGAGCTGGGACAGCCCAAGGAGCACCCTCTTGATAACCACTTCCCGAGGCATTCTACGCAATCGCAGCGCAATCGATCAGCACAACCTGTTGGTTAACGAGCATGCAGCTAGCTGGCGGAGGTCCTGAAGCTGGGAAACAATGTCGTCCTTGTAGGCGATGACCTGGATCCGCGCGAGTGCTTAAGCTGTGCATCTCCAACCCCAAGATTTATCACAGCTGAATGGTAGTATGAACTGCAGTGTTCAACTTCAGAACTAGGCCTGGTCCAGCTTCTGGGTGATGCCAGCACTTGTTGTAGGATCAACCTTTGTAGAACAGCTTCTTCCCAGAGCTTCTTTAGCTGAAATGCATCACGCACCCGAGGACCACTGTTCAAGCTTAGCTCTTCCGCTCTTCCCTTACGGCGGGAGAACTCGCAACACGTGCTGCTTCCGCGTTGTGCCGCTCTCTGCATTGTTCTCTGCGCAGAGAGTGGATGCACAGAGAAGAATGTGGTGCAGCTGTTATCGTTACACCGCCGTATTCAAACCATTGGGCCTTCAACAAAGCAGCTCTGCTGTTCAACTCTATGGCCACATTGTCAGACACAAAGCACGCAACTTTCCCTCTGGAGAACCTAAACAAGGTGCCTGATCCATCAAAAAAACACCTCCTGGCGAAATCAGCGGCTTCAGACTTCCCCAGCAGCCCCATGTGGTCACCGGCAATGCCAAACATGCGAGTCAGCCATGCAAACCTAAACACGTATCAGACGCTTCCGCAACAGGTCTGCTCGCGAAACCTAACAGCATGCAACATGGACCAAAACTGAGCCGTTTCAAAAGCGGCTTCGAAGTGCACAAACGGACTGCACCCCTAAACCCTAAACCCTAAACCCCAAACCCTAAACCATGGGCACTCTTTTCGGATTGCATGGGTTTGGGAATTATTAGCTGCTTTCCAAATCTGATGGAATGCGAGAGAAGAAATGCCCGATTTCAGCTTCCTAGTCTCGAGAGAACACACGAAAAGTCGAAACTCACTTTCTCAAATGAGCCCCGATTGTTTGTAGAATTCAACAGTTTTAAACGGTACTCTTTTCACGATCTGCTGCGTTACGACTAGGTTGTTGTGCTGCAGAAATGTCGTGTCGTGGTTCGTCGCATGTTGGGCTTGGAGGGCCGGGTGCGGGAAGAGAGAAGGTTCATCAAGGTTCCACCAACCATTCCACACCAACAAGCGAAGACCGCTCCATCTGAGCATGCTGCATTGGCAGACGCAAGAAGCTCCGTGATTTGAGCTTCTGTTGTCTCCAGGGCCTCACAAGCACAAACACATGCTCTAAGCCAAGACTGGAGAAATTTCAGAAACCTTCCCACTCGGCCTCCTCTACTGTGTCTATCTTCTTCTCTAGGATGAGGTTCTTCAAACCGCTCCTCTGCTGCACCTGCAAAGAGAGCTGAACCCGCAAAAGAAGCCAGCAGAGGAGCAAGAGACTCAGAGAGGAGAGACTGAAAAAATCTGAGCGGCATCGTAGATTGCTTGCTGGAACTTCGTGTAGAGGTCCTGTCAACGATTCAGAAACTGCAAAAGACGAAATGAAAAATCAGACAGCGAGGTTTAGAAATCTGGGTGGGCAGGCACAGAGACAAGAGGAATCACAGCTCAGCGGGATGTTTTAAGAAATGTGCTGCCGACGCTAAGGTTGGTGCAAGGATTGCTGTGCTTTCGTTTGCTTCGGTCCTCCCGCTCTGTAGTCACTTGAGAAAGCTGCTGCTGCAGGACCTGGGCAAACAAAAGCGCGCATCCTCTTCTCTGAAAGTGCTAGAAACCTCTGTGCCTTGCAGGAAAAATCCCCCCAAACACGCCAAGTCTGACATGCTCTGCACGGCCTCGTGTTGAAACTCCATGCGCTTTAGAAGCCTCAGAGCGTCACATGTTGAGCAAACCTTGAAAAGGGCGGAAGCATGCGCATTTGTTAAACCGATCTTCTCACATCTGTTTAAACTCCATCCAGCAACGTCTCCGACTGCTTGATCTTCTCCTTGACTTGGGCAAGGCGTTTCTTGTCCTCGAGTCTGGGTACATTTAACATATTCGACACTCGCTCAGCGAGCGACGCATGACTACAAGGCAAACATCAACCCTAAGCTCGAGATCCTCTTTGTACGCTTCCTTCTCCTGCTCCAGCCGCTCAACGTCCTCGCCGCCCATATGGCATATGGTTACCTTAGAAACCTTCGCAACCTCAAAACTTGATTGAACTTGCGTCGCACTGGCGTCGCACTGTCGCAGGTCCTGGTTTGCCTTCTTCATGGGCTCTTTGAGCTGCTTGCTTCCTGGGCGCCACGAGTCCAACAACAGGCCTATGACGACCCGGAGAAGTGTAAGCCACCTGCGCTGCTCTAGGTCGTACATCTTTTTGGCATCATCATTTTCGTCCTTCTTGATGCCCGCGTAGTCCTCAGTCGATGCGCGCATGACAAAGAAATCTCCGACTTGAAAGCGTCCAACCCGTAGTAAACGAAGAAAGCTGTGAGCCTCCTTCAGGCGCTTGATTGAGTCGAAGTTGGACACGGTAATTTCTTGGTAGTAGACCTCTTTTGGTCCCGGCCCAACTAAAGATTCGAAGCGAGAGAAAACAGCGCGCCATCTTTCTCGAAAGCTGCCGAGCTTAAGCATCCCCAATTCACATCCCCCAGTTTGCAATCATAGATGTTTGTTGATCGCTGGTTGTTCTGCGGCTCTGGCCTTAATCTCAGTGAAATCCAGCTGGTTCTTCTTCATAACCTCAACAACAGTTGCAAAGAGAGAAGCTGCATCTTGCAGCTAGTGTTTGCAGCCAGCAAAGCCCTCATTTATGTGTGGGCCTGCTCGATCTGAGCATTCTTCGACCTAAGCAATTTCGCCACAGCCCAAGTGCAGCAACCATCACAACACATGTTCGTGACAGCAGAAAAAATGAAGGCCGTACTCCTCAATCTTCTGAATCTGCTTTCGCCGCTGCTTCTCCTTAGAACCGTTCATGCCACCACCAGCGAGCAACGACGCAAGAATTCGAACAGCCAGCACAACATAGCACCACACTGCGAAAACCAGCACCACGGGGCAAACGTCTGTGTGGATGCGATCCAAGCTTCCATTTCTTCACGGATGGTTTTCATCCGCAGCTCGTACTTCTGCTGCATGTCACGGGCCTTCCGATCGAACCTGATTGACAGCATGAGGATCGCAAGTTCAAACTACGTCTTCTCTTGCCATGACGGACATGGCGCCGCATGGTGGACACACACAATTCATCACACTTGATTCATCAGGACTGCAGGCAGAGTGTAGTCCAGGACCACACTTGACACTCGATTCCTGTTCCTTCCTGCTGCAAGTCAGGGCCACTGCTCATGTCTGAGCTCCAAGATCTTCTGGTCCTCGTCACGAACTCGTCGCCCTACATCGCCTACGAGAGACAAAGTATCCAGTCCTGCTCCAGCTTCAGCATGCGAGTGAAGTCCTGCTGTGCCTTGCACACGGAGGGTGACCCCAGAAGCTGGCAATACTGAGCTTTGACTGAGCTTTGACTTGCAGCGTTGCACTGCACTGAGGTAGCGGGCGACTTCCGCTTCCTTCTTTTCCATTTTCAGAGCGCGCTGATCCTTCATAGCTCAGGATGAGCTGTATGTGCAAGCGGCGCAAGCATCGCAGCAAATCCAAAACTCCCACTTGCCCGGAATCGGGTCCTTTTTGATCTCTGCCTCCGTGATTCTATGATGATCTTCTTGGAGCTTCAAACCCAGCTCGGCATCAGTCTTCAGCTCCACGACCTGTCACAAGCCCAATATGCCCAATACACAAGACACATCTGCCACAGTCACATCGTGCCACATGGTATGCCTGCCTCATCTTGCTGATGATATCTTAAGTGTTTCAGCCTTTGCTGAAACATCTTCAGCCTGACACACGTCACTGACGTCATTGCATTCCAATGACCGGCGAGCACGACAAAAGCAAAGGCCATGGCTCGATCTGCTGTCGCTCTTCGAGATCTTGCAGTTCTCGCTGTTTGTTTCGGAGATCAGCCTCCAGTAAGATTTGATTCCCATGTGCACACGGCACGAGGTGAGCACCAGACATCAGGTGCGGGCCTGCTTCTCTGTCAGGGTCTTCTTCTCCACAATCCAGAAGTAGTTAATCTTCTCTCGTTCCATCAGGAACTGATGAAAGTGGTTCTCCTGATGTCAGAGTTCTACGAGAATACTCAGTGCATGGGATCAGGTTAGGAGGCCCCTTGGAACACGAAAGCTGGACCCGCATGCGAGAAAACCATCACTGAGTCCACAAGGAAAAGTTCCTTTGAGTTGAGTTTTCAGCAATGAGTGAGTCGTGTTCAAGTGGGCATTCATCCGCGCGAACGCCTGGCGCACGATGTGCCGAATTGCTCTCCACTCAACGCGTGTCGCTCTCTACTCTATTGCAAGCACCAAATTTTGGGCAAACGCAAAGAGATAAATGAGCTCAGGGGCTTGAATCAGAAACACAACAAGAATGTGCTCATAAAGAATTGGAAGAACTGGATTTCTGGTGACACTGAGAACACGTTGACTGATGCCCATGCGAACAGACGCAGATCTCCTCGCGCTCGCAATTTTCTCGCAAGCGCTTGGCTTCCCTGATCATCTCCATCCTTGGCCAGCAAACAAAAGGTCAAAAAGTCACGGATTCCATACTCCATACTGTCGCGTACTACTTCCTGCAAGTGGTGCCAACGAGTTGCAACCGAATACAGGTTGTTGCAACCCACACGATTCAGAAAAGACAACATCAGCTTGCTCCGGAAGGAATCGACCGGAGAATCCGTAGAAACCAAGAGCGCAGATCTGCATGCAAAAAGAGACGGTGCCCAAGCAGTGCCGAAGAGCAGCACCATCTGCATGAAACGATGACAGCATTGCTGGCACTTGCGCCGGGGCGCCGTTTCTTCTCCTCATTCTCCGCCGCTGCTTGTCGGGCGGCAGCCTGGTCACGACGATCCCCACATGAGCCACAAGGTGCCACAAGCCAAGTCCATGACCGGGTCATGCTGGATCAGGCCTCGGGATCCAGGGCCTTCTTCTTACCTCCCTTCTTTCCCATGGCGATGTGGCGCCTTGTTGCGCAAGAGCCAATGGGTACGCGGTCAGGTGAAAGAATGTGTGGCTCAAAGGGCAGCCGGCCTCAACTAAACCACAAGCTGGATCTTATGCCCTGCTGCATCTGAGCAAAAAGACATGGAATGACGAGCCAGATCATCTCAAGCATGTCAGGTGCATGCAATGCAGCATGACAAGAACATGCGTGTTTCAAACTTCTTCTCCGCATCTACCACACGATCAAGCTTCTCTTTCGACTTCTGGATCGATTCTGCTCTACGACGTTGCCTCTCTTTTGGGCTGGGACTGCATACGACTGCATCCTCTTCGTATTCACCATGGATGTCCATGGTATCGGAACCGATCACGCTCAGGAAGGGGTCTTCAAGTGTCGATGTCGATGCACTCGCCCTGTCTCTCTTGACAGTGCACGGTGTCGGGCCGAAGCGTTCGCTGTGCCGTATGCGAAACCATGGTCGCCAAGTGGTGCTGTGAGCGACCAGCATCTTCACAACTCCGGGTGGCCAGAATGATCTCGAGAGCAGCCCTATCTGAAGTAGCCAACAGAGGATGGCATCAACGACTCGGGATCCATGCCTCACACAAGTCCGACTACAAATCTTGGCAGAAACATGCAACAAGCATGATGGTAGAAGCATGCCAGAATCATGGCGGACTCGTGTTAGCAGCACATGCTGGCATCACTGCTGAGCATCACACGAATGGGCGGTCCTCGAGTCCCCAGTCGCAGGTATGCTTCTTGAAAGTAGAGGTCCTGACTCCCAGCCCGAGACGTTGTGAGACTTCAAGTGACCGGCACAGAAACGGGCCTTGACTTCCGACGTGGCAGGACCTCGAGCTAACTCGAACCAATGATGCCTGAAGGCCTTCTCTCCCTCACAAGGCCGCGGCCTTTGCCCTTGATCAGTGGGGTGCCAGGAGGCTTCCGCATCGCATCAGTTTGCTCACCTACCCAACAAAACGGAGAAAGTTCGGTTTTCTGAACAGTTACAACATGGTGATTACAAAGCGCTTACAAGGCACTTACGAGATGCCGCACGCCTGCAGCCGCCGACCGGGGCCTGGCCCTCAGCAGGGTCTGCACCTTTGCTGAACTCTAAATCTAAACGAGGGAGCTCTCTCGCGCATGGTGTTTGATTGCTTTTGCGCACTTTTGGCAGCGGCGGCACCAGAAATTTCAGGTTCTCCAAGATTTTTGCATCTGAGAAGTTGGTGTCGGCAATCGTCGCCTCACGACTGGAACGCCCGAAGATAGGACGAGAGCACATTCACTTTGACTGGCGGTGCACCGACGTGGCGCCTTCACCTCGCCCTCTCCTTCTGCACGGTACTCCAACAGCGTCCCACCTTTCGCCTGCACAGAGACAGGGCGTGGCAGGGCAAATTCCTCGGCGTTTTCGGCTTTAAAACTAAGATCTCCGGTCAAGAGATTTCGAAAGCACACTACGAATCAGCTGCATCGAACGCTTAACGCCTCCTTGATGGCAGCTTTCAGGTTAGTGACAACCGTGCCGCTCTTCGGATTGGGAATCAGCTTCCTGAACAAGACAACTCGGGATGCAACAAGAGCAAAGACAGGGAGCGAGACAGCGACACAAGAACAGAGTTGAAGAAACGGAACAAAAGAAGATGCAAGATTCCTTCGATGCTGTATCTCACCCTCGGCAGCGAGCCGGGCCTTGGCCCCAGGATCTTTGCCACTTTGAGGACTTGCGGCCTGGAAGCAACGAGAGACATGAGAGGGGAGAAGAAAAGTCAACGGAGAGCAGAGCCAGGAAAAAGCAAGGGAATGGCGAGCGAAAGACACGGAGAACGAGAAGGGAGGTAAAAAGAACCCAAAAATGACGAGAGAGAGAGAGAGAGACATGCTCGCGTGGATCATGCGCTTCAGCGCCGCACATAATGCTTGGCGTTGCCAAACAGCGATCAAAACCAAGCCAACCTGCGCTGTGTTGCAACAGTTTGCTTGCAACTTTCCAGTTCTCTCCTCCATCTCACACCCGAGTCGTGCCTTGATTTATTCTTCTGATCGGCTCGGAGATACCTCTGACAGGCCACATCGAACGTTGCTCTGGTTTCAAACGTGCTGAGTGGGTTAGCTAGTTATGCTAGTTGCGTTTCGCGTGTGGCCATGCCATGGGCGCATTTACGGACAAAAAGACTTCAAATCGCCACATATCGAGACTTGCGAACAACCGCGTCTTCCAATGCCGGGATAAAACATCACAAAACAAGATAAAAGCCAATCCATGAAAAACATGGTCGCCGCCCTACGACTTTATCAGGCGGCCTGCGAAGTCCGCCCCAGCTGCCAGCATTTCCTGTCACGTGCATGATTGTGAATCTCGGACTGCCCCAACTGACCGATTGATGCCCACACGTCCTCGACTTCGTCGTCTGGACAGAATGCCAAGACTTTCACATCACGGCTCAGGCCATGTGGTCTTGGTATTCAAGCAGTTGGGGAGATGTCATCAACAGGCATCAACAGGATATCTAGGTGTCAAGGTCCGAACAAATGGCATGTACCGCGCACACTTTCGCCTTGCACAAGGCTGCTTCAGGACTTGTCCGATGAATACGAAACGCAAACATAACATGCCAGAGAGGCGAGTCAAATCAACTTGCAGCCTCCCGGGGACGCTGGGACGATCTTTACTTCAACATGAGACCTCAAATTACTGCCAGCCTTGTCCAAAACGTCACTAGTGAGTCCTCCTCTGGGAATACATCGAACGCCCGCATCAGGCGAGTTGCCTCTCTAAATTGCTCCAATGCGCTCGCAAAATCTGGAATGCGAAGCACACGTGCCTGAAACGGACTGGTTCCAACCTGAGGGAGAGTCAGACCACGATGCAGGTGGCAAGAACTGAGAGAAATTCCTGGACAGCCGACACCCCGGAGATTCAGGCGTGAGTGTTAAGAAACAGCAAGAAGAAACCGCCAATAATGAAAAACGGAAACAGTGTGGTTACCTTCGCAGATCCGAAAACTGGGTCCATGAATCATATAGACTGCCCGCCGAGGGAGTGGGTGAGTGAGTGAGTGAAAGAGAGAGAGAGAGAGAGAGAGAGAGAGAGAGAGAGAGAGAGAGAGAGAGAGAGAGAGAGAGAGAGAGAGAGAGAGAGAGAGAGAGAGAGATTGAGAGAGAGATTGAGATGGAGATTGAGAGAGAGAAGAGAGAGAGAGAGAGAGAGAGAGAGAGAGATTGAGCTAGAGATTGAGAGAGAGAGAGAGGAGAGAGAGGAGAGAGAGGAGAGAGAGAGAGAGAGGACAGAGAGAGAGAGAGAGAGAGGAGAGAGAGAGGCGTCGACCGAGACGTGTGGCCGCCCGAAGACACTCGCCTGGCCTAACAGCCTAACAAAATGGCGACACCCCGGCCCGAAAGCTTAAAGTAGCAGCCACACCAGCGAAACGACAAGCAACAACAGCCAACCACGCAACCACAACGCGAAGACGAACGAAAAGTCCCCGATCAAGCAAGCGGGCATGCTCGCTTCCGAACAAAGCAGCCACTAGGAATGCCTGGCACGCGCTTCTCCACAGATCCCTCTGCAACATATTCGGTGCCCAACTCGGGCTCATCGGGCTGTGCGTCACTGGCCAGACGTGAGGCCCACATCTTCCACCAGGTGCAAAGTCCGCGATGAGAGGCTGGCCGCCGTGGGGCCGCCAACGACACCTCCTTGGGCTGTCCACACCCGGCCGGGTCTGGGCCCGAATCGAAGACGGCCGCAAGTTGGTCAGTTGCCCTCCAGCAGGACCACCAACTGTGAGGGCGACGTGCTTGGCAAGGGACCCATCAACACCCTGGAGGCTCCACCTGCTACGGATGAAGTGGAAGGCGAGGAAGAGCTCGCCGCGCCCACAGGTGCCATCGCAAGATGCAGGCACAGACTCAATCCAAATGTCGACGACATGACCCGCGAAAGGACAGAGAGAGAGAGAGAGAGAGAGAGAGAGAATGCGGCCATGCGTTTCAAGTGAGCGGACCGCCTTAGGCCTGAAAAACCTGCGGGGTGTGGACGTTCTGCGCGTGCTCATGAGCACACAAGGGTGCTCCTCAACAACGCCACAGCGATGGGATGCGATGCGGAACAAGCATACCCTTCCATGTCGGTGGGTTGTGTTCGTGACACTTCGTGGCTGAATAATCACAATCTGAAACAGCACGGAGTAGCTGACTCGCAAGAAGCCGCAACCGTGCTGCAACCGTGATGTAAGTGCAGACGAGGCCAGCACCCGAATCTCGGTCGCCTTGCGTACAGTGATCCCTTCTGTCGCAGCCTCCTGCTCCGCTGCGGCCTTGCCAAACATGTTGGGTGGCCGTTGTTGCCAAACCTCCGAAGATTTCACAGATTTCAAGGGCCTTGGCTTCTTCTGCCTCCTTTTGCCGGATCTCACGCAAGCGATTTGAACGATACCTGCATAAGACTTGAAAATACGGAGCACAGAGAGAGAGAGAGAGATAGAGTGGTGGCGAAAAACGCAAAACCCTAAGCGCACATGGAGTGGAAGGGCTTCCATTTTTTGGTCCGCACCTCTGTGGGTTCACTGGACGAGCAAAGAGGAGCGCTGCATGCTACATGCTGCTACATTCCGCTACTGGGTCCTGCAGTGTTCACTGGCAAGGCTAAGGCGGATCCAACAGCAATAGAAGGCAGCCCTCCCAGGCTCGGCCTCGAATTCGCACCAAAGCGACTTGTAGAGATGTTAAAGGGCTGGCCAGGGCTCCGGACGACCAAGGACTGATGAAAGATACCCTCACAAACTGCTGCAAGCACTTCATAGCGACCTCTCCCAGGCATTCAGCTTGGCATATCATGTGCACGAGGATGTGCGAGGTCATGCTTCTATTCGGCCTGAAGCAGCAGCGCAAACGCACGGGGTGGAGCTTGCACCAATTGATAGAGCATTGACACGGGCCAAATATCCACACATCAGTTCGGCTTCGGTTGACGATGGCGCTTTCTACAACTCACTCCACTTTGGCGCAGACTGCCATTTAACAGAATCTGACCTAAATCTGGACAAGGCCAAACATCACTTTTCGACTGCTTCACTCTGCTTGGCAGATGGAGGGTTCTCCGATCCACAACAGGGTTAGGCGTTGATCCGAGCTCTTTGGCCGTCGAGCAACTCGGAAACAGAAAGAACGAAACTTTTGCTCTAGCACATTGTTGCATCAGACACTCAGACAAGCCGAAAGCCCAGTCGCGATCCCTTGTCTAAACTTTAAACATCTCATTGGCTGCTGTTGACGATTCGACTTGTTGCAAGGATCGAAGGATCAACGCCCGTATTCTGACGGACTGCAGGGACATGAGGTTGCATGTGCCCACTGGACATTATCAGAGTGCTTGGTCGCACTTCGTCTGGAGATCCCATTTTTTTTCAACCTGTGGTGGAGCTTTTGAGGGAAAGGCTGCACTGCAAGTTTCAGGAACTCCCGCTCATTGGTGTGCGAAGCCTGGACACTTCTTGCAGCACCTGGGCACCAAATCAAGCAGGCATCCTGTCCTTGCCGTGCCTCCAAGAAGATGCAGAAAGCTCTGTAGATATGTGGCCAAGTACGGAGCTGCGTTCTGAATCTCTTGCCGGAGTACCGCCGACCTGCGGAGGATGCTGCATCTTCGCAGCAGCGCTCGACTGTGTTCATAGTCTTGGTCCTTGGCTGACCAGAGACTCGTGAGAGCCTCGACCTGCTCCCCGCGGAGCGTGGGAAAGATGTCAAAGATCTCGTGGATGCGTGTGAGGCACCGGTCGCCTCCGCATGGGCAACGTTTTCTGGCGTCTTGCACAAGACCCTTCGCTAGCTTTTCTCGTACATTACTGCCTGCTTGTGATTCGTACATGCTAAACATCTGGAATTACCAAGTGCTCCACCGGAGGCAGGGGTGATCGGAAACTGGCCTGGCCGGAGACGGCAATAGCAGCGAGATCCACACGGCATCTCATGCTGTGGTGCCTGCGATCCTCGCGAGGGTGGCAGAGTGGAAACTGAAGCAGCGTCGTCCGCAGCTGGCTGTTCCCTGGGTGTGGCGAGACGTGCGCTGTACAATTTGTGGGATCCTTTGTGACCTCGCTGTTTCTGCTGCTCAGATGCTCTTTGGTGACGCTGACAGTCACGCATCCAGTAGGTGTGTGTCTGTGTGTGTGTGCAATGAGAAATTGTCGAAAAAACTGCACGAAGAGTCAGTTCCGGACGCACGCTTGTCAGCGGTCCCACCGATGGTGTCGTGGCAGAAGTTGCCAGGCCCTTGGCCGAGTCCTCGTGCACACGTACGGAATCATGCACCCTAAGGGCGTGTGTGTGTGTGTGTGTGTGTGTGTGTGTGTGTGTGCAACAGTGTAAGCACAACCTGAGTCCAACCCGGGTTGAGGGGTGAGTGGAGAACTAAAGCTGGTCCCTTCTGACACCTATGGACGGGCCTAAGCTGGCCTTCAACATCACTAAGGGCCGCGGGCCTGCAGCGCCCACCAGCGAGGGTGCGAATGTAGAGAACACGCGCTCCGGCGGCTTCACGACTGGCGATGCACAAGGACAACCGCTGCAGTGGCAGGCCAAGTATACTTCTGAGTCTCTAGTCTTGCTGCGAATTTGGAAGACAGGGTCCTGGAGGCAGTGTCTTCATCCATGCTGGCTTGTTGTAGGGTGGTGGGATGGTGGACTTCCACGAATGGGAGCGGAACGTCTCCTGCAAGCGGCTTGCAAATGTCAGGCTCGCTCAGAATCACTCTGCACTATTGCACAGAAAAACACATCATGACACAATACACATGCCCAGCTCCGACATTTTCTCGAGCGTTGTTCCTTGCTTAAGTACAGTTGGCACTGCTTGCCCATTTCTGGTGCTGAGCCGGAGCATGCCAGGCCAAGACCGCGGCCATAGTAGTGGGCTAAAGCCTCTGCTTCAGCCTGCGCGGGCAGGGAAACTTTCACAAAAATGCGAACAGAACAAAACTGGGCTGCGGCAACACGGACAAACTGTGCCTTCTGCTCTTTCAAGATTTGTTCCTGTCTTTGGGCTGCCATTGGATGTGCTGTTGAACCTGATGACAAAGCTTTTCAAAGATCCGGCTATCGTAGTGCGGCAATGGTCACTTACTGCGTTTCAGGGGCGGGCCCATATCTACACCTGAGTGCGTCAGCTGCGCCAAAGTCACAGAAGACAGGAGGTATGGGGCCGCGACGGGTCCTGATCATGCTGCTGGACCCGGATGAAAGTTGGCGGATCTGACTACAAGCACTCTCCAGTGCGCTGGGTTGAGGCTGACTGAGCCAATGCCTGAGAAGATCGCGTGCTCTCATTGCTCTGCGGTCGCATGACGAGACTCCATAAACTTCTTTCATGCGCAACATGCAGCGCCTACAATCTCGTGTAAACGCATCAAAAGGCGGAACTCTGAAAGATGTCACTCCAATGTGCCAGCTGCATGCACCATTTCAGAGATTCTCTGAACTCAACTGCTTAGTCACCAAGCAGCTCTTGAGGTGAAACAGTACAGCAAGTCAGCAAGCCCGCTTCCGTGCAGGAACCAGAGCACTAGCACGATCCGGAAAGAGACTGTGCTGGCTTCTGCAGCACAAGCACGACTCTGCTCGCAGTCTGCAGGCAAAGCTATCCTTTGTCGACCCGTTGCCTAAACCGCCTAAACCCACTGCCTACCTATTTTCTAGCCTGCCGGAGCTGGGTTGAGCAGCCAGGCTTCTGCCACCTGCCGGACCCAGCTTGCGTGACAAGACAAACAACAATCCGCCGACCCCCCCGGGGAGGGAGGCGTCAGTGAAGAACCGGGTGTGTGCAAACCCTTCCCCAAACACATCCCTTCTACTGGCCTTCGGACAATATTACTTGGACACATCTACTTCTGCTCCCAGTTGTTGGCCTTCGGACAATATCCGCCGAGGCCTCGGGCCGAAGGTGTATAGGTTGTGAGAACAGGCACCCCCCTCCAAATCCTCCACACCCAACCGTCGGCCCCTTTTTTTTGCCTCAAATGGCTACCCCCCCTTGGCAACCGGGATCTGCACCCCCCCTCCCAGCTGCCAGGTTTGCTGCCTTTCTCTCGGTTACTTTTCCACCCACTTAGCTGGAGTGTGTAGTGCTGCAGTGCATGCCCAAATCCATCAAACACACGTTTTATGCCCAAATCCCTCAGACATACGTTTTAGATTTTGAATTCGGTGTTTGGGCCTCGGCTGCAAGGACTCTGCGCTCGCAAAAACGTTAAAATGCCAGCAGTCCTGATTTCAGCCTTCCCGCCTTGCGAGCCGGTGGGGGGTCGAATCGGGCAGCGCGAGGTCCCCAAAGGACCGAGCATTGGCGGACCTTTTAACCCGGGTCGTCCCGGGAATAGCCTTGCTGGCCTCTGGCCTTCTGCGAAGCAGAATTAGGCCGGACGCCAGTGCCGCCGACCCCCGCGTGCCGCCGGTGAACGGAGGCCCCCAGAGGGCGCGCATCATGAGCATCAGCGGGTCCAGGCCGGGACCCCCAGGCGCGCATCAGGAGCATCAGCGGCTCCCGGGGCGGGACCCGGGGGCGCATCAGGAGCATGATGCCCCCCTAAGGGCGGGCATAAGCGACGTGTCTCAGGTCGGGGCTAGGAAAAAGGGAGTTTAGGGGCCTTATAAAGTGCTTAGAAACTTTAAGGGAGTCTAGGAGCCTCAAACGAGTTTAGGGGCCTGAAAATGCTTAGATGGTCCAGGGCGGAGCCCGCGTCGCACTAAAGCGCTAGCTTTAAGGGGCTAGCGCTCGTGACGCCGACCCCACCCCAAATTCCTTGAAATTCACGCGGGCCCTTCGGGAGGCCTCCAAAACGGCATCCAAGGGGATGCAACCGCCTGTTGCGAAAAGCACGAAAACCTCGCGAAAACAATGGTTTTTAACGAAAAACCAAGGCCCCCAAACACCCGCAGCACCCCATTAAACCCTACGGGCGCGCATCATCGACCCTAGCTTTTCACATCGGGCGGGCACCAAGCCTAAACCATGTTTTTCAAGGTTTGGGGGGGGTACCGGAAGCCCAAAACCAGGGGAGCATCATGAGCATCAGCAGCCCTGGCCCGCGGCCCCAAGGCAGTAAAAAAACGCGGAAAAACGCTGAAATCGCTGTAAATGCTGTGTGTTTTTTATGAGGTTTTTCACCCCGACTGCCCTTACGGGCAGTCGGGGTCTTGCTTCCAGGTGTTTCGTGGAGGCTTTTCGAAGGCAAAGCACGTGTTTGGGATGTTTTGAGGGCTCCCAAACCAACCCCGCTGATTCTCCTGATGCGGGTGCGCGCGCGCGCGCGCGCGCGCGCGGGGGGCAAAGTCAAGAGAAAGAGAGAAGAGAGAAGAAGACGAAGAGAGAAAGAGAAAAAGAGACAAAGGTGAACGAAGAAGAGAGGTGAACGAGCAAGAGAAAGTGAGAAGATAGAGAGGGAGAGAGATATAAACAAAGAAGAGAGAGAGAGAGAGGAAGACCAACAGCAACCGAAGGAAAAGAAAAAAGATAAAGGTCAAGGAGAAAGAAAAAGGTGAGTGGGAAGAGAAAATGAGCAACAGCAAGAGAAAGGAAAAACAAAAAAAAACGAAAGGTGAGGGAGAAGGAGAAAGAGAAAGAGAAAGAGAAAGAGAAAGAGACAGAGACAGAGAAAAAGAAAGAGAAAGAGCAAGAGAAACAGGAAAGACGAAAGAGGAAAGGAAAGAGAATCAAAAACAAAGAAAAGAGAGAGAGAGAGAGGAAGACCAACAGCAACAGAAAGAAAAGAAAAAAGATAAAGGTGAAGGAGCAAGAAAAAGGTGAGCGGGAAGAGAACAAGAGAGAGAGAGAGAGAGAAAGAGAGAGAGAGAGAGAGCAAAAGAAACCGAGAAAGACCAACAGCAAGAGAAAGCAAAAAAGAAAGACAGGTGAGGGAGAAAGAGAAAGAGAAAGAGAAAGAGAAAGAGAAAGAGAAAGAGAAAGAGAAAGAGAAAGAGAAAGAGAAAGAGAAGGAGAAGAGAAAGAGAAAGAGAAAGAGAAAGAGAAAGAGAAAGAGAAAGAGAAAGAGAAAGAGAAAGAGAAAGAGAAAGAGAAAGAGAAAGAGAAAGAGAAAGAGAAAATAGAAGAAGGAAGCGCAGGAGAAGTGAGAGGAGAACGAGAATGACAGAGAAAAAGAAAATCAGGCAAGTAGAGAGAGGAAGAAACAAAGACAGAAAAAGACCACGCGAGAGAGCGAGAGAGAGAGAGAGAAAGGAGAGCGACAAAGATGAAGGACAAAGATAAAGTGAAAGAGAAGACAGCACCAAGGTTCAAGGTTTTGTGTTTTGGGGGGCGGGGGGGCCGGCCCGTGCCGCTAAGCCTGAAATCGGGGAGCGCCATGGCCCTTGTGGTCTGGCGCGGACCTGTATTGACACGGGCGACTCCCGTGCTAGTCTTGCGAGCCTTGTGCGAAGCACAATAAGGCCGGACGGCAGTGCCGCCGACCCCGCTGTGCCGCCGCTGAACGGCTTTTTTTTGGCGCAAAATGGGATAGTCCCGGACACCCCCCAAAGGTCTCCGAAAGGGTGGAGCGCATCATGAGCATCAGCGGGTTCCGTTCGGGAGCATCAGCGGCCCGTCCGAGATGCCGGGCGCCACATCATGAGCATCAGCGGCTCCGGCCTTGGACGACATGGCGGCCCACGCGTGCATAAACCTTCCCTTTAGGGCAGTTTTTAGCCTTTGCGTCTTGGGTTTTTTAGGGCATTCGCGTTTCGAGGTCTTTAAGCTCAAGGCCGATGTAGGGTTGAAAGGTCATGGCGTCATGGCTTTGATACCCCGGCGCCAAACCCGTGCGTTCCGACTATGAAAGCCTACAGATGACCCCGTCGTGAAAGACCGCGCCAAGCGGGGGCGCGCGCCCCCGCCCGACGCGTGCAACCCCCTGCCCGGTTTGCAGAACAACTCTCCTCGAGCTGCTGCCTGCGCTGCCCCCCCATGGGCGCAGCCCCTTAAATAGAACGCACCAGCACAAGGCCCTAATTCAAGCATAAGGCTTAAAAGAGACAAGTCCTGTCTTTCAAGCGGCCAAGATTGCGCCTCTCGCAGAGATGCGCTGGCAGCACCGAGCGCCTCCGAGAGGCTGCCATCGCCTGATGCGCCGCAATGAATGTTCATCAATGTTCATCAATGTTCTATGACGACGGCCGAAAGCCAAGCATCTCAGGAAAGCACCATCGGCCCCGAAGCGGGGTGCTGCATGCGAGCCTTCCAAGCGGGACACCAAAATACACCAAAGCGCTCACGCATACAACTCAGTAGCAAACACCCCTTATCCTCAGAGTCCTCAGACGACGAAACAAGTTCCAACAATCCCCCTGTCTCAGCCGCCGGCCACGCAGAGTTGACATCAGCTCACGCCGTCGACCTTCAATTTGGGCTCATCATCAAAACAATCTACGGTTGAGCATGTCACGCGTTTTCGAGTGTCTCCAACATGCACTTTGAGCTGCATTGCTGCTGGAAGTGATACTGCTGTATGGCCTGCGAGCAACTGTCCCAGATCAGCAGCAGCTCTGCCGCCACCACTGCTTAGGATGAGCTCCTGCACCAGATAGGCATAGGTTAAGCCAAAAAAGCAGCACACACAAGTTGATACGGCGATCAACTTCTCTGGGCTGCACGGAACCAGTCTTTTGGCAGGTTTGCCTTGACGAGCTTCCGCAACTCCAGGTCCACTTCATGCCAACTAAAGACCTAGCAGAAAAGAGATCTGAGACGCCTGAGGGCTCCGCGTTGGGCAAAATCCCTGGCCTCCACATCTGGTGGAGCTTGCGAACCTCCTGCGACGCTCATGCAGGGCAGGGTAGGACATCACCCCAAATCACCAGCATGGGCCAACAAGAACTTGGGCCCGAACTGATTGAAGGCTCAGCTTTCAAACCTCCGGGCATAAGGTGATTTCGACTGGTTTTCGCCTCAAGCTTGGCAGGTTCCACCCTCTGCTGGAGGATCACAGATACCTCGACGACCGGCACGGCACTTGCCTGCGAAAGCCGGTGTCGAGAGCCCCCAAACAATCCCAAACATCTCTCTCAAAACGAGCTCTCGCCAGAGCGACCAATGTCAAGCGTCTCAGGAACTGGCCGGCCAAAGAGAAGATACGATCAACAATCTTCCGCCCGACCTTGCTGTTGATGACCTTCGACTATTCGAAGGCACAATGTCACAACAGCCTGAAGGGCATCAAACCATGACACCACATTGCAGTGCTACAAACCTCCGGATGCCATTGGATCCCGTAGACGTGATCGTCCACATGCTCCATTGCCATCACCTTCAGGAGAAGCGAAGACCAGCGGAAGGGGTCGGAACAGGCATATACAGGAATGCTCGGGCCGGCCCATGCAGAGGCCGTTGTCGGATCGGAACCGTAAGACCGTAACACAAGTCGAAAGCTGCTTCAACCCGGTGACTCTGAGTAGGCCCATGGAAATCTGCGACACCGATGCGAGTGAGCAACAGCGGATGACTGGCCGCCAGGCTCGGATACATGGATGTCACACACACACACACACGAAATAAAATCAGATGCAGCACTCAGTCTGCTCCCGGACAATCTGGGCTTGCAGCCCTGTTGGCAGAGTCTACGGCTGTCCTTGGTGCCCACAGGTGGCTCAGAAGGCTCACCATTCCAATGAATCCTGCTGATCTAAGCCCCAATCGAAAGCAAGGTGAAGGTCTCTCTGAAGAACGTGTTTTCTATCATGCGCGAACTAGATATGAAATTGAGATCAGATGCTAAGCACAAGTGGAGACAGGTGATGAGATCCCATGGGAGTCTCAGACGCAGACTCCCTAAGTAGATGCTGCAAGTGCGATACTGACGGAAGGACTTCGCTGAAATGGCATGCAAGCTCATCGGAACTCGGTGGCGGGCACAGTGAAGTCTAGGGGAGGCTCATCCACAAAGATGAAGTTTGATGCCTGTCCCATGCGGAGGATGGTCATGAGGGCCGCTCTGCCTATCACGGTGCCCAACCCATTGAGGGAACTTCGAAGGGAGGCCATCCAACCTGGCCACAACAATCACAAGATTAAACTGCGAATAAGAGTGAATTCTTCAGCAGTCGTTTGGCGACAACACAGCTTGCTTGCAAGCCCCCCCTTTGCAATCGCTGCAGGCATGCAAGAAACCAACCGTGAATTCCAAGCTGCCGACATGCGTGCTTGTCTTAGCAAGGAGGCCGCTTTGGGCATCCTTCTGGCATCCTCTGGGCTGAGGCTCAAGAGCGGTGCGACCCGGTGCGAGTGCTCTCCGCTCACTGAAACCCCTCCGTGGTCCAGCTCGATGCTGTGAGCCGTGATCTGGTGCCCTCGCACACCTTTCCACATCCTACATCCTCCGCGCCACTTCCGTCCCTGTCCTTGGCCTTGGAGTAGCAACAGCCCTTCCCAACACAGGCAGCAGCAGCAGCCTCAAGAGCCAGCAGCAGCAAGCAAGCACTGGTTCGATCGATGGACGTCACGAAACAGCCGTACGTAACAGCACGGGCTGTCAGCAACCACGGCTGTCTTCGCACATTCGCATGCCGTAGAGGACAGCAGCTCCTGTTGGAACTCAAGGATTAATAGCGAGAACACTGGGAGCTGATGTCCGGACTAGAAGCCGAGCTGTCCAAAGCGAAAGTGAAGGTTGTGTCCTTGCTTCTCGGTCAGGTGGAACAACGCTTGCATTGGCAGCGGCTTCTGCATCCTGACAAGCATCAGCGCGATGCGGGTGCTCTATTCTGAAAGAGAGTGTCGGAACAAGCCACAGAAGTCATGAACTGGCCTCTCACAGGCCGTGGCGCAGGAGTTTATCTCAACCGGCCTTGGTTGCATCAGGAATCATCAGGACACATAGTTCCTCGCCTATACCGTCGGCAGAGACCCTTTGATTGAGAAAGGGTGCATCCAGGCATGTGCCAGTCCGGCTGAACTGCCAAACAGAAGTGCCAGCGCACCTTGCAAACTATGCTTTGAGACGAAACAAGTATCTGGCAGAAGAGCTATGGGTTCACACAAATGCATTGGAACACTTCTCATGCAAGGAATGGAACCTTACCTGTCCAGCTTCCGACCGCACACCCTGTGACGGCAACGCGACAGCTCACCTGCAAGGAGCTTCATTTCTGAATTCACACCTTGTGCTCTTGCAAGCACAATGATGTTTTCGCACCCGCCTCGGACAGGGCAAGACTGAAGCAGGCCATGTTCGCCAGCATTGACAAAGCCTGAATCCAGCCCCAGCGCCGCGCAGTTGAAGCTGTTAGCATGGCGTTGCCAGCGACGGTGTCCAACTCCAGGCTGGCGCGCTGCAGGGCTCCAACTGCATCCATCGAGCTCTGCCAAGCTGTGGATAAGCCGTCATCCACACACTCAACCTCTGCAAATTCGGAGGAGCAGTCCGGGAAACATTGGGCACCTTGGCTGGGGGCTCAAGGTGCAGCCTGGCAACACTCGACGAACGAAGCAATGCACTGGCTGCGAATCCGCCAAGCTCTGCGGCGTGGGTCCTATCACTGAATTCCGCTTGTGCACCAGACAATGGATGACCCGAATCCATCAGCAGCATCAGCATCGGCATCGCCATGGTCATCGTCATCCTCATCCCTCATGCTCCTGCTCCTCCTCCTCCTCCTCCTCATCATCATCATCATCATCATCGACGTCGTCGTCATCGTCATCGTTCTCAACTTAACAGGTTACTTTCGTACCTTAAGAAATCGGGTCGACAACAAAACATCTTTGCACGATCGAGGACAAGAACTTGAAGAAGGTTGGTTCGACAACGCATCGAGTTACACACCTAGAAATTGGAGGGTCCACCAAACGTCAACAGATACGAGGAACGCGACAGCAACCTACTCAATCTTTGTGCCATTGACAACTTTGACCTGCGACCACGATGCGAGGGTCCGAAACGACGACTGCTACGATAATGGCGACACCTGTCTACGATCGCTGTGACACTTTTGATTTGAGCTTATCGAGATACAGTTCCCAAGATAACGACAGCGACCCGCCACACACATGTGACTGCCATAGTCTGTCATACTTCATACCGCTGCAACTTTCGGTCCAAAAAGTTACACCCCTCAATAGCAGGTGTCGCTCGATGTGCCCCGAATCCACTCAAACAACGCCCAAAGTCCTCGCATCTCCTAGCAACGAGAGGGCCTGACTCCATCGTCCAGTCTTCGCCTTGGATTCGGAGTCTTAGCCTTCACAATGACTGGACCTATTTCCGGAACCAACTGACCGGCCCAGCTGCGCAGGAAGACACAACACAGGCAAAGGTGACGGTATCTGGACGAAGTCTTCGCCGACAAAGTTCCTTGGCGAAATCTGCCAAGTGTCAAATTGAACTTGCCAAGTCAGAGCATGCCAAGCAGAACGCTCAATTTGCCAGGTTGGAAGTGGACGTGCCTACCCTACACGTATGAAGGCGTGTCGGGTTTTGGGTTTAGGGAGTTTAGTGCAGCATGACGCTGTGTCCTTAAGTCCCTAAGCTCAATGAAGACAAAGCTCGGTGAGGAGCCAAAGGCCTCGCTGCCATTCAAAGCAGCGGTCCTCGATCGGGGTTCGAAACGTTGATGACGGACGATGATCAAAAGACTTGGATGTCCTGAAAACCCTACAGGTTAGGGAGCCAGAACTCTGAGGATGGGAACAGGATGGAAGGGGCGAGAAAGAGGCTGGGAGCATGGGTGGGAGGAGAGGGCAGCCTTGAATTGCTGTCAGAACCAATTAAATTCGGCAGCTGCGACGACTGATGGTGAGATTGGGGGTTGCCTGTTGTTTCCAATAGGAATGCGCCCATCCTATGTAAGAAGGTTTTCGGGAGAACGGCGGGAGAGGATCACATCACATCTATATGGAGCTGATGATCACACAAAGCTTAGCCGCAGGCACACGCGCTGATGGCAGCGTTGAAGCATACTAAATCTGGGTTTTGCCCGTCAGCCTGGCAGCCACGGTATAAAAAGAGGCCAGTCTCAAAAAGAGCTTGGCTACGACCGTGATACTTGCAACAAAGCCGCTTCCGTTTCCCACAGAAGCTGCAGGGATCTCTCCTTGTGTCTTCGAGCATTCGGGATCACTGAGTGCCCATCGGCTGCCGTATATGGTAACCCACAAGTGTTACAATCGCCCCAAACCCAGAAGCTTGTGAACAAAACTCCCGCAAGCTCCGAGGAGCTAGCTTTCGTGATAGGGACATTGAAAACTGCTTAACATGACCTGCCATCGCATATGCTTTTAAGACAAACCCTCGGGTTCTCACCAAGGCTCCCAGAGCGAAGCCTTGTGGCAGGCAGAAATCGCCGAGGCAAAGGAGACGCTATCCGCATTCAAGGCCTGCAAACATCTGCCAGCTGCTCTAACGTCAAAAGAGAAGCAAAAGGTGTCTTAAGCCTGAGAACGCAACTGACTCCCAGAAAGAGATCCCTCATGTCCCGCACATTCAACGCATTCACCACCCCGAGCTCTGCCTTGCTTCCACGCAGTTCACCTGGGCAGCATGGCTAACATCCAAAGGCCTTGCAGCAAAGTCGACACTTTCGTTTTATGCGACGCCACCAGACGGCACTTCTTCAAGGCTTGCAGAACGATGCTGCTGCACATCTCACAGACGAGAAAACAGGCTGCCTTGGGCAGCCCTGCTGAGAGATTCTAAGAGGTCCTTTTCTAATTGCCTACCGGCTACCTCCAACCTGCCCTGCTGTGGAAGGCAGCTGCAGAGGATGAAACAGGGCGGCCTTCGAAAGATTACCACAGAATGCCCAGGACCCAGCAAACAGCGTCACGAAGTTCTCCTTGAGTTTTTCATGCTGTGTGAGTATTCCGCCACATGCCCTTGCGAGTCAATATGCGTAATGCATCATCACCGGTATGTCGAACCGTGATCAAAACTTATGGAAAGTCCGCTGTCTTCAGGCACCTAAGCCTGTTTGCGGTGCGGCTTGCACATGAAACTCATGAGACCAAAAAATTTGAAGCGTGGCTACATGTCTGAGGAAGGTCTACAGTCATCGGCTTGCAAGCTCTGCTCACCCCAAGGAGCCCTTGGCTTCTGAAACCCGTACTGACCCACGTTGAAACCACACGAGGGGCTGCCGAGGCCGCCCATTTCACTGTAGCAGAACTCGATAGCAGGACCATAGACACTGACTTATACTGAATTCAAAGCAGCTGCGCCTATGAGGCCCATTACGGCCCATTGAGGCCCATGCCTCTTTCTGAACAAGCTGGTGTTCCACCACTCAAGCCAAGCTTGGCCAGGCTATCTTATTCCAGGCTGACGTGGTTTCCCATTCGTGCCAGCAGCTTGCTGTATGCAGCTTCACCGAGCCTGAGGAAAGACATGGAAAGACTTCGTGCCACGGCCCAGCAACATCCTATCAGTCTTTGCCCGTTTATCCTTGCATGCGGGGCCTGTCTTCCATGCTCTGGGAGGCACGGACCGGGAGCTCCGGAGGATCGATGGTGATTGGAGCTTCGGGCCTGAAAAGTTTATCGTCAACTGTCTATCTCCTCTGGGAAAATCTCCATTTGGGACGTTGTAAACCTGGGTTGCCGACACCAGCGACAAGGTCCCTGGAAATATTGCCAATCCGGAGTTCGAACTGCCCACACCTGGAGGTCGAGGAAAATGTCATGGATCTGGAGAATAATTACCGCAGGATCGCAACTGTCAACAACGACGTGTGCCCAGCTTCATGTTCCGGATAGCCAGCAACAGGGCTCTGCAACGCTATGTGTTGATGCATGTTGCAGCTGGAGTACTGACCCGAACTCTGGCAGTGGAGCTTGACATCAAAGAGTACAGGGACTCGACAGACGGCCGGGGCTTTTGACTCGGAATCCTCTCCTGCAAGCGATCAAGACCCTGGCATGTCAGATCAATCGCAAGCCAGGCTAGAATCGGCTAGAGAGCACGCTCGCGTCCTGCTCCTCCTCTTCATACTCCTCATCCAAGGATGGCAGCTTCGGCCCTTCCTGACTCATTGCGATGTGAAACCATGCTGAGAAT